TTTTATTTATTCATTCATGAGAGACACACAGAGAGGGACAGAGACACAGGCAGAAGCAGGCTCCCTGAGGGGAGCCCGACGTGGGACTCCATCCCAGGACCCTGGGGTCACATCCTGGACCAAAGGCAGACGCTCAACCACTGAGCCACCCGGGCTGCCCTCTAACCTAATTACTTATATGCATTTCCATTTTGACCCTGATCAGGAGGTAGCACAGGAGAAATAAAATCTCTAGAAACAGATAAGGAAAAATAATTCAGGAATTGCTGCAATTCAAAAGTTGATTATTTTTAAAAGACTTTTCTCTTTAGCTATGATTTTGCTTGTCCACTCCCTTTGATTTTAGAAATAAGGCTGACTTACCTCTTCCTGTCCATCCACTATTATAAGATGGTTCAAATACCTGTAATCAATGAAGTAAACCTGATAGGTGAAAGGAATTCTTTGAATATATATGATGTATAATATCTTATTTTACTATTATAGGTTCAGCATGAATTTAAATGATTAACTTCAACACAACAGTAATTATTGTTCAAAGTAGTTGATGAGAGTGACAAATCTGAAGTGAATGGAAATACTAGGCTTCCCAAGAAAGGAAAATTTAAGATGAACACTGCTGACAATAACCGAATGGATTAAGTAGAGTTGTTTTAAACTTTTTGAAATGACTTTTAGAATGAGGCACAGTCAGATGATGTTTTAGGAAAGCACAGTATCAAAAAATGGAAATTCTAAATTAATATTTACCTCAAAGATTATTGATACACCATATGGAGAAGGTATGGAGGCACAGTGATTAGGAAATATTTCCAGTGGGATCCCTGGGTGGCTCAGTGGTTGGACATCTGCCTTCAGCCCAAGGCGTGATCCCGGGGTCTTGGAATCAAGTCCCACGTCAGGCTCCCTGCCTGGAGCCTGCTTCTCCCTCTGCCTCTGTCTCTGCCTATCTGTGTGTCTCTCATGGAAAAATAAATACAATCTTAAAAAAAAAAAAGATGTAAAAAAAATAAAATATTTCCAGAGAAGTAATCACCAGTAAGAAAATGCTATGTTAATCTTTAATTAAGATTGAACAAGGTCACCAACACTATATTGGTGTATTCCCCACATCTGTTGATACCACAGAACCTAGTAATATTAAAAATAATTCAGATTGCTTATTGGGTTTTTCATTGGAAAGCTTATGTAATATCCAAAATGTCTTCTGATTCATTAATCAAATAAAGTAATTGTATTCCATAACCATTTTGCTCCTAGTATTTTAAGACAGTAGTTGAGTAGTTAAGAATGTTCAGTCGATGATGACTGAAAATAGGAATAGATTCATAGCTAATTAATGTAGATGAGCTCTTAAGGTTTTCTGGTGCAGTACCTTCACCATAGACAAGGGAACAGGTAAACTTCAAACAAATTTAAAATCATGAGGGACCCCTGGGTGGCCCAGCGATTGAGCATCTGCCTTTGGCTCAGGGCATGATCCCGGGTCCTGGGATTGAGTCCCACATCAGGCTCCTTCCAAAAAGCCCTCTGCATGTGTCCCTGCCTCTCTCTCTGTCTCTCATGAATAAATAAATAAAATCTTTTTAAAATTTTTTTTTAAATAATAAAATGATAATGGAACTAAGGTAAAACATTTGGATTAAAATGTTTGTTTCACTCGCTAAGAACTTACTGACAAACTACTATGTGAAGACTTCTGGTTTACTTCTGAATCCCCCAAAACATTTTAAATAACTGATCAGAATACTAAGAACTATCTGATACACTGGACTCTGTCGTACAGTGACTCTTATAAGCTGTAATTGCTCCAGTTCTCACATAAATGAGAACCATCTTGGACTCTTTCAGCATTTTAAATTTTACTTATTGCTAAATTTAAAAAAAATGTTTATTTACAATAGTTACCCATTTATCTAAGAATAATATGTCATTGTGGCTTTCTGAGCTAAGTATTAGGGAATTCTAACTTCAGCCTTTTTTCTTTTTTAATATTACTGAATTATTTTTCATATTACTTTTTTTAAGTTTTTATTATTTTATTTTTCAGTAATCTCTACTCCCAACATGGCATTTGAACTCATGACCCCAAAATCAAGAATCACATGTTCTTCCTACTTAGCCACTCCTGGGCTTTTTATTTTTTAAGTAAAAGACTAGAATTTCCCAAATTCTTCTCCCCTGCTTCAGCACAGTTTTATCTATGGTCATGCTATTTAAAGACCCCTTAAGAAATATGGTTGTCCTGAGAAAACCACTGTACCAGTCTTGCAAATTCCTGCCTCTTTTGCAACAAAATGATCACAGTATGTATATATTTCAAACCACCAACCAGAAGTTATATGGATTAAACAATATATGAACATATATCAAAAATAGATTAACAATTTTATATCAACATACATTATTTTCATATTAGATTTAAATCATAGTAACTAATGTTATTTTTAAAGTTAACTTTTTTATCATTTAGTGCCTTTTTAAAAATAAATGAACTAAAGTTTTGTGATTAAGAATGGTTTTCTACTCCTTGCTTTGCTATTTTGCCAACATTTAATTTTAATTTTTATATTTCCAGATACTGAAATTTGTACCGCTTTCAAAGAAAGAAGACATGTTTTCAGCATTCAAATATTGTGCAATAGACTACTTATATGAGGTAGACTGTTACTGGATCGCTAACTACTAAGAATTATGATATGAAAATATTATCTGCATTCACTATAAGATTATGATAATTGCAGTAGTTCTTAGATTAATCCTTAGTTTGATTAATTACTTTGACATTTATTTAAACTTTCTTCCCACTTCTACTATACCTTAAAAATGCCATTTTTAGAAGGAAATTATTGATAATGCAACATGCATTTGAAGTCAGCAGAAAAAGAAATTCTTGGCATATTTGGGCTGCTTTTATGAACATTCTTGAGTGATCTTCCTTGAAAAGAGTGGGGAGGGAGGGATCTTCATGAGGAAATAACAGTAACAGCATATATTGACCACTTACTATGAGTGAGATACATTGCTCTTTTGATGGATTGTGTCACTTGATCATCATAACTACTGCAAGAGCAAGATGCCATTGTTACACAGGTGTTACAGTTTTACAGGTTAAGAAACTCATGTCTAGAGAACTTAAACAGCTTATACAAAGCTGAGACTCCAGTACATTGTTAAGAAACTAATTGGGGTAATCGTCATACAACAATTCATTGTTCTTATGATCTTAATTGACAGGTTAAATTTTGATTTTCTTTATAATCTTGACCTCATTACTGGGAAGAAAAATTTCTCCAATGTAACTAAAACTCTGTTACATTTTATAGAAAATAAGAAAGACATTTATATATCTTCAGGTTTTATTATTTCTTCCCAACTGTGAGAGGTAAATGTGTTATTATAACATATACATGGTAGGGAATCAGATGTCATTGTTAAACAAATATACTTATGAATATATTGGCCACTTCAAAATTCAAACATCCTTAAACTTTTATCCTTGTCCATGGTATCTTAGTTTCTTGTTCATAGATCACACCCCATGATATAGTACAAATGTGATACTAGTTGATGGCAAATCTTGCAAAAGTTGTAGAATTTTGTAAGGTTCATGAAAACAATGTTGAGGAACCACTCAAATAACAGGTAAAGCTATTGTCAAATGAAGACCTTGCAATATTAGATTAGTTACAGGTAAGAGGAAGAGAATGGTTTGAATATTAAAGGAGTTAGAAATGCCTTGGGAATATTTCGGTTAAATAGATTTTTAAAATATCTTCCCTGGGTGGCTCAGTGGTTGAGCATCTGCCTTTGGCTCAGGGCGTGATCCTGGAGACCTGGGATCGAATCCCACGTCGGGCTTCCTGCATGGAGGCTGCTTCTCCCTCTGCCGGTGTCTCTGCCTCTCTCTCTCCCTTTCTGTGTCTCTCATGAATAAATAAATAAAATATTAAAATAAAATATCTTCTTTATAATCAAAAGTGAAGTAACTCTTATCATGCATATCATTATATAATACAGTTTGTAGGAAAATTTTGATTAAAAAACAGTATGGTTACAAGCCAATTATAAACAAAATTTTGTTAGATATAAAAATTCTTTTTTTTTTAAACTTAATTCTTATAACTACTTCATTTTTTTAGATAAAGTGTTAATCAAACTTTTTTCCCTTTTTGCTGTGAATCGTTGGTCCTCATTTTATATAAATTACTTTAACTTATCTTTTCTTTCTTTGTACAATTTATTCTTGGTTAGTTAAGACCTCTTATTTAATATGTATAACACCTTCAGCAAACATAAACTAGTTTCCCAAGAAACTATCATTTGTCAAAATATATAGAATAACGAATTTTATGGGAAGTTGAGAGTCACTGAGGAAAAGCTTCATAGAGGAGATATTGCTTAAGATGGACCTTGAAAGATTAAATAGGATTTTTTTTCTTGATAAATAAGGTTTTGATAATCTGAGAAGAATAGCAGGGCATTTTTCAGAAGCACACCATAGATGATGAGCTTGAAGAAATAGTTCTATTTGTTGATTTTTTTTAAGTTAGAAAATTATTTGCTGGTTGTCACAAGTTTAATAATGCAAAGACATAGAAAACAAAATCAAGACAGCTGTGTTATACTGTTAAGTGAAAAAAAGCATATTGCTAAATGGCATACTATATAAATGGTGTGATCTCACTTTCGTCAAACGCGCACACACACACACATTTTAGCCTAGCCTAGAAAAAATGTTGGTGGAAAATATGCCAAACTATTACCAATATTACTAGGGACCTTGACTTTCTCAGTTACATGTTCTGTGTTATTTTATATTTTGTAATAAGCAGGTATTACCTTCAGATAAAAATAATATAAATTTAAAAGAACAGAATTTTAATATTCTGAATATTGATAGTTAAAGCTGATGAATGTATTAAATGATTTTATAATCTTACTTTCTTACACAGACTGTAGTTAGAAAGAAGTTTCACAGAGATGCCTTACTGCTTCGAATCCCTTCATGTTTATATCAAGACAAAAATTATTATGGAGAAGTTATTGATGATAAGTTTAGGAGGCCATGGATGAGAAGTAAGTTTTATTTTTTATTTCTCAAAAAATGTATTTAATTTTATTTTTCAAATATTTATTTTTATTTTTTTGTATACTTTTTTATTGGAGTTCAGTTTGCCAACATATAGTACAACACCCAGTGCCCATCCCATCAAGTGTCCCCCTCAGTGCCCATCACCCAGTCACCCTATCTCCCCACCCATCACCCCTTCCACCACCCCTTGTTCATTTCCCAGAGTTAGGTGTCTCTCATGTTCTGTCTCCCTCTCTGATATTTCCCACTCATTTTCTCTCCTTTCCCCTTTAATCTCTTTTACTATTTTTTATATTCCCCATATGAGGGAGACCATATAATGTTTGTTCTTCTCCGATTGACTTACTTCACTCAGCATAATACCCTCCAGTTCCATCCACGTTGAAGCAAATGGTGGGTATTTGTCGTCTCTAATGGCTGAGTGATATTCCATTGTATACAGAGACCACATCTTCTTTATTTTTCGATGGACACCGAGGCTCCTTCCACAGTTTGGCTATTGTGGACATTGCTGCTATAAACATTGGGGTACAGGTGTCCCGGCATTTCACTGCATCTGTATCTTTGGGGTAAACCCCCAGCAGTGCAGTTGCTGGGTCATAGGGTAGCTCTATTTTTAACTCTTTGAGGAACCTCCACACAGTTTTCCAGAGTGGCTGCACCAGTTCACATTCCCACCAACAGTGCAAGAGGGTTCCCCTTTCTCCCCATCCTCTCCAACATGTGTTGTTTTCACCATTCTCACTGGTGTGAGGTGGCATCTCATTGTGGTTTTGATTTGTATTTCCCTGATGGCCAGTGACGCAGAGCATTTTCTCATGTGCTTGTTGGCCATGTCTATGTCTTCTTTGGTGAAATTTCTGTTCATGTCTTTTGCCCATTTCATGATTGGATTGTTTGTTTCTTTGCTGTTGAGTTAATAAGTTCTTTATAGATCTTGGATACTAGCCCTTTATCTGATACGTCATTTGCAAATATCTTCTCCCATTCTGTAGGTTGTCTTGTAGTTTTGTTGACTGTTTCTTTTGCTGTGCAGAAGCTTTTTAAAAGTGATGTCAGGGATCCCTGGGTGGCGCAGCGGTTTGGCGCCTGCCTTTGGCCCAGGGCGTGATCCTGGAGACCCAGGATCGAATCCCACGTCAGGCTCCCGGTGATGGGGCCTGCTTCTCCCTCTGCCTATGTCTCTGCCTCTCTCTCTCTCTCTCTCTCTCTCTCTCTCTCTCTCTCTCTCTGTGACTATCATAAATAAATTAAAAAAAATTTTTTTTAAAAAATTAAAAAAAAAATAAAAGTGATGTCAGAGCAGCCTGGGTGGCTCAGCGGTTTAGTGCTGCCTTCGGTCCAAGGCGTGATTCTGGAGACCCGGGATCGAGTCCCATGTCAGGCTCCCTGCATGGAGCCTGCTTCTCCCTCTGCCTGTGTCTCTGCCTGCCTCTGTGTGTGTGTGTGTGTGTGTGTGTGTGTGTGTGTCTATGAATAAGTAAATAATTTTTTTTAAAAAGTGATGTCAGAGTTTAGCACAGTAAATTATTAAGAAAGTGTGATTTTCTTCTTAATTGTGTTGTGTTTATTCATATCAGAACTCTAAGAAGGTTACAAATTAATATTTTTATGACAGAATATAGGTGACAAAGTAGGGAATTGGGAAGCTTTTATACTAGATATGAATAGAACAAATAAAATATATGTAGATGATGAAGTCTTAAAATATTCTAGCATTGTAAACGTTTATGGTGTTATAATAGGATCTTACTCAACTGTAGGAGAGCTACTTTAAAATGTTATGATACACTGCAAATAAAACTATTTTTAAATGCATATGTACAAAATATATGTTTTGCTCTTATCATGTCATGGATTTAAGAAAGAAGTAGCTTCCATAGAGGAGTCAAGTTAGTTAGCAACACTTATTTAGCATGTATTATGTACCAGGCATGTTATAGGTGCTAAGGACAGTTACTAAAAAGACAGAAGTAGTTCCTTCCCTCAGTGGGTTTTCAGACTGAAAGAAAGATATAGCAATAAAACCATTAAATATAGAAGCTAATGTCTGGTATTAATAAATGTGTAGAAAAGACAGTAGGGTAATGTGATACGAAATTTAGTAAGGAGCACTGATTCCTAAGATGCTTAGGGAAGGAGGTGGACATTTAAGTTAAGATCTGAATGAGGAGGGATCCCTGGGTGGCACAGCGGTTTGGCGCCCGCCTTTGGCCCAGGGCGCGATCCTGGAGACCCAGGATCGAATCCCACGTCAGGCTTCTGGTGCATGGAGCCTGCTTCTCCCTCTGCCTGTGTCTCTGCCTCTCTCTCTCTCATTCTGTGTGACTATCATAAATAAAAAAATAATAATAAATTTAAAAAAAAAAAAGATCTGAATGAGGAGAAGGCAACAACCATAAAACAATATGGGGGTAAAGCCTTTTAAGCAAATGCAAAGTTTCTGACTCAGGAATAAAGTTGATGAGTGTAAGGACCAGAAAATTAGGCCATCAGACAGATTAATGAAAACAGGATATCTAAGAAGTAGGTAGCTTCTGAAAGATATGAGGTACTGAATGCCATAATATGGAGTTTATTTGTCTATATTATAGCTAATGTGACAAATCATTGGACAGTTTTTAGACAGGGAGTGACATAACCTGATATATGCTTTGGAAAAATCATTCTGGTTGTCTGGAGTATAGAAGGGTGGGATTGGGAGACAAGAGTAGAAATGGTAAAATCAATCAGAAAGCTATGTATTGATTCAAAATCTAGATTGCTAAGTGAATCTACACTTTACATAAAAGATGATAGTAGCTTGAATTAGGTTTATATTAATGGAGGCGTAAGGAGTGGTTGAATTGCGATTATTTTAGAGGTCCAGCCAACAGTGAGAGAGTTAAAGAAAAAATAGAACAATAAAGAATTTCTTCTAGGTTTTGGACCTGAGCAACTGGGTGGATGGCAGTGCTATTTTCTTTATTTTTTTTAAGATTTTATTTATTCATGAGAGACACAGGGGGAGAGAGAGAGGGGCAGAGACACGGGCAGAGGGAGAAGCAGGCTCCATGCAGGGAGCCCCACGCGGGACTTGATCCCAGGTCTCCAGGATCACACCCTGGGCCGAAGGCGGCGCTAAACCGCTGAGCCACCCGGGCTGCCCTCAGTGCTATTTTCTAAGATAAGGAAAGGCTCATGGAAAGCCAATTTGTGGCTAGAGTCAATAGCTCTGCTTTGGCCAAGTCAAAATGCTTATTTAGGCATCTGAATGAAGACATCAAGGAGGCAATTTACTATATAAATCTTAAGCACAACTGGAGTTTCAAATTGGAGTAATCATATATGGATTGCACATAAACTTATGGAAGTGGATGAAGTCACTAAGAGCATGAGTATGTATAGGGCAGAGAGCCTAGGACAGAGCCCTAGAACACTCCAGATAAGAAGACAAGTGAGACAGAAAAAACAGATGAGTGTAGTATTATAGAATTCTAAAGAAAAAAGTGTTGCAAAGAAAAAATGGTCAAAAGCATTAGTCCCTGTTAAAATATCAAGTAAGATGAGAATAGTGAGTTGACCATTAATTAGCTTGACTAAATGTAGGTCATTAATGACCTTGGAGACGTTTCACTGGAATATTTGGTATGGAGGCCTAATTGGAATGTGTTGAGCTAAAAAAAATGAGATGTCAGGTGTGAGATGGTGAATATAGGCAACTCTTTTGAGCAATTTTGCTATGAAAATAGAAAATGAGATACTAGCTGAGGAGAGAAATGCAATAAAAGTTTTCTTTCTTCAGATGTGTGATTTAAAAAATGTGATAAGGAAAGAGACTATAAAATGTTTGCCAGTGGAAATCATCTTGATATAAAGAGAGAAAATGATGATGTAGGAAAGAAAAAGGATAACAGTAAAAGGAGATAGTATCAAGAGCACAACTGGAGGCCTTGGTATAAATAAAAGCCAGAATATTTTTTCCATTACAATAGATAGGAAGGCAGGGTTTGTAGGTAATTAAGCCAGTGAGATGGTAAAATTGGTGGTAGAAGATGAGGTAACTCTCTGTATCAATTTTCTATGTGAAGTCAAGGCCCTGGACTGAGAATGGTTAGGGGGAGGAGTATTGAAAATTTGAGAGGTGAAAGTGTTATATCATTGTCTTAAAGAATGAGAAAGCCAGGGGACACCTGGGTGGCTCAGTCAAACATCAGACTCTTGATTTCAGCTCAGGTCATGATTTCAGGGTACTGGGATGGAGCCCTACACTTGGCACAGAGTCTGCTTCTCCCTCTGCACCTTCCCCTCCCTGTGCACCTTCCCCTCCCCTTTCTCTCTTTCTCAACGTAAGTAAATAAAATCTTTGGGGGAAAAAAAAGGAGAAAGCCAGTTTGGTTGGGAAGGTGTACTATTATCATCTATCAATGTTTGGTGCCCATTTGAAATTTATGGTCATAATATGAAATTGGTTCGTTCAGCATGACTGGATGATCTTTTTCCCCCATAATTTTCAGCTGTTCTAGTGTATGTACACAAGTAGAGAGTCGGAGTTTTCCTAAGTTAGTACAAGGGAAAGAGAGGCAAGGGAATCAAGTGTCTTTGTAAGGGCGTGATTATGGGACTGGCTATGGAAACTAAACTGTAAGAGAGAGAGAGAGAGAGAGGAAGGAAGGAAGGAAGGAAGGAAGGAAGGAAGGAAGGACGGAAGGAAGGACGGAAGGGACGAATATCTTCATTTTACAATGAATATTGTAAAAATGGAATGAATCTTAATTAGATTGGAAAAAAGATAAAGAATAGCTTTCATCAAACTCCTAGCTAAAACTACAGAAGGAAAAATAAATAAACAGAAGGAAAAATGAGTTTATCATTTTGTCCTATTTCTTTTTCTCTTTTTAAAAACAATAATAGTATTAAGAGCCAAAATTTATTTTTAATATACAAGGCCCTGTTCTAAGCAATTTTTATGTCTCATCACATTTAATCTTTGCAATACTAGAAAAAGGCCATTAGTATTATTCCTAATTTGTAGATAAGGAAACTGAGGTACAAAGTGGTTAAGAGGTTTACTCAAGATCAAACACTTAATAAGTAGCAATACAAGTATTAAAATGTAATCAGGGTGACTCCAGAACCTGTACTCATAACCATTAAACTTATGTATTTTTTTTTCAATGACACACAGACTCAGATGTTAAGTGATTTGTTCAAGATTACAAAACTAGTAAGAAGTAACATTGGTGGTTGAATACATATCCTTTGACTCTTAACTTCACTCAGTTGCTTCTTCTGATGTTAATATATGACATGATCTCTCTCTCTCTCTCTCTTAAGGAACCAAAGGTCTAATTTGAGAGAGAAACTATAGATAAATTTAAAAATGTGCTTTGTATGATTATGTACCAGAGTGAGTGCTACTGATAATTATGGCCCTTCAAGGAAAATATATCAGAACAAGATGAAATGGTTAATTATAAAAGCTTTATCAGGAATAATATGAGCTGTTGAACAGGACTTTCTAAATGGTAGTGCTGTATAAGCAAAAGAGAGGCTGTAAAAATGAGGATGATATGTTCAGGTAATATTGTTCTGATTATAGTTAAGGAGTTTTGACAAGGGTGAATTGTGATAATGAGAAAGATTATTTAAACATTTGGAATCTGGTATAATTTTGGGAAAAGTACATTTGTGAGCAAATAAAGATAATGTAAAAGGTTCATGTTTGGCTTCCTGGTATTAAGTGCAAAAGAAAATTCTAGAAGCTAATGTTTACCATTCTTCTTTCTAGTTTCAGCTGTTTCAGTGTGGGGAATGACAGATACCTCAGTCTTGGATCAATGGAAAGCAAGTCTCTTTGTGGAGGAGTTCCTAGAGAAGTATGTGTCCTTAACCTCAATTTCCTCTTTACATTTAGGAGGGAAACAGTAAGTTCTCCAGACATATAAAGAGAGAAGATCCTTTCCTTTGTATCCTCACAGATTTTATTCTTTATTTTTTTTATTTTATTCTTTCATCTGAAGAAAAAGCCCTAATCTGAACACAAAAAAACAGGTTAATATACGTGATTTATACCCCTTTTATTTTTCCCTCATTTATCACATATTAACTGTTCTCTATGCATTTGTGTTATAAAACACACACAGAAACAAAGCAAATATGTTATTATACTTCTTGTAGAATGTGTCTATAGGATACTTCATACTAAAATCAGTCTTTTTTTCCTGAGTATAAGTGCAATTTCAAGGCTATTTGCTAACATACTTTGTCAGAAGATTATTAGTTCAGTCATTCACCAAATATTTATTATATACAATCCTGTATGCTGGATACAGGATACACAAATAAATAAGACACAGTCTCTACTCTCAAAGAACAGAAGAAAATAGGGAGTAGAGATTTATAAATAAATAATTACAAGAAAATACAATGAGAGAAATAGGAACACAGCATAATATAAGGAAGAATATCTAACCCAGTCTACATTGTTAATATAGATATAAATTAGAGATTTCAGTGCAAAGGTAATTTACTCTGTTGCTTCATTTTGTACAAAGAGTGTCGATGAGACCCAAGAAGGATTTAGGTATTATTCACATTTCCAGGCTTTAGTAATTTAAGTTGTCCTTAGTTGTGCTGGAAAGAAATAACCAATTTAAATGTGTCCCAATTCAAAATACAAAGAAGCCTAATATACCATTTCCAACACCTAGGAATTTAAAAGTCAGGTTAGGAAGATAATATATAGACATAAAAAATTAATCATTTAAGAATTAAATGATAAGATGACTATCATAAAGTCTAATCACAAGGCATTAGGCCAACACAAAGTATTTATTGCGTAACTAAACTGAGCGATGAGGAAGCAGGAAGGCATACTGAAAAGAGTTCTGCTCCATTAATTAAAAAATGTGGATTTCAGGTCTTGATTTGAAATGTCAAGTAGTATCTACTTGACAAGTCATTTTCTCTCTCTGACTTCACTCTATCAGTATAATGATACTGGATCAGTGTTCCTCAAACTTTAATGGGCATATGAATCACCTGATGACCATATTAAAAATGGAGATCCTGATTCAGTTGGCCTGTGTTGGGGCCTGAGATTGTGTACTTTTTTTTTTTTTTTAATTAAGTAGTCTTCATGACCAGCTTGGAACCCAACACAGGGCTTGAGATCATAACCTGAGCTGAGATCAAGAGTTAGACGCTTAACTGGCTAAGCCAACCAGGCACCCCAGAATCTGCTCTTGTTGTGTGCTCCTAGATGCGCTGATATGCTGGCCCAGGAACCTACCTAAATAAACAAGAAAAAAGATGATCTCTAAGATCTCTTTACCCCATGAATTAGATTGGTGGGACTGTGCATTTATAAGCAGGAAAGATCAGCTTTATCAAGAAGTAGGAATTGAGGGGCCCCTGGGTGGCTCAGTAAAAGGTTAAGCGTCTGCCTGGGATTGAGCCCCGAGCCTGGGCTTCTTGCCCAGTGAGGAGTCTGCTTCTCCCTCTACCCCTCCCTCTGGTTTCTCTCTCTATGCATTTGTGTTGTGTTGTATCTCTCTCTCCCTCTCTTTCTCTCAAATAAATAAATAAAATCTTTTTAAAAAAAAGGTAGAAATTGAGCTTTTCAATCAAATTGGACATTGAAGGAGAAACTAGCTTGAAAGAAAATATTTTAGGCAAAGGAAACAGCATGTCTGAAGGCATAGAGCAAAAATACGCAGTAAGTCCTCAAGAAGGCAATGATCTAGCTACTGACTCACACAAGATTCATGTATAGGAGAAATGGGAGGTCTTGAAAGAATGGACACCTGATCTTATCTGACCTTCCCTTCATTTTGCAGTACCAAGATAGAGCCCCCGGCAAAGAAGGTGGACCTGTGGCACCACCTAGATCACATTTACATTTCTCAGCTTCCCTATAACTAAGCATAGCCATGCAACTAAATTCTTCCCAATGGGATATTAAGCAAAAGAGGCTTATGCAATTTCTGGGAAATGTCCTTAAAGGAAGCAGCATGTTTTTCTCCTTCACTTCTCTCCTTCCCAACACTGAACTAGAGATGACTGACTCCAGCAATCAGCTTGGACTATACTAACAAGAACTAAATGTATGAGTCAAAGAATGGGACAAAGGAGCTTTAGTCTCTAACACACTGCAAACTGCTTTACTAGCCATGGACTTCTCAACTCCACTTTGTATGTATGTTTAAGCTATTATTAATTTTAATTTTGTCTCGTACAGTAAGATTTAATTTTTAATAGACTTTATTTTTAAAGAAGTGTTGGTTCACAGCAAAATTGAGCAGAAAATACAGAGATTCCTCATGTTAAAATTTAATTTGAAATAATTCTGCTACTGCAATTTTGTTACCTAATGGACTTTAGGAATAAACATTCTGATCATTAACACTAACTAGAGTTCCTAAATCTTGCTTTTCCTCTCATTCTCACCTCTCTTCGTTCCTTGTTTCTGTTTTTGTTACTTAATATTGATTAGAAGGCCTCAATTCTTTTATTAATTTGTTGGTGTACTATGTTTTAACATATATGGGCATTTACTGCCATTTCTTCCTAAGAAAGCTTATGTTCTGCAAAATTACACACTAAAAATAACAGGACATACAAGAAAATTAGCTGCTGTAGTCAAAGTTGCAAAACTTGCAACAGAGCACCAATGAAAATAACTATTCTAATTTTTTAAAAAGCACCAGCAAAGGAAAAATAAACAAAAAAACCTTCACCAGCATAGTTTAAAGACATGTTAAATTCCTAATAAATACATATTAGAATAAATATAGCACTCCTTTTAGCTTGATGGACAGGATAAAGAAGGGGTTGAGGCTATCAAACTATGGAGACAAGGGCAAAATGCAAAAACATCAGGGAGAACCATGCAATAAACTGCCTAGCTTCCAGGAGAGAGCACATAGCCAAGTAGAGTAAGAGGAAAACTGTGTAACAATATTCCCTATTCCTTGTCTTGTTGTATTCAGATGAATGCAATTGAATGCAGAGAATTGCACATATATTTATTTTCTGTACACCTTGTAACTATTATGTGAGGTGGATATTACTATCCCAATAGTAATATGAGAAATATGAGAAACTGAGACTCATTAAATAACTTGCCCACAGTCAATAGTTGGAGCTCTTTAAATACTCAACCCCCCCCCAAAAAAAAATACTAAAATCCTAGTCTGTCTGGCTTCAAACCCTATACTTACTCTATGTTTGGTTTATGTTTCAGATTTCTTGAAATATGATTCATAACCATATAATTCACCCATTTAAAATGTCCAATTCAGTGGTTTTTAGTTTATTGACAGAGTTGTGCAGTTATCACCACAATCAATTTTAGTGCATTTTCATCAACACAAAAAGAAATCTTATACCTATTAACATCCACTCACCATTTTTTTCTCCTCCTCCGGACAGGCAACTACCAGTCTACTTTCTGCTTCTCTAGATTTGCCTATTCTGGACATTTCATATAAATGGAATTGAATTAAAATCATACACCAGTTCTAGTATAGGGAGGGAGTGTAGTTTCCCCAAACAACAAGCAATGCTCTGACGTCGACTGGGTATCCTGCAGTTAACCCAAGTCTGACACTATCTACCCAGAGATACCATCAGATACCATCTGTTAAGGTCTCAGTCCTACAAGACTGCCTCCTCTTTCACCCTACTTTAGAATCCACTTGCAAACAGGTTATGACCCACCTGCTATAGATTGGAGGTTCCAGTAATAACTCCTTAGATTTGATCAACTTGCTAGACAGACTCACAGAATTCACAGAAATATTTTATTTACTGGATTGCCAGATGATTTTAAAAGTATATAACTCAGGAACAACCGGATGGAAGAGATGCATAGGGCAAGGTATGGGAAAGAGGCATGGAGTTTCCATACCCTTTGTCTTCACACCACTCTCTCAGCATTTCCCTATGTTCACCAACCCAGAAGCTCTCTGAACCCCATCCCTTTGTGTTCTAATGAAGGCTTCATTACATGCACATGATTGATTCAGTCATAGGCCATTGACAGTTGATTCAGGCTCCAGCCTTTCTCTCCTCTCTGGAAGTCAGAGGGATGGGGCTGAAATTCCAGCCCTCTGATCACATGGTTGGTTCTCTGGGCAACAGAGAGGTTTTCCAAAAGTCACCTCATTAACATAACCAAATACACCATTAGGAAATTCCAAGGGCTTTAGGAGTTCCTTGCCAGAAATTGGGATGAAGACCATATATATATTTCTTATTATAAAACACAACATGACGCTTACAATGTGGGATCTCCTTTGACTGGTTTCTTTCACTTAGCATAATGTTTTCAAGGTTCAATTGTGTAATAACGTGTATCAACACTTTGGGTTTTTTTAATGGCCAAATAATATTCCATTGTGTGGACATAGCATATTTTATTTATCCATTTTATCCATGTCCATATTTAAAAACATATTTATCCATGTCCATAGTTGATGGACATTTAGGTTGTTTTCAGTTTTTGGCTAGTATGAGTAATGCTGCTGTAAATATTTGGGGGTAAGTTTTTGTGCATACATATGATTTCATTTCTCTAGTAGTAGAATTACTAGATTATATTGGTAACTCAGTATTTAACTGTTTGAGGAATTGCCAAATTATTTTCTAAGCAGCTGTACCATCTTGCATTTCCACAGGCAGTGTATGAAGGTTATAATTTATTTACATCCTTGCCAACACTTGTTATTTTCTGTCTTTTTTATTATAGCCATCCTAATGGGTGGTTCATTATATGTCATTATAGTTTGGATTTGCATTTCCCTCATGGCTAATGATGTTTAGCATCTTTTTATGTAATTTGACTTTTAGTTTATCTTCTTCAAGAAAATGTTTATTCAAATCCTTTGCCCATTTTCCATTTGGCTTATGTGTCTTTTTATAATTGAATTTGAAGAGTTTATTATATAGTCTAGATACAAGTCCCTTATTAGATACATGATTTACAAATATTTTCTTCTGTGGATTGTCTTTTCACTTAGTATCCTTTGAAGCACAATTTTTAAAAAATTTTGATGAAGTCCAATTTATCTGTTTTTTCTTTTGTCACTTCAGCTTTTAGCATCATATCTAAGAGGCTTTGCCTAAGTCACGAGGATTTATTCCTCTATTTTCTTTAAAGAGTTTACCTGGAATTTTTTTTTTTAGACACAAATCAGATCATGAACTGTCTCTGTTATAACCTACTGAAAGTATCCCATTGCACATTGAATAAAATCTAAAGTTCTTACCAGTATTATAATGCCCAACATGATGTAGTCCCTGCCTACCTATCTAAATTTACTCTGTTTCAGTCACCCTGACCTTTCTGCTTTTCTTAGACTATGCCAACCCTATTACTCCACTTTAGGCCTTTGTATAGCTCATTCCCTGCCATTATTCAGGTAGCTGTGGAATTATCAGCTCCTCAGCTGCCTGTTCACTAACTACCCTCTAATAGACCTCTTACCAACAATCTGGTTCTTACTTGATGCCATAATATTTTATTTTATTCATAACAGTGTTCACCACCTGACATTATGTTATTTGTTTGTCTCTCATCCCATTAACAGGTTAGCTTCATGAGGGTAAGAATTTTATTTGGAATTCTACTACTACATTCTCAGTGCCTAAAATGGTATTAGCACACTGTGGATACTCAGTTCATATTTCTTTTAAGTTAAGGAATTAGTGAATTGGAGTGAATTTACCCAAATAGAATGATATGGAAAGAAAGCAAACATCATTTAGATTAGAAGCCGGTGAAATATCAGTATCTACAGTGTAGGCGGAGGAGGAGATGTCAGTGAACAACGAACAGATGATATTGGACATGGAGGTAGGAGAAAATCCAGGAAATAACTTTTCTTCATAGAACATTTATATCTAAGAGGAGAGAACTGACTGGATTTTCTTAAAAATGTAGTATCAATGATTATTACAAATTACTGATCCTATTAGTAGCATTTAAAACAAAAAAAAAGATAATTACAATCTAAATGCTACAATTTAAAAGTCTATAAATATTCACACAGGAATCAATGGTCTTATGAATAATATGGACCTGGGTGAGCTTGTTCCTTATATTGTGTTAAAGAGTAAAGGAGAAATTTAGAGATTTTTTCTATCAATAATTTGAAGATACAACATACTTTTCTCCAGTTACATTGGGGAATTGCATTGATTTTGGTTCTTTCAGTCTGTGTAGGTAATTATTGAGGCTAAAATATTCTAGGATATCAGGAGGAAAAAGGCATACTAGAATGTGTAGTTAAATTGCAAGTAATATATTTATTTGTTAGAAAATTCATTTAAAAGATCTCTTATAAGTCCAAATATCCCAATGTTACAGACAGTGGTAGATATACCTGGATGAATCAGGAAACAGGCAAGGAAAGGGCAAGGTCAAGGGAGCCAAAAAATTGCCCATGATCAGCAACACCAGGATGTTGTTAACACTCTAAGCTTGAAGGAGCAAGGGGACTGAGCAGTAATCAACTCAGTAAGAACTATGGCTAGCTGTAGGAGAGTGGCTGCCTGACATGAGATGTAATTGATGGTACAAGAATGCAGCCACTTCCAAATTGTGGCCCAGGAGAAAAGGATTTGGGAACAATAATATCCCAACTTGTCTCTCTTCCCACCTTTGATCTCCTGCCAATACTTCCTATTGGCTGAACCCAACCAGAAGCAGAGAGCAAGCGAGCTTAGTTCAGGCATGAAGATGACGTTCCCAGGTTGAAGAACAGAATATAAAAGGTTGGATAATGATGTGGAAAAGCAAACATTGAAAATCCAACATAAGGAAAACTTGACAATGCATGGCAAAGTCTAAAAATCTGTATACCTTTAACCTCTTCATTTCTGTTTTTAGGAAACATATTTTGAGAAAACAGGCAAAGGCACAAACATATCCCTTGCAGTATAATGGCAAGCAATTACAACAAATTTAAATTGCCAACAATAGGGACTGTTTGAGTGAATTATGGCTTACCGATACAGTGGGATCTTGTTCATCCATCAAAAATGAAGTGAATGTACATTGATTAACATATAAATGTACTCGTGTTTTATTGTTTACCAGAAACGGCAGGTTTTATAATACTATATATATGAATCCATTTTTGTTTAAAAATATCCAAAACTAATTGAGAAAGTGCGTATTTTTTTAATTTGTCTCAAGTGTTGGGGCTAACTTTTCTCTGTATCTGTTAGAATATTGTAATTTTTCTACAATGAACATATACTATTTGTTAATAAAGATATTTTAAAATGGGACATCATAAAATCAGTAATTTTATAATGTCATAGAAAAACAGTTACAGGAGTGATGACCGAGATTGACCATGGGTTTGAGGAAATTGTTCCAAGTTCAAACCCAAACTCTCCAATCGAAATAGAGGAAGCCAGTTTATATACTGATACGGACTATAATGAAGTCTTTACACCTATTGGCGGTTTAGAAAAATGTTCAACACTTCAAACACAGAACAAAGGTGAGACATTTGTTATTTCTATTGTTATAAAACATTTCTTACTAACATACAGATTTTCATTTTGATGAGTGTTTTTGTTTTATTGGATTTTTAATTTTTCTATTTTTTAAGGGTATCCACCTGCAAAATTATAATTCTAAGCTTTGCCACATTAGGAAAATATTTTTGTGTGTGTGAATTTGATTGTTTTTGGAGTTTCTGTGTCCTGGACATCAAAATAGCCTCAGAGATTTGATCATACTGTGCTCACACCATATTACTATAACCAGATCTGATGACAGCAATCTGTTATAACATTAAAATAGTAGATTATTAAATGATGGCTGTATTTTATTTTCTAAAATATGCTCAAGATTTTCAGTCTCATCTAATTGATATGAAACCATAATTCAAAGTACAGATGCATTAGTTGCAGTATTACATCAGGAAACTTACCTCGTTTTTACAAGTTTACCATAATTAATAATTAAAGTACATTTTATCCAAACTATATTCCAAATTTTCATCTTCCTTGAGGGTGCTGAATTCTTCCAATAGTGTAAAACTTGCGAGAACTACCTTTAAGACTTAAAGTTTAAGATATGCTATAGTGTGAGCTACAATAACTTAATAGATGATATATATAATAACGGTTCTTTTACTGCTGTTTTTATGTAAATACATAAGTTGTGTATAAAATTTTTACTGTTGGCAAATAGGTATGTGATGATTTAGTTAGATCCCTGTTAGTTAAAGATGAAAGAGTGTGAGAGATTTGCATTCAAGACTAAACTTGAGGGGCACCCAGGTAGCTCAGTTAGTTGAGCATCCAACTCTCTCGATCTTGAGGTTGTGAGATGGAGCCCTAGGTCTGGCTCTGTGCTCAACAGGGAGTTTGCTTCTCTCCCTCTTCCTCTTCCTCTTCCCTCGCTCCCCTCCTCCCCGAGACCCCCCCCCCACTCATTCATGCACACAGTCTCTCTCTCTCTCTCAAAATAAACAAAATCTTTCAAAAAGAATAAAGACTAAACTTTAGAACATGATATTTTAGGAATAATCTGAATTTGGAGTCAAAAGATTTGAAGATAGTCTAAATCTCCACTTTAAAAGTGGTGTAATTTGAAGACAGCTGTTAAAAATTTTATGGTTTTGGGGACGCCTGGGTGGCTCAGCAGTTGAGTGTCTGCCTTCGGCTCAGGGCATGATCCCAGAATTGTGGGATGGAGTCCCACATTGGGCTCCCTGCAGTGAGCCTCCTTCTCCTTCTGTCTGTGTCTCTACCTCTCTCTCAGTGTCTCGCATGAATAAATAAATAAAATCTTAAAAAAAATTTGTATGGTTTTCAAATTTCTTCTATAATATCTTTTAACTTATTCTTCTAATTTCTTATAAAAATACTTGTGGGGATCAACTAGTATATTTGTACACGTAATGAGATAGTTTGTAAAAAAAATGACAGATATCCAAACATAGCTATTATTATTAATGTGGAAAACTAGAAGCCATTATTAGTAAACTTCATGATATCTGTCATGAACCAGAGTCAGAAACTTCCTAAACTACTATTCAGTGAATGAAAATATGCTTGGGTTTCCAAATACATATAAATTATCCATATCCTATATTGCCTTAGGGGTCCTGTGTCATTAGACATCATTTTATAAATTTAGATTTGCCAATTTCATTTATTATCTTTGCAGCTATATTGATTGCTGCCAGATTTATAGATATTTTGGTCTCATTGTTTAAATCAAAAGGAATGCATTCTGTTTTGAAATTCAACTGATACTATAAATTTTGTCTTAAATGTAGTTAATTACCAAATTATATGTTAATGTCAAAACATATGTTTCTTTAAGACAAAAACAGTGGGTAATTTTCTTTTATTGTTGGTGTGTTGATATATACTAATATTCCTACAACACTCACATATTATTTGTCAATAAATGTAATTATTTTATGAATATCATTTCAGATGTCCTAGCAATATATAAGCAAATGCAAATGTAGCTTTATTTTAAATTTAATTTTATTTTTATTATTTTTTTAAAGATGTCCTTATTTATTTAACAGAGAGATTGAGAGAGAAAGAGGAGAGGGGCAGAGAGAATCAGGCAGATTCTGGGCTGAGTGTGGAGCCCGTTGCAAGGCTCAATCCCACTACCCTGAGATCACAACTTAAGCTGAAACCAAGAATCAGATCCTTAACTGACTGTACCACCCAGGCATCTCTATTTTTGCTTTAAAAAAAATTGTACATGCAGACAGTTTAGAGAATCAAATAGTTACTCAAAATTTGTAATAAAAAGCAGCAGTCCTCTGACTTCATCAACTACCCACATGTTTTTTTTCTGTTTTTAAAATGTATTTAAAGTGTAGAATGTGATAATTTAATATATATACATCATAAAAGATTCCCATCATTGAATTAACACATCCATCACTTCACATATTTACTTTCTTTTTTTTTGTAAGAACACTTAAGTTCTATTTTCTTAGCAAATTTCAGTTATACACTGCATAGTATCAACTATAGTTACTGTTTTATACATCAGATCCTCACACTTTATTCATCTTCTAACTAGAAGTTTGTACTGTTTTACTAACCTTTCCTATTTCCCCACAGCCCAGTCCCAGGCCTTGGCAACCACAATTCTACTCTGTTTTCATGAGTTCTACTTTTCTTTTTTATTCCACATACAAGTGATATCATGCAGTATTTGCTATTCTCTGCCTGGCTTATTCCACTTAGCAAAATATCCTCCATGTTCATCCATAATGCAAATATCAGGATTTCCTTCTTTTATAAGATCAAACAGTATTTTCTTAAATCTGTGTGTATAAAACACATTTTAAAGAAAACAATATTTTCTTTACCAATTGTTTTCTTTAAAACACATTTTCTTGGGATCCCTGGGTGGCGCAGCGGTTTAGCGCCTGCCTTTGGCTCAGGGCGCGATCCTGGAGACCCAGGATCGAATCCCACGTCAGGCTCCCGGTGCATGGAGCCTGCTTCTCCCTCTGCCTATATCTCTGCCTCTCTCTCTGTGTGTGACTATCATAAATAAATAAATAAAAAATTTAAAAAAAAAAAACACATTTTCTTTATCCACTTATCTGTGGACAGACCCTCATATGGTTTCCACACCTTGGCTGTTGTAAATAATGCTGCAATGGGAGTACAGATACCTCTAAGACAGTGATTTTGTTGCCCATCTGTGTCTTCCTTTACAACATTTATCTTTTTTTTTTTTTTGTCTTATTGTGCTGACTAGGACCTCCAGGACATTGTTTAATAGAAACAGTGATGTTACCATCCTCATCTCATTCTTGACAGTAAAGGAAATACTTTAAAGTTTCATCATTAAAAATGATGTGTAAATATCATTTCAGTGGTGAATCATTTACAATGCCTATGTCAGTTTCAATGGTTAAATGTTGGAAGAATTTACTTTATTGGGTTGAAGAAGCTCTTTCTGTATTGAGTTTGCTAAGAGTTTTTGATCATGAAATAGGACTGAATTTTATTAATGTTTCCTACATCTGTTAAGATAGCTACATCCTGGGGATCCCTGGGTGGCACAGTGGTTTGGCGCCTGCCTTTGGCCCAGGGCGTGATCCTGGAGTCCCGGGATCGAGTCCCACGTCGGGCTCCCAGCATGGAGCCCGCTTCTCCCTCCTCCTGTGTCTCTGCCTCTTTCTCTCTCTCTCGCTGTCTATCATAAATAAAAATAAATAAATAAATCTTTAAAAAAAAAAGATAGCTACATCCTAAATATGAAGAATGTCCCTTATTAAAAACTTCCAAACCTTTAATCTAAACATAAATCGTTTTTCTATTGGGATCATATTGTGTCTGCATTATATTATTTTTAATTGTTAACATTATCTTGAGAACATTTCACCCTGCACTTGGCTTCAAAAGCATTCTTTGTTCTTTTAATGACTGCAGTTCTAAATCTTATGTATCATACATTCCCCAATTTGAGAACACTAATGTTTTTAATTTCAAATATGTACATAAATGTATGCTTCCATTTCCTATTCTTTCTGTAGAGTAAATTCATGGAAATGGAATTATTTAATATAAGTATTTTTTTAAGCCATACACTCACTAGCATGATATGAGAATATCCTATTCATACTAGCCTTATCATCATTGGGTATATTTACTACTGATATTATGTTAATACATTTTAATCAATGTGATGGGCAGAATTATATTTTACTTGGATTTTAAAAATTATTTATGTTTGGGGTACCTAGGTGGCTCAGTAGGTTGAGAGCGCAATTCTTGATTTTCGCTAGGGTCATGATCCCAGAGTCCTGAGACCAAGCCCCGCATGGGGCTCCATGCTGGACAGGGAGTCTGCAAGATTCTCTCCCTCTCCTCTCCCTCTGCCGCTCCCCCTACTTGAGCTCATATGCACCCACACACTCACTGTCTCATTCTCTCTCTAAATAATAAATAAAATCTACAAAAATTTTTCATTTTTACTGGACATTTGCATATTTTTATTTTGTGAAATGATTTGCTTATCTATTTTTCTCTTCTTACATTTTATCTGTACATGTCAAAGATATATTTAATGTATATTTAATTTAAAACTAACCAGGCCATCAATGTTTTCCTTTAAGGTTTCTTTCATTGCTTTTATACTTAGAAAATTCTTCCTAAAATTAGAAAAATATGTATTCATGTTTTCTTTAAGATTTTCCTTAAGATTTTGGTATCATTTATGGCGTAGTCTTTCCTTTCTTTACTGATTAGATATGCCACTTACAAAATATGCTAAATCCTTGCCCACATTAGAGTGTTTCTGGATATTATGTTCTATTAATTTGTCTATTATTGTACCATACAGTTTTAATTATTTAATATATAATAATAACATGTATTAATAGTATCTTATTTTTTGTTTTTAAATTTTTTCCTACTCTCATGTATTCTTCTAGATTTACTTTCAGTAAATCAGTTTTTTAATTTCCAAAAGAGATCTCTTGAGAAATTGTAATGCCATTGAAATTTTTTACTTTTTTTTTTTTTACCATTAGTCTTACTAACCAGGAAAATGATTTATCTTGACTTTTATTCAATTTTTTAAATGGTCCTCATTAAACTTTTATAATTTCTTTCATATTCTTTCTGCACATTTTTGTTACGTTGATTTCTTGATGTTTGTATACTTATCATTATGAATGAATTTTCCATTAATTGGGGGGAGGGTTATATACGTTTGAAAACCGGAGATTTTCTAATTTTTTTTTAATCAGGCACCTAGTGAACTCCTTTATTTGTTTTCATTTAGTAATCTTGGGTTTTCTAGGTAGATAAAGGAATCTTCGGCAAGAATAAACTTGTCTGTCCTATCAGGTAGATCTTGACTGTTTCTTTTCATAGTTAACTAGCAAAATATTTGCTTCTTTACAATAGAGGAAAACAGTCTTCTCATATCTGTATAGAAGAGATATAATAAAGTAAGGACTCCAGGAAGTGTTGTATAACCTTAAGAATATACGGAAGTAGCACCCTTCGTAAAACTTTTGTGTGGTTACAAAGAACATTGGTTGTAGTGTGTTGCTGCCCTCAAGTGGCTCTATCAAAAATGAATGGTTGGAAAATAAGACCTCATAACTGGTAGATGTTTCTTTCCATAGACTTGCAGAAATAGTAGGATGAGCCTACTCATCTAGAAAGAGAAAATGGCTAGAGGACCTCTTGGGGATATAAACAAATGCTGTTTGGATTTTTACTACTAATACGACTTCAGTAATCAGAATGGATATACAAATGAACTATTTTTAATTGTCAAACATAAGCCCTGTTTAGATATGGAATCGATGCTAGCTCTCTTTGGTATATAAAAGAACTATGCCAAATTTGTTATGGGAAGCTCTTGGCCATTAAATTATCAGAAACTTGGCAGGTTCAGATAAGTAATCTCTTAAGAGGCTAGTTTATGGAACAAATTCTCTTTTGGCACTTCAAGGTAACACCAGGCAAAGGGATGTTTCCTGGCTGCCTGCTTAACACCACATATTTATTAGACACATGCATGTCAATGATGTAGTTGGTCATGGGAGTCATCACTCCATGCTATTCCTCTCTCATGACATTTTAAATTTACTTAACTGAAAGGTTATTACCCAGAAGAAGAGATTGTTGTTCCTGCTTCCTTGTAGCTTTGGCTTTGGGGAGTTTGGCTTTCTGAATAGCTCTTCATCTAAACTTATTATTTTCCCTTTCTTCCTTCCACTCAGGAGCTTATAGTAGAATGGGAACAGGTTTTACATTCCTCCCTTTGGTTCAGAAAGTGTTAAAGCACTGACGTAGTTGGCTAAGATTCTAAAGTAACCTGAACATAATAGGGTGGAGATCGATGGGAGAAATTTATTCCAGTAATTAACTGTTAGCATTAGTGTTTCCTAATATATGATGTATCACACTTGTCAAGTACTTTGCCATATTACTTTCATTATAATCAATTGCCAAAGAAAATTTTATTTCTATTTTATACCAGAAACAATTTTTTAATCATTACAGTGATAGAATCTGAATTGATCTCATTTGTAGGTTTTGTAGACCATCTCCTTTCCCTACATCTCTGAGCCTCTAGGGATGAATTCAAGATTTTAAGAGGTAAAATGATGCAGAGAAAAGACTAGGTTCCACAAAAGTCAAATGCTTTTATTTCTTTACAACTCTGATTAGGCTACCCCTGGTTATTTTGGAGGATATGGCTGCAAGATATTTTCCACCAATTATTAATCTTTGTTGAAAAGAAAAGCCATTACAACTCTTTCAGGATGTTTGGTTACTAGTCAGTGTACTAAGTAATGCTAAAATTTACTGAGCTTTTGCCTATATGCCAATCCTATGCTGCATGCTTTATATGCACAATACAATAAAGAATTAAAGAATTTAAAGGATGTTTAAATGGATACTTGGAGTAACTAACTAAATCCCTTTGTGTAACTTTTAGATTTTTTCTTATTCCTTTACATTTCTTTTTTTCAGATTTATATATTGATGAAGAAATACTTTTTGTAAATAACTTGATGACATATAAAAGTCAACTACCAACTGTGCATACTCTGTTGAGTAGGCTAAAACCATTTTTGATAAAGGACCCCATTTTAGATTTCAAAGAACAGATCTTCACAGAAGCTAATTTCTTCAGGTACTTAATTGTCTGATGCAAATATTTTTAAGGGAGAAAATATCTTTGTATGCTCACAAGTCTAGATGTTATCAATAATAATATTTATCATTTATCTTAATTCCAGGTTTTTCTCTTTTTTTTCAATTCCAGTTTTGATCATTGTGTTAAATTATTATTTAATTTGGTTGGCTACATTTAGTATGTACCTTGCTTTTTTTTTAGTAGACACTAATTTAATGTTTTATTTTTTGTTAAGGGAACATTTCTCATTTCAAGGAGATTTGAAAAGTCTTGTGAAAGAAGATTTTTACATGCATAAAGAGAACTTTTGTCAGGAAAAGCTAGAAGATACAGTAGGTTTAAATAAAACTAATACTTGCTTTCGGTAATATTTTTATAAAAGTTGGTAAAGCACACTTTTATAAATTTCAGTAATATGCATTGACTATCTACTATTGTCAAGTTAAAAAAGACTTGGTAATAGGTTAAATATACCAGTAATGGAGTCAAATTTACTTTAAGATAGTGGTTCTAAACTGTGGTTGCACATTGGAATTACTTGGAGAGTTTTAATAAAATCCTGGAGCCTGGGTCCTACTCAGATGTATTTTGGTTGATATTGTGCAGCCGAGGTATAGTGAATTTAAAAACATCTCTTAGTGATTTTAATAAATCTACCTGGTATAGAACATTAAGTGGTCATATTCTAATTAAAAAATTGGAAACCAGAGCTAGAAATGTTGATTTTGATTTGTGAGTTACACACAAAACAGCACTATGTCAGAGAAGTTTCTCATTGAAGTAGTAAGAATAAAGATGATCTGAGACTTCATTTTAGGTGCTGCCTGTGGTTAATAAGGAAGATAGCATCATTACATATTAAAGATCAAATTCCTCAAAGGCATCCCTTCTTTTTTAGCATACAGTTCCAATAGACACAAAATTGTTACTATGATATTATTATGTAAAGAATTTTAGCAGTTGAGAGTGCAAAGAATTTTTTACAATTTAACAAACTCGGAAAACTAGGCCCATATAAATTCAATGCATTTACAAATTAAACATTTTTTTGAAACAACTGAAAATGTTTCATATTTGGGGCTTTTCTTAAGACATTCAAAGAATATAGATAGAAATGTCAATATAGATACAGATACAGATATCATAAGGCATTGAAAGGGTTTCCTTACAATTAAAAATGTTAATATACATGGTGAAAATATTAATTTACTTATTAGCTTCTTTTCTAGTCCCCCCATCCCTCACCTATTAGCTCTGAGAATTGTGCACATAGAATCCTGTTCTGTAGGAATAAAAAAGAAGTGTATTTAATGACATGTAGCAAAGATCCATTCCATTTCATCTACCCTTTTAACTTCTCTCCGTTCACTATTTCTCATCTACTACAGTGATTATTTTTAATTCAGAAGTTTAGAAATTTGTTATTAGGCCAAAAGAAGATATTTCTGCATCTAGAATACTGTACATCACTAGTATAATCAGTGGCCATAAAAGACATTACTCAGAACATTGCTTGTAGTATATTTTTGGCTACTATACCTCTATTTTTTAAAAAGATGTTTTAATAACATTAAAATTTTTGAATATTTAGTTAAAATTTGATACACCAATTAAACAAATTATATCTGTTTGTGAGTCCAGAAATACTTACCTGGAAAACCTCCCTAAAAGCTTGTTTTACTTATACTATTTCAGCCATCAATTTTGTCTGAGTGTGAATTCTTAATATCTACAAGCTCCAAACAAGAAGCTGATATTCCATCACTCCCCAAACTGAAGGAATCATTAAACTTAGTTCCAGAAATAATAAATTATGCAGATGAAAATGAACTTTTCAAAAGAGGTGAGAATAAATTTAAAAATCCGTTACTTGTAAAAACTATTTAATAGTGTTTGTTATAAAAGCACTTGACTAAACTGTTTCCTGTTTAAAAAACCTCCGGATTTTTATTTATTTATTTTGAACTCCCAGATTTTTAAAAAGTGTTCTGCAGGTAAATCTTAGAATTATTGTTGGTGAGACTCTTTTCTCATTGTCTTTCTCTTTATACACTTGCAAACTTAAAACATCTCTGAAATTAACCATTTCAATATAATTATACAAGTAAAGCTAAATCACCTATGACTATACTAATTTTTTAAAGTTGTTTTCTAATAAACAATGACAAAGTAGTAACAACTTCTATGCTGACTTTAGTTAGATATGGAGAAGCTCAGAGTAAGATCCTGATTCATGGAATCAGGTAACTGGGAGAATCATAACCTAAAATGTAGATATTTTTTATCCCAGTTAGACTTTGTCAATATTGTTGAATTTTTCTGATGACAATTTAAGCCCAGATATTTAACTACTCTTTTATAAATTCCAATTGAAATCATTAAAGATATATAATATTAGGGAGGAGTGAAGGGAGATTTATGATATCCATTGAAAACAGGGATGCTTCCCATTACTAGATCACAGACTTGAAGGAATTCTTACAGACAAGACTAGATCAAGTATCAGCTTACAAATCAAAGCAAGGGAATGAAAAATCAGCCTGAGTAAGTTAATCAAATTCATACCAGAACTTGAGAATTTAGCCGGGCTTAAAACTGCAGGGTGGCCCATTGGCTTATTAGCAGGACACAAATCCATGAGTGCTAACGTAAAGGACAAGTGACTTTATTGACTGACTGTTAGGTTCCACTCCCAGCCTGCAGTTGGCTCTGATAGTATACTAAGTAAAACGGTGTCATTGCCACAGAGGAACGAACATTACAAAAAACCTGATGTGGTAGTTCTTATGCTGATAGTAGTCTTTCTTACTTTTCTTTTCAGATCGTACTGCCAAGCATGGAAGTGACATTGAGGATATAAAATGCAGCTCCACAGAAATTTTGGCCATTCAAAGCCATTGTGAACCAGAGTATAGTGAACCAGGTAGAAATTTTGGATGAATCATTGAGTTTATCAGCGGTTAGCTATATGTGATATAAAAGTATAATACACTCACATGTAAGGTCTACTATGAGACAGTTTTCATGTTTAAAATTTTATTATTGCAATCCAAGTTGTCATTTTTTCTCTTCTCTGTCCATTTACATTTGTTACTATCATTAACCGATTATCCTTCTAGCATCAAAACAGCATAATATACAGAGAGTTACAAAGACTGAGGAAGAGGAACGGAGGAAATAGCATTAATATTTAAATCAGAAATCTTATTATAGTTCAGTAAATAAAATTTTATATTTTACCTCATTATTAGTAATCTTGCTGACCTTTGTGCTTTTGTAAATTTAACTTTTTAATCGATTAAAACAATCCTGGGCAGCCCGGGTGGCTCAGCGGTTTAGCGCCACCTTCAGGCCAGGGCCTGATCCTGGGCACCCAGGATTGAGTCCCACATCAGGCTCCTGCATGGAGCCTGCTTCTCCCTCTGCCTGTGTCTCTGCCCCTCTCTGTGTGTGTGTCTCTCATGAATAAATAAATAAAATCTTTAAAAAAATTAAAACAATCCTATCATTATTGTTACTAATATTATCATACCAGATTTGGACTCTGAATCTTCTTTTGTTCCACTGTAATATCAAGTAGTGTTGCTTCTTAATTATGTTGATGAGGGGTACCTGGGTGGTCCAGTTGATTAAGCATCTGCCTTTGGCTTAGGTCATGATCCCAGGGGTCTGGGCTCAAGCCCTGCATCGGGCTCCCTGGTCTGCTTCTCCCTCTCCCTCTGCCCTTCCCTCTGCTCATTTACTCTCTTTCTCTCTCTCTCTCTCTCTCTCTCTCTCTCTCTCTCATAAATAAATAAATAAATAAATAAATAAATAAATAAATAAATAAATAAATAAATAAATAAAATATTTTACAAATTGGGTAGCTATTTTGATGATACTATTATTTAGTTACATTTATTTTATTATTTTATTTATTTATTTCAGCGGGGGTGGAGGGAGGTAGGCAGAGGTAGGGGGAGAGAGAGAATCTTACACAGGCTCTACGCCCAGTGTGGAGCCTAATATTACAACCCTGAGATCATGATGTGAGCCAAAATCAAGAGTCAGATACTTAACTGACTGAGCCACCCAGGTGCTCCTGTAGTTACATTTATAATTAAATCATATTAATCATCTATTTGGAAGTTTACTGCTTTATTTATGAAAGTGTTAGAAACACACTGCTGCTTATGAAAAAATGAGTTTCAGTTTCTTTTTCTTTAATAAATTTATTTTTTATTGGTGTTCAATTTACCAACATACAGAATAACACCCAGTGCTCATCCCGTCAAGTGCCCCCCTCAGTGCCCGTCACCCATTCACCCCCACCCCCCGGCCTCCTCCCCTTCCACCACCCCTAGTTCGTTTCCCAGAGTTAGGAGTCTTTATGTTCTGTCTCCCTTTCTGATATTTCCTACACATTTCTTCTCCCTTCCCTTATATTCCCTTTCACTATTATTTATATTCCCCAAATGAATGAGAACATACACTGTTTGTCCTTCTCCGATTGACTTACTTCACTCAGCATAATACCCTCCAGTTCCATCTACGTTGAAGCAAATGGTGGGTATTTGGCGTCTCTAATGGCTGAGTAATATTCCATTGTATACATAAACCACATCTTCTTTATCCATTCATCTTTCGATGGACACTGAGGCTCCTTCCACAGTTTGGCTATTGTGGACATTGCTGCTATAAACATTGGGGTGCAGGTGTCCCAGCGTTTCATTGCATCTGAATCTTTGGGGTAAATCCCCAACAGTGCAATTGCTGGGTCCTAGGGCAGGTCTATTTTTAACTCTTTGAGGAACCTCCACACAGTTTTCCAGAGTGGCTGCACCAGTTCACATTCCCACCAACAGTGTAAGAGGGTTCGCCTCTCTCCGCATCCTCTCCAACATTTGTGGTTTCCTCCCTTGTTAATTTTCCTCATTCTCACTGGTGTGAGGTGGGATCTAATTGTGGTTTTGATTTGTATTTCCCTGATGGCAAGTGATGCAGAGCATTTTCTCACGTGCATGTTGGCCATGTCTATGTCTTCCTCTGTGAGATTTCTCTCCATGTCTTTTGCCCATTTCATGATTGGATTGTTTGTTTCTTTGGTGTTGAGTTTAATAAGTTCTTTATAGATCTTGGAAACTAGCCCTTTATCTGATACGTCATTTGCAAATATCTTCTCCCATTCTGTAGGTTGTCTTTTAGTTTTGTTGACTGTATCCTTTGCTGTGCAAAAGCTTCTTATCTTGATGAAGTCCCAATAGTTCATTTTTGCTTTTGTTTCTTTTGCCTTCGTGGATGTATCTTGCAAGAAGTTACTGTGGCCGAGTTCAAAAAGGGTGTTGCCTGTGTTCTCCTCTAGGATTTTGATGGAATCTTGTCTCACATTTAGATCTTTCATCCATTTTGAGTTTATCTTTGTGTATGGTGAAAGAGTGGTCTAGTTTCATTCTTCTGCATGTGGATGTCCAATTTTCCCAGCACCATTTATTTATTGAAGAGACTGTCTTTCTTTCAATGGATAGTCTTTCCTCCTTTGTCGAATATTAGTTGACCATAAAGTTCAGGGTCCACTTCTGGGTTCTCTATTCTGTTCCATTGATCTATGTGTCTGTTTTTGTGCCAGTACCACACTGTCTTGATGACCACAGCTTTGTAGTACAACCTGAAATCTGGCATTGTGATGCCCCAGCTATGGTTTTCTTTTTTAAAATTCCCCTGGCTATTCGGGGTCTTTTCTGATTCCACACAAATCTTAAAATAATTTGTTCTAACTCTCTGAAGAAAGTCCATGGGAGTTTCAGTTTCTGAAGCCCACCCTATAAATATGTAATTCTGTGCTGGGCCACCCAGACTCCACACTTATTAAGGCAAAGAATTAGTCTCCATTAATACTATTTACTTAACATCACCAATATTTAGTATGAAGACAAAAATAGTATTGTCTCCTAAGTACTGACAACTTAAGTTGTCAGAATTGAAAGCATAATTATACATAAGACTCTTAGAATTTCTCTCATACAGTAAACTCAATAAAGTTTAGTTGTCAGTGTATTTTTTAAATCACTACTATCACTGTTGAGACAGCATGTGATATATGTGTAATTTCTTATAGATGGAAATTTAAAACTATTATTTTGTATTTCAAGTAGCCCAAATGTCTTTTTATTAAAACTTTGTGTTGGGGATGCCTGGGTGGCTCAGCGGTTAAGCACCTGCGTTTGGTCCAGGGATCGAGTCCCACGTCGGGCTCCCTGCAGGGGGCCTGTTTCTCCCTGTGCCTGTGTCTCTGCCTCTCTCTCTGTGTCTCTCATGAATAAATAAATAAAAATCTTTAAAAAAAATAAGTAAAATAAAACTTTGTGTTGTAGCAGAATGATCAATATAATAGTCACTTACAAAGAGTTCTAAACTAAATTTTATTCAATGTTTATGTAATTAATTATTTTTTAAACTTTTTGTATTCTAGTGGAGTTAGAAATGCCATTAACTCATCTACATCTAACAAACCAACCTTCTTCCGTGACTTCATTATGTACAAGACTTCAGACATTTCCATTTTCTCCTGTTTGTAAAATGTAAGTAAAGATTATGGCTAGAACTCAAATTACAATTCAAAATAACCAGTCATGGGCAGCCTGGGTGGTTCAGCGGTTTAGTGCTGCCTTCAGCCCAGGGCGTGATCCTGGAGACCCAGGATCAGGTCCCACGTTGGGCTCCCTGCATGGAACCTGCTTCTCCCTCTGCTCGTGTCTCTGCCTCTCTCTCTGCATCTCTCTGTGTCTGTCATGGATAAATAAAATAAAATCTTTAAAAAAAAATAACCAGTCTTTAATTAAATCCCTCCATATAAAAGCAATTTCCAAGATACCTCTGTGAAAGAATGTAAACAAAAACAGTGTTTATAGTAAGCAAATAGAATATATGAATATATATGTACATACTTATTTTTATACGTATAGAATATCTTTAAAAAGATGCAAGAATCAAGTAACTTTGGTTATGTCTGGGAGGGAACTGGGTAGCCTGGCATACCCATGGGAGCTAGTAAGTGATATAGCCAGGTTCTTTCATATTTTTCGTATTTTGAATGTGAACATATTACCATTTAAAATAAATAACTTGAAAAATTTTAAAGATCTGGCACTAGAACAATTTGCTTAGGATATTGCCACTGGATACCTGCCAATGGAGCTCCCACTATTGGCACTCACTGCTATGAAAGACAGTGTAGTTGTATATTTATTTGCTCAGGCTGCCTTAACAAATACAATAGATGAATGGCTTAAACACCCAGACTATGGTAAATTAATTTAAATTTATTTAGTTCGGAGGATAGAAGTCTAAGATTAAGCAGGACTGGATTCATTATGAGATGTCTTTTCTTGGCTTCATCTTAGGTAACTGTCTTCTATCTTCTTTTTTTTAAAAAAAGATTTTATTTATATATTTATTTGAGAGAGAGAAAGCATGAGCAGGGGGAGGGGCACAGGGAGAGAGAGAAGCAGACTCCCCGCTGAGCATGTGAGGTCTGACACTGGGCCCCTGAATCCCAAGATCATATCCTGAGCTGAAGTCAGCCACTTAACCAACTCAACCACCCAGGTGCCCTGTCTAGCTTTCTCTTCTTACAATCTTTCCTCCATGCATGTCTATGTCCTAAATTCCTATTCATATTGGATTAGCTTCTACCTTAACCACCCCATTTTAACTTAATTATCTCTTTAAAGGCCTTGTCTACAAATACAGTCACATTCTGAGGTACTGAGAATTAGAGCTTCAATATATGAATTTGCCCTCCAGTGGAGTCTGAGATAGCTTTTGTTGCTATCTTCTACCATGTGGCATCGTGTATCTTAATGTTTTCTAAATTAGATCAGTCTGCTATCCGGAATTGTCGCTGCATTTCCTTTCTCTTATGCCAGTTACAAAACTAGGAGCATAACCAGTCCATCCCCTTTTATCCCCACTGTAACCTTGAAACTTAATGAGTCCTAAAATAATACACTTTCTGGAAAATTACAGGAAAGTCTACAAGTGTCTAACGAATTATTCGCAGAATGGATGCTGTGGGAGCTGAGTATTGAGTTTTGAGTTCTTAGCTCTGATTGGCTAATCTGTCAGAGGAGAATTCAGAGGAGAATTCCAGAGGGTTTTTGGGAGCAACTGGAGCAACTTATCACTAGCTGCTCAGGTTTCTATTTAATGGTCTCAGGAAGGTGTCACAGCACACAATGAAGGAGTCTGGTATTGAGGGCCCCAACTAGCAAAGGATTCATCTGGCAAAGGATTGTGTCATTTGGGGAATAAACCTATGATATATAGAATCTACCGTGAATCAGAACTGCCCCTATCCGATTCTAACTCTAAAAATAATCTCACAGAACAAGTACAGAAACTACTTATAATTTGTTTAAATACTTTTAGTTCCTTGGCTAAGGTGCAGATGTTTATTTGCAGGGCATGTACTATCTTTTTTAGTGCTCTTTTACTTCACATACCCTAATCCATCTATTAGGGCAGATTGATAATCAAAAACAGAAACTAGCAGATATTAGTACAATCTTGAATTTCAATCGGATATTAAAAGTATTTACTTAATTATCATAAACTTTTAATCACACAAGCTATATATCTACTTACTCTTATAACTCAACTAATTAGAACTTACAAAACTTAAGTCTTTTCTATGTATTATTATTTTCATAAGTTAGAACAAAAAAGGCTTTTTAAAATTAGCCATAGGTTCTAGGGCCATTGGAAACAACTTAAAGAGGTCGTCTCATCATGCTACATTCATTAGCAAGAGGTAAATCACTTCAATTTGGTTTATGAATATAAAAACCTTAAAATTCCTGTTTAAAAAATGGATTTTCACCTCAACTGTGAACCTAAAAACAAAGAAAAAAGTGTTAAAATAAAAAAAGAAGGGAAAAATAAAATGTAGTGTTACTGTACCTTTAACTTGATTTTATGTCCCCAGTTACTTCTATTTCATAACACAAGATTTTGGCTGGAAATATAACCAGTTAACAAATATTTTGAGTGCTTACCACATGTCAAACTCTATGCTAGATTTTCTGAAGCTGAAAAGTCTGTGTAGCATCAGACTTTATTTCCATGCTGATTACTGAATTACGAACTTATTTTTATGTATGACTAAACAATATATCAAATTCAGACATGTCTTCAGAAAGTTATATTAAAAGTAAGAATATTTGTTTATTTTATGGTCTCCTGTTGGCCTTGGCTTGCCTTCCTTTTGCCTTAAAGTAATTACCTATAATCTGATGAGTCTGCTTGTCAAAGAGATCTTGGTGTAAGGTTCAAGAATTATCTAGAATCTCACATTTTGCCACCTCATGATAGATTTGGGATTATGTTGGTAAACTGGATAGCTTAGACATAAAACCTAGCTTTCTACTATCTGAGACTGTCAACTTAACTAGCAGTACTTATAATTAGCGTGCCCATATATGTCCCATATGAACAAAGAAACAGAATACAATCAATTCTTTCTTTGCAGGGGGTTGGGACACCTGGGTGGTTCAGTGGGTTAAGTGTCTACCTTTGGCTCAGGTCATGATCCCAGGGTCCTGGGATCAAGCCCCACATTGAGCTCTGCATTGGGCTCCCTGCCCCATGGGGAGCCTGCTTCTCCCTCTCCCTCTGCTGCTTCCCCTGCTTGTGCTCACTCTCTCTCTGTCAAATAAATAAATAAAATATTTTTAAAAAATTCTTGCCTTGGAGTGAGAGGTTTGGGGGCATAGATTAAAGGGTTTGTGGATTAGTGTTATTTTCCCTACCAACGCCATTAACTTCATAGCTACTGATAAACTATGATTTACACTAATTGTCATGCGTCTTTCTTCCTTTCTCTTCCTGGTACCCCAAGACATGCAAACAGACATACATCACTCACACACCCACTGAGTTTGAAGAACCTGAAATAAACTTTAGCACTAAACTTTTACCTTCCTAAGAAGTTAGAGGGGACAACTTTTTCACAATGACCCTCAACCAGGAGTGGCTCCAGAATTTGTTTAGAACGGACTTGGGGACAGCAATTTCATAAAAATTTGTATTAAAGCTATTGTTTTATATATATTTTTTTATTTTGGGTGGCTTGTAGGGTTGGTGCCAGCACACTTCATGGAAGGAAGTGCTAAAACCCTCCTAAGTCAGCCTCCTCTGGCTCCAGGTTCCCTTGAGGGATGTGGAGGTAGGGGTTGAGATATAGGCAAAACAGGAGCAATTCAGAGGCTAACAAATTCCCAAACCTTCCAAGGGGAGGAAAAGTAAGTATTTGAAACTTGGTCTGTAGAACATGCTACTTCAGTCCACACATTTATAGAGTAAATTTTTCACTTGCTTTTGAATGTAAAAAAAAAAATACTTAGAACAATAATTTTCTTAAGGCTCCATCCTGGGACACAGGGATCATGACCTGACCCCAAGACAGCTACTTAACTGAATGAGCCACTCAGGCACCCTGTGGAGCTTTTATTTTATTTTATTTTTTAATTTTATTGTGGTAAGAACACAATGTGAGATCTATCCTCTTTAAGTATCCGATAAATAATTATTGACAGTGTTGCACAGCAGATCTCTAGAACGTATTTATCTTAACCTAACTGAAACTCTATACCTGTCAATTGATTAGTAACTTCCCGTTTCTCCCTCTCTCCAATTTCTGGTAAACACCATTCCAGTTTTTGATTTTGGGAATGTGACTATTTTACATATCTCATAAAAGTGGAATCATTCATCTTTCCATGTCAGCTTATTTCACTTAGCAAAATGTCTTCAAGCCCATACATGTGGTTACATACTGTAGTAGTTCTATTGTTAATTTTTTGAGGAACCTCCATACTGTCTTTCAAGGTGGCTGCACCAGTTTGCATTACCACCAACAGTGCATGAAGGTTCCCCTTTTTTCTCAACATCCTCACCAACACTTGTTTCTTGTGTTTTTTTTTATTTTAGCCATTCTGATGGGTGTGAGGTAATATCTCATTGTAGTCTTGATTTGCATTTCCCTGATGATGAGTGGCAATGAGCGCTTTTTCATATAGCTGTTCGGTAGATGCTCCCCATCAGGTTGAGGAAGTTATTTTCTTTCTTTTTTTAAAAAAGATTGATTGATTGATTGATTGATTGATTTAACAGCGAGAGTGAGCTAGCCCACAAGCAGGGAGAGCTGCAGGCAGAGGGAGATGGAGAAGCAGACTCCCTGCCAAGCAGGGAGCCCAACGTGCGGCTTGATCTAAGGACCCTGGGATCATGACCTGAGCCAAAGGCAAATGATTAACCAACTGAGCCACCCAAGTGCCCAGGAAGTTATTTTCTATTCCTTCTTTCCTTAGCATTTTATTGGGAAATCATGTTTTATCAATTTCTATTTCTGCATCTATTGGGATGATCATGTTTTTTTCTTCCTTTTGTTGTGTGTTAGTATGGGAAGTTACATTGATTAATTTTTGAATGTTAAAGCAACCCTGCATTGCTGGAATAAACTCCACTTGGTTGTGATGTATTATCTTTTTAATATATTGTTGGAATAAGTTTGTTAAAATAGTGTTAAAAAAATAATTTTCTTAAAATTTTAGTATGTAAAAAGGCTCAATATTATTAATACATTAAGCTTTAACTCTTCATTCTCAGTAATTTGCTTTCTGCTGAAGAATCAGCTCACAAGTACTGGATGATGTGGCAGTTAGAAAGCTGCAGAAGCTCTTTGAACCCATTTTTGTTTACAGGTAAAGATTAATTGATTTTTGAATGCTAAACAAAAAGTAAATGTGAAAAGGTATAATTAGTAGAAATGTATTGTCAGTATTCTTCTTATTTTTTATTACTGTTACTGTCGTTATAAAAAACACAGTTCCAAGGACACCTGGGTGGGTCAGCGGTTGAACCTTTGGCTCAAGGCATGATCCTGGGGTTCTGGGATCGAGTCCCACATTGGGAGCCTGCTTCTCCCTCAGCCTCAGTGTCTCTGCCTCTCTCTCTCTCTGTGTCTCTCATGAATAAATAAATAAAATCTTAAAAAAAAACACACAGTTCCAAAATTAGGATTTCAAAATTTTTCATCATAATTTTGTGTTGATGCTTATAATGCAGATAATGATTTAAGTAGTTGCGCTGCTTCAGTTCCTCCATATATTGTGATTTGTCATTATTTAGGTTAGAAGTAATAAGGTAGAAAACTCTATGCCACAATATCTAAGATGATAGTCATCATAAAATCTGATCAAATATATCTTCTAGTTTAGGTTCATTATAATAAAATAGAATTTCAAATTTAGTAAATCTTACTTTAATTCTTCAAAATGCTATCAAATGTATTAATTTAGTAATTGCTAAAATGGTCAAACAAAATAATGGTTCTATCTCCTAGTAAATACTAGAATAATTTTAACTTCATGATACTTCCACAGATTGAAATAAATCCCTAGGACTCCCTGGGTGGCGCAGCGGTTTGGCGCCTGCCTTTGGCCCAGGGCGTGATCCTGGAGACCCGGGATCGAATCCCACGTCGGGCTCCCAGTGCATGGAGCCTGCTTCTCCCTCTGCCTGTGTCTCTGCCTCTCTCTCTCTCTCTGTGACTATCATAAATAATAAATAAAAAAAATTGAAATAAATCCCTAAATGACTTCTGTTGCTATAATACTCTGGACTTTTATTTTTTTTTTATTTATTTATGATAGTCACAGAGAGAGAGAGAGGCGCAGAGACATAGGCAGAGGGAGAAGAAGGCTCCATGCACCGGGAGCCCGATGTGGGATTCGATCCCGGGTCTCCAGGATCGCGCCCTGGGCCAAAGGCAGGCGCCAAACCGCTGCGCCACCCAGGGATCCCTACTCTGGACTTTTATGCTATAATACTCTGGACTTTTATAAGTATTAACATCTTGAAGATGCTAGTTATATAACTTCACATTTCACTTTTTTCCCCAATGTGTGAAAAGCTATTTCATAAGGAATGTTCAGTATGATTTTATTTATTGTATTTTTCATCTCTTTTTGCCCTGTGAACTGTTTCTATTTGTTTTTGGTTTGTTATTGTTTTTTAAGTGTCAAGAACTGAAGAGCCCCGCAGCCAATGTTCAGTTACAGATTTGAAAAAGATATTTTCTATTGAAGAAGAAAGCCTTGTAGTTAATCCTATAAGCACAGAGTGGTGGAAAGAAGGAGGACTAAATCTGATAGAAACAGAAACTTTGGAACTTCTGAAAACGTATTTGTCTGGTAATGATTTATCTTCTAGTGATACTACAATGGAGATATTTTTGCCAACAAAACTACTTCAATTAGAATGTGAGTACATAATAGTAAATATTACTTGTGTGAATTTTTCAGAATGAGAAAATGTTAGATGCTGGCTTTCCACTAGGTGATTGGGAAAATAAAACTAAATTCCAGCATTCAGTATTACCTCTGGCTCTGCCAGAATTTATAACTTTAAGCTCCATTAAGCCCCATTTTCTTCCTTGAAAAAAATGAGAAGTTTGGCTAGCTCCTCCTAAAATCCTTTGTTGTCCTAAAATTCTATAGACTGTTTTTAAATTTCTAGCCATTTTCAATTAAAGTGACTTTGTTTCTTTTTATAAATGATTAATTGCTGGCCTAGTGTTTATTTTACATCAGACTAGACTCAAACCAGCACTGTTATTTTTAAATCTGACAGGTGAACTCTGGGTGTTCAATAATAATATCTAGTAACCTCTCTTTAACAATAGATAATCTATCTTTGTATCCAAAGTATTTATTTACTCACTTAACTAACATTTTTTACTTATACAATTTAAGGCAGCAAAAATGTCTTTTGAGTATCTATCTTTCGAGTTATTTTTTTATATATCCCACTATTATAAATATAACATACTTTGCCTGAATTATACCTTTTTGAGTATATGGATTGTTTTTAAATTAGTTTGTGCAATAGTAAATTTAAATCTTAAGAAATTGGGAAAGTTCACTTTTAGTTTATTATATTTATATAAATATTTATATATTTTTAATACAATTTTATGTGTATGTTGGAGACTGCTCAAGGAGATAAAAACTGGGGCAAGAATGGGTATCAACAAGAGATGTTTCAAAGACAGAAGACAGAGGGCTTTGGTAAAAAGGAAATAGACTATGTCAAGGAAATGTACACCTATCCTAAGGCCTAGATGGTTACTCAGGATGGAAAAAGAATTTTAAAAGAGATTAAGTCGATTGACAGACAAAGAAAAGGGAGAGGAAGATTTTATGGGGTCTTCAAATATCCAAAATAATGTATTAAATCTATAAGACTATGTAAAATCTTTACTAGTATATGTAACTATTTTGAGGTTAAAATAAAACATGTAATTCACCTTTACATCAAGAGAATTATGATAGTTTAATTCTAAAGTTTAAAAAACTGCAACTGAGGGATCCCTGGGTGGCGCAGCGGTTTGGCACCTGCCTTTGGCCCAGGGCACGATCCTGGAGACCCGGGATCGAATCCCACATCGGGCTCCCAGTGTATGGAGCCTGCTTCTCCCTCTGCCTGTGTCTCTGCCTCTCTCTCTCTCTCACTGTGTGCCTATCATAAATAAATTTAAAAAACTGCAACTGAAAAAGTAATAAAAATAAATAGCAATAACTGTATTAGTGCTGGCGCATTGTCAAGTTGTCAAGATAGCGGTGATCAAACAGAGAGAAGTAGAAGAAAATAATCAGAAAAGGAAGTAATGACAGTTCATATTTGCCTGCTAAACATACCAGGATATCTCTAGAAAATATCTCAGAAGTTGCAAATTGGTGACACTCTGGTCTTAGCCCACATATTATTGACCCATATTAATGTTTTAATTAACTACCAATATGTACAGTTTCAAGAGTTGCAGATAAATGATCTGTATTTTGTCCTTAAAAATTCCAAATACCAGACCTATATTCCTATATAGCAACAATTGGTTGGAGCCACTAGCAGCTCATCACTTTAGACATGCCCGTTATAGCTCACCAACCTCCAATTCCCCACAGTTCCCAGCACTCATAAATTGAGACCAGGTGTTAGTTGGCAATTAGCATTACTCTTGCACTTTTGCCTTACATTTAATATAGTTAAGAGGAAAACAAAATGTTTCTTATACCATTATCTCTAATAAAAGCAAAAACAAAAAAAATACAGACTACTTTTGGAAGAAAAAAACTCAAAATCTATCTTCCTAAAGATTATGATTTAAGCACGGGCCATATACTTCATTCATTTACATAGCTTATTTATCTGGTCCTATAGACATTTAAGTTTTTCTCAAATAAACTTTGTAAGGTATAATTTATAATAATAAAATCTACCCATTCTAACTGTACAGTTTTATGTATTTTGACAAATGTGCATACCAATGAAACTACTCATCATAACTAAGATATAGAATATTTCTATCACTAGAAAAGTTCCCTGAGCCCCTTTGCATTCTGTAGTCATTCCCATCCCTCTCTTCTTACAAACTTCACTACTGACCCCAGGTAACCTCTGATCTACTTTCTGCCACTAGGTAGTAGTTTCCCTTTTTCCAGAATTTCATTTATGGAATTATATAGTAATTCTTTTGTGTCTGGCTTCTTCCACTCAGCATAACATTTTTGAGATTCATTTATGATCTTATGTGTATGACTAGTTCATTTCTTATTACTGAGGAATTTTTCATATGGATATATTAAACTCTCCTGGATTTATTGCCAGATTTTTACTATTAGGAAAAAACTTCTATAGTGTTATTAAAGAAGTCTTTTTGTGGACATATGTTACCATTTCTTTTAAGTGAATATATGTTATCATTTAAGTGAATATCTATAATTACTCAGTCTTACAGTAGGTATATATTTAACTTCATAAGAAACTACTAAATTGTTTACCAAAGTCATTGTATCATTATGTATTCATACTAGCAACGTGTGAGAGTTCCAGTTACTCTATATCTTTGTCAACAATTAGTATTGACAGTCTTTGGTTTTAGCCATTCTTATGGGTGTGTTGTGGTATCTCACTGTGGTTTTAATTTGTATTTCCTGATGACTAATGATGATGAACATCACTTTACATGGTCACTGGCCATTTGTATACCCTCCTTTAAAAATATATTAGAAGGGAGCCTGGGTGGCTCAGTTGTTTAAGTGTCTGACTCTTGGTTTAGCTCAGGTCAAATCTCATTGGTAATGAGATGGAGCCCTGGGGCAGGCTCCATGCTCAGTGGGGAGTCTGCCTGAAGATTCTCTCCCTCCGCCCCTCCCTCTACTTGTATTCTCTCAAATAAATAAATAAACCTTAAAAATATATATATAATGGATTTATTGAAATATAATTCATTGGTATGCATGGGTGCTTCAGCGGTTAAGCACTTTTGGCCCAGGGTGTGATCCTGGAGTCCCCGCATCAAGTCCCACATCGGGCTCACATTTATGAATAAATAAATAAAATCTTTTTAAAAAAGAAATATAATTCACATACCATGCAACTCATCCATTTAAAGTATAAAAACCATTCAGTGGTTTTTACTATATCCATGGAGTTGTAATCGCCAGGAATTCTAGAACATTTTTCTCATCACCTAAAAGAAATCTCATACCCCTTAGCAGTCACTCCCCATTTTCCCAGCCGTGGAACTACTAATTTATTCTCTGTATAGATTTGTTGACCCTGGTTGTTTCATATAAATGGAATCATACAATATGTGGTTTTTTGTGATTGGCTTCTTTCATTTAGCATATTTTCACAATTAATCCTTGCTGTAGCATACATATATGAAGTATTGTTCAAATACCCTGTCCAATTTTAAATTGGCTTTCTTTTTAAATATTAAGCTATAAGAGTTCTTTGTATATTTTGGATATTGTCCTTTTTCAAGTATATGTATTGCAGATATATTCTTCTGGTCCATGGATTGCTTGATACCTAAGGTTTTGACCTTCAGACTTAATTGCAAGCCTATTGGCAATAGGACTTTTCTGAAATTCTTTGCCTGGTAACCTAGCTCCAGAAATAAGAAAAAGAGGTGCTGAATTATTGCCCTTTTTAGAAATTTATTTTATTCAGGCCAAAATTGATTTTACTTATTTATTTATTTAATCATGAGAGGCACAGAGAGAGGCAGAGACATAGGCAGAGGGAGAAGCAGGCTCCCTGCAGGGAGTTTCATATGGAACTTGATCCCAGGACCCCGGGATCACGACCTGAGCCAAAGGCAAACGCTCAACCACTGAGCCACCCAGGTGCCCCCAAAATTGATTTTCAAAGTAGTAAATAAAGTACTTCTTAGGATCAAATTATAATAATAAGAACTTACAAAAATTATCGTAATACCCAAGTAGTACACTCATTTATGCTTGGAAGTCATTTGGATATATTTATTTTCTGTTTTCAGCATCGCTAGAACATAAAAGTTGTTCCTCACCTATTGAACTTATTGATGAGAAATCTACAAATGATCATTTATTACTTTCACAAAATATTTCATCTCCAGCAAAAGAAGTACCAGACTTGTGTTTTTCTGATGATAATTTATCTGTTAAGCAACCAACAAAAGAAGAAAACCCAAAGAATGATCTAGAACCAGTTTACAGAATAAGCCAAAATAAAGAAAATGAAGATTACTTGGAACTTGACTGCGCAGTACCATCTGATGAATTATCTTCCTCTCCAAAAATTGAAAAAGCATCTTTTAAACATGGTAAAAAATGGGAGGATGATTTGGATCTTTTGAGTGACTTTATTATGCTGAGAAATAAATATAAGACTTGTACCTCCAAGACTGAAGTCACAGGCAATAAAGAAAACGATGGTGGGTAATTTAGTAATATTTTGGCACAGATATGATAGCTTTAAGGGCTAAATGTATAATTCATTACAGAAAGTAAGGAAATATAGCTCTTTCAAATAGAACATATTATTTTTCAAAGTCAAAGGAAATGGCATTCATTCATGATGATACTGACTATGGAGATAGATGTGGCTATTTAAAATATAGATATAGATACATATTTTCCAAAAAATTTAAAAGTGCATTTCAACTTGTAAAAAAAAAGCCACTATTTGTAAAACTTGCTTTCTGCAAGTTGGTTATACAGGGTCATAGTATTTCTAACTTTTATTGATCATTCTGCCATTCTTTTTTCTCCTTTAGCTGACAGTCCTCAGTATTATGACTTATATTTTAATGTATACTTAAGAATACTTTGCCCATTTGGTTGTTCTACTCTTTTTAACTTTGCTAAAGAGTTTCTGTGTTAGTTGTAACTGTTTTACATTCACTGCTTATAACTATATCAAAGGGAGTGTGTGTCATGTCATTTCACTTCTGGTAAAGAAACAATAGGTATTCTAGAATATGTTTGACATAAATTACCCAGAAGAATTAAGTACAAAAATATTTTTGTGTGAGAATTACAGTATACTTAGGTCTTATAGTCTCGTATTAATATACAATTCCACTGTTTAGTTAGTAAGCCCATTTGACTCTCAAACTAAGCTCCTTTCTCCAAGTTAGACTTGATTAGTAACAGGTAATATTTTGGTGTATATTTTACTTCTTGCCTTATTTTATAGTTAATTCAAGAGCAAGAAAGAATGGTACAACTTATTAGGCCCCCTCAAAAACTCTAGTAATTGGTATTATTTAATCCTAGTTATTCCAATTATTTATAGTTAATTAAAAGTGTACTTACAATCTATTTTAGGATATTTTACTCCATGATTTTTCACATGCATTTAAAGCTAATATGTTAAAATGGTATTACATTTCCAAAATTATCTTGTAATCATATTATTAATAGATAACATTGCTATCTAATTAACATAAGTAACTATAAATAAGTTAATTAGTTATATGTATATTTGTAATCCTCTACAATGCTTGGGAAAGAAGAAAGGAAACTGACATTTTTGAACATGGAATGCCAGCACTAAATTACATGTTGGAGATAAATACGATATTATTGCTCACCCTGAGAAGCTAACAACATAGTAGAGTAAGGCTTATAGAAAATGCCTGAGAGCTGAAGGGGGTGAGTGGTAAGAATTGTCCTAATTAAGAAAGGATGGAGGGATGCCTGGGTGGCTCAGTAGTTGAGGTCTGCCTTCGGGATCCTGGGATCGAGTCCCACATTGGGCTCCCTGTGAGGAGCCTGCTTCTCCCTCTGCCTATGTCTCTGCCTCTCTCTCTGTGTCTCTCATGAATAAGTAAATAAAATCTTAAATAAAGAAATAAAGGATGGAGACAGGGAGGACTTGGGGCATAGGAGAGAATTAGTAGCAGGAAGAGTATATGAAAAGCCACAGAGAAATGCAGTTGAGCTATATGTGCCTTTTAGGTGTCAGGAACTGTATTTGATGTTTAATCTTTATAACAATATTCAAAATAGGTATATTTATCTATATTTTATATATGAGGACACTGAACCTAGATCAGAACTGAGATCGAAACAGTGATCTGAAAAAAAAAAACAGTGATCTGTTGATGCCAAGATTCTTTATGCTACTGCCATTCAGCACTGTGTCACATCCATTAACCTGAATAGTTGTTCAATTTAATACGGACATGTTTCAAGGAAGAACTTTAACAACTGTGATCATATTACATGAAAGCATTTTAAGTAAAGCAGCATTAAGTTTTCCTGAGTAATGCAAAATAATATTTTTTTATTAGAATTTCAAGATAAAGAAGAACCTTCTTTGACTCTTCAGGAAGCAAGTCATATTGTTTGTACTCCTAAAGCTCTAGAGAAAATAAATCAGGAAAGGAGAGCAGATAATGTCATTGAAATTCAAGCATCAGGTATGATGTATGCTTTTTAAAATATATTCAAATTAAGTAAATTTGAATGTACTTTCCTGAGTAGGACATACCTAATTTTCCATGCAATTTTCTTCGCTTGTTTCAGATGTTTCTTCATCCCATTCCTACTTTCAAGATATTCCCACACCTGGAACACCCTATTCACTGCCTCTGCCCTGTTCATTGCTCTACTCCAGGGCACTCAGTATTATGTCTCCCTTCATTTAAACAGCTGCTTCCCTACATTCATTAGACAACAGCACACTGCAGCTGCTCAGGCTCTTCTGCCCAATCTGGAAAAATGAAAAATCTGAAGCTTATTCCCTGTGTTCTTTTACCCACTGTCTGGGTGATATTTTAAAAAGCTATTATTGTTTCCAATACTGACTAAAATTTTTGCTTCTGCTATGAAGAATACTGTTTGACTCTTAAAGAATAGCCTGCTTAAGAACATCATGCTCATTATTAGAATCAATAAGAAAATATGACACTAGCTTTTAATATCTTTTCATTGTTTTGGTTTAGTTTTATTTATGACCTTAAGGTGATAATGCTCATCTTTAAGTATTGATACTCTAAGTGAAAACTAGAAACAATTTGTCATTGTTGTAAATTCGTTCAGCTTAAGGTTGTAAGCTGATTGCGGAGGGAAAAGAAAAAAATTATGTGATTCTCTTTATATGGCTCTTCACACTTGTCATGCCAAATTAGTTACTGAATAAATACCATAAAATTATACTAATTCCATAGAGGGGTCTTTGTTTGTTTCATTGTTAATTAGTTTACTTAGAACAAATATCCTAAAATGAACCTCTACATAAACTCATGATTTTTAACTCAGAAAAGAATTTGGATGTAGTTCAGTTTTCTGTGAAGTGACATATTTAATTGGTTTGTCAAAAAGAGCATACCATCCTTATAAAACACTATCTTTAATGCTTTTATTTTCACAGATAGCCAGTGCCAAGCATTCTGTCTCCTAGAAGCAGCAGCTACTCCTATCTTAAAAAAGCTTGAATGCCTCTGTACTCTCCCTGCTGCTGATTGGACATTTGCCACTGTCATTTTTGACCAAACAAGGTTCTTCTTAAAGGAGCAAGAAAAAGTAATAAGTGATGCTATTCAGCAAGGTGAGGACAAATAAAAGTCAATTATTTAAAAGGATAAAAATTTATGTATTATTGTACCAAATGAGTAAAAGTTGAATATAGAAGGTATAGAAATGAGCCATGAATGAAGGCATAACTTTAATTCAGAATATGACACCCATAAGCTATACTGCAGGGTCAGCTAAGTAAGGAGAAAAAGGTAACAAATGTCATCTGGCATTGCTTCTCAGTGATGCTCCTAATTGACATATATTACTTGACAGATTCCTATTGCAAAAATCAAGTTAACCCTATTATTGTTAACATCTGAACCACCTAATTGCCTCCCAAGATGGGGGGAGGTTGAAAAATAGATTAATTAAAGTCAATCCTGGGACTTTTCTTCTGGTCAATCAAGATGGAGTAACAGGGATGAGTTTACCCTCCATTCAGGAAAAAAAGAAAAGACAAAGACAAAATACACGAAACCAATTTTTAAGACCCTAGACATGAGGCAGTGAAGCACAGTGATACCCGAGAGATGAGAAACAAGTAAGGTGTGAGCCCTATCATTGCCCTAGCTTACTGCATTGAAAGAGTCACCAGGCCATACCACAGGGAGAGATACTAGAGGCAGAGCCCAGTGGAGAATCCGTGTTGAGGAAACAGAACTGAGAGTCCAGGGAGACCAAGACAGCTAGAGTTCAGAGGATAGGATATGAGAGAGTGGAGAGCTTCATACAGAGGACTGAACAGAGTACTGATCAAAGAGTGTATGTGAGGAAACCACCTGAGTTTGGGAAAACAAACCATCTGAAAGGATTAGAGTAAGTAGTACTCTGCACTCACGCAGGGCAGGGAGTCATGCCTGCTCCCATCAGCTAGATGAGAAAAACTCATAATTTGTTGGGCACCCAACATGGTAAAATTCACAATGTCTGGCATCCAATCAAAGATTACCAGGCATAACAAGATAGGAAACCACAATCCATAATGAGAATAATCCATCAAAGCAAGCTCAAAACTGACAAAGATGTTAGCATTATTAGGGAAGGACACTGAAACCTCTTATAACTGTGTTCCATATGTTTAATAAGTTAGAGATGTAAAAAGGACACAAATCAGACTTCTAGAAATGAAAATACAATGTATGAAATGAAAAAATGTACTGGATTAATGGCAGGGTAAATATTGCAGAAGAAAAGATTAGTAAATTTGAAGACATAGCAATGGAAACTATTGACAAAATAAAACACAGGTAGATAAAAGAATCGTTAAAAAGAAAAAAAAGAGCATCAGTGTCCTGTGAAATAATTTCAAATAGCCTGACATAATAGTAACTGAAGTCCTCAAAGGAGAGGCAAAGGGGGTAAATAGAAAAAGTATTTGAAGTGGGTGACAGGCACTGAGGGGGACACTTGACGGGATGAGCACTGGGTGTTATTCTGTATATTGGTAAATTGAACACCAATAAAAATTAATTTTTTAATAAATTTTTTAAAATTTATTTATTTATGATAGTCACAGAGAGAGAGAGAGAGGCAGAGACACAGGCAGAGGGAGAAGCAGGCTCCATGCACCGGGAGCCTGATATGGGATTCGATCCCGGGTCTCCAGGATCGCGCCCCGAGCCAAAGGCAGGCGCCAAACCGCTGCGCCACCCAGGGATCCAAAAAATTAATTTACTAAAAAAAAAGAAAAAGTATTTGAAGAGATAATGACTGGAAGCTTTCCAAACTTAGTTAAGAACTACAAACCCAGAGGTCCAAGAAACTCAGTGAATCCCAAGCACAAGAAGCATAATGAAGCTACATCAAAGCATATCATTATCAAATTGCTCAAAACTAATAGTACAGAAAATTGTAGGAGCAGCCAGAGAATAAAAAAAAAAGTTGCATAAGGAAAGCAAAGATAAAGATGACATAATTTCTTATCAGAAATAGTACAAGTAAAAAGACAGTGGAGTAAAATCTTTAAAATACTGAAAGAAGGGCAGCCCCGGTGGCGCAGCGGTTTGGTGCTGCCTGCAGCCCAGGGCGTGATCCTGGAGACCCTGGATCAAGTCCCACGTCGGGCTCCCTGCATGGAGCCTGCTTCTCCCTCTGCCTGTGTCTCTGCCTCTGTGTATGTGTGTGTGTGTGTGTCTATGAATAAATAAATAAAATATTTAAAAAATAATAAATAAAATACTGAAAGAAGAGGTGCCTGGGGGGCTCAGTAGGTTGAGCGACTGACTCTTGATTTGGGCTCAGGTCATAATCTCAGGGTCCTGGGATTGAGCTGGGAGTCTACTTGAGAATAAACTCCCCTCCCTTTACCCCAGTTCCTCTCCCTCTCTCCCAAATACATATTTAAAAAATAAAATGAAATACTGAAAAAAATCCTAGTTTTCTATACTAGGCAAAAATATACTATGAGAGCAAAGGTGAAATAAAGATATTTTCATACATACAAAAGCTGAAAGAATTTGTCAGCTGCAGACCTGCACTTTAAGAGATGTTCCCCTAAAGAAAGAAGAAAAATGGTACCAAATCTAGTTTCTCTGCCCTGTTCTCATCCCTTCCAGGCCATGACTGACTTGTTTCCACAAGTCCTTACAGGGGCTGGATATACTACCCATAAATGATTCTCCTGTTGCTTCTTGTTTTCCAGTGATGACTTCATATTTGCCTTGATCTTTATTGATTGGTTTGATGAGTTTTCAAAATTTTTAGCAGAACTTTTGGTACAAATAAATATTTCATGGGCTCCCATTATATAAAATGGAGAAAATTAGAGCTTTTCTGGTTGAAGTGGGGCAGCAGGCCTAGATTCCTATCTTCTTGATTTCACTTTTGCACACAGTGCAGAAATCCAATCTATCATCTTCAAAAAGCTCTGGAACTACATGGAAAACATTAAGTAGACAGTTGGTCTGTCCTTGTAAATACATCTCTGGTTTGAGTCATATCTTTGGACAAATATTCCCAGGTGTCTCTACCTCCATTTCAGGGTATTGCTTTATGTTATAATCACTCATCTTTATCTTCACCAGTTGGCAAGCTGTAAGTTTCATTTTCTTCAAGAGTAGGAACACTAAGGATAGCTGTCTGGGTTTGAATGCCAGGTCCACCATTTATTCACAAATTGACCTTGGACAGTTACTTAACCTTATTCAGACTATTTCCTCATCCAAAAAATGAGGATCATAATAAACTTGTCTGACAGGGTTATCATTATAGATTCAGTGAAATAACCAACTTCTAAACAGCCTGGCACATAGTAAGCACCTGATAATGAATGTTACCTAGTGTTGTTAAGCATTCTGATACATATTCCAAAATTCTTATGTGTATCTTATGTTTTTAAATATGTTTTTTCTTGCTTAGGTACAAACCATGGAAAAGAAATGACATTTAAATATGCTGCTCTCTTACATCTTCTGGTAACAATTAGAGATGTCCTTTTAACGTGCGGCTTGGACACAGCATTGGGTTAGTGAGAGAAATTTTTACTTCTCCTTTTGTTCCTATTAAAATATTTCATCTGAAATAACTTACTTTTTTGAAAAAGAGGCACCTTATGAGAAATTATGTAACCTCTTTTACTTCCACATTAAATGTTATGTACATTTTGGCATAATTATAATAGAATATATATTTTTATTCTGCCTGTATCCTTTAAAAGAAATCATTTGTAACAAATTTCATCACTTAGAAGAATAGGTTTAAGATTCTTTAATCTAGGCCTGAATTACAGAGTCGTAATGGCCTTAGGCAGATTTGATTGTATAATCATTGTCATGCACTACTTTTTAATGTAAGATGATATTTTGCCATGTACATTATAGGTCTTCATTGAATGTTTGTGGCTTTGAATCTTTGCTAGCTGAATATATATAATTAATATAACCAAATTAATAGTAGTAGGATATTTTACAATTTCTTTTTTAGTTTTGCCTATAAATTAGGGTATGAATTACTAGAGGAATAAAAATCAAGATATTTTGAATACATTGGAAAATTTTAAAGATTTTAGAAATTTTTTCTAAACTATCAAATTCATTGAATACATTGGAAAATTTTAAAGATTTTAGAAATTTTTTCTAAACTATCAAATTCATTAAAATATTTGTCTCAAAAAATATTTGTCTCAATACATTACTGTTCTAGGCTCCTTATTGCAAGGATATGTAGACTTGTTTAGTAATGGTATGCTTATAGAATTGTTTTATACTTTAGAATGAAACCCATTTAAAATATAAAATGAAAATAATTTTTCTCTGCTCTATGACCCAAAAGTTTTGTTTTATCTGACCCAGACAAGTATTTCTCTAATCCAAGGTTTGATAAGTACTGAGCAGCATTGAATTACAGCTATACTCCCTCTACAGCACTGGGAGTTAATATTTGCCAAGTACTATATTAGTATTTTCTGGCAAAGTATTATAACTAAGTTATAGCTACATTTAGAAAGCCCAACATGGTTCTTTTCCTTTCCTCTCCAATTAAACCACTTGGGTATTGATGCTGGATTGTTTTTTTCCTTCCATCCCCAGACGAATATGGACTGGGGGCTCTCGCCCTAGTTTACAGTACCAGAAACTGGTATAAGGATATAGTATCACATCTCCTTCTATTTAGTTATCTGTCTTCATTATACTTTGCTTTTTCCATAAAAGATCATCAGTTCTACCAAAAGCATAACATAAGGCAGAATGTCAGAATCTAGAATATCTGAGCCCCCAGTGCTGTAGAGAGTCTTGTGACTCTGCTGCTCGATACTTAATAGTTTTAGAGAAATATTTATGGAGGATTGCTTGAGGTATGTTCACCTTTAAGTACTCTTAAAATCTACCCTAGGATTAAGTGTGACCATGAAGAACTATATACTGTATACTTGGGCTGAATTATTTTTGTTCCTCGAAGAAATACTTTTACTAAATCAAAGTTGGGCATTGCTATTTGGTTACCTTGAGGCATACTATGAAAGTAAAATACTTATTGGAAAACAAACTTAAGCTCTGTACCAAGCTTTTAACCACTAACATTTTTAGTGGAGAGATCTCTCACTTCTCTAAACCTCTCAAAATCAAAGAGTGAATTAGACTGTTCAGTTTTCTTTTTCTCTGCATAGTGCCTGAGAAAGAAATTTGGTCCATGGGGATCTGGCAGTCTGTCTTGGTGCCTTCCAGAATTCTGTATTTTTCTACCAGTTTCCAGCTTGCTATGTTTCCCAAGCTAGGAAGCTAATGAGTTTCAAGATTAAAGTATAGAGTTTCACTTCTGGGCTTTAACCCAGAAATAAATTTAGTATTGTGTAATGCATATTATGGCAGTGATATGTACTAATGGCATAAAGGATGGAGACTGTTACCCTTAAAGCTGAACATTTGTTTAAAAATAAGTAGGAGCTTGACAAGTAAGTAAAGTATGAAAGGGTATTATAGGCAGCATTAAGAGCCCAGAAGAATGACCCAGTGGGTATGCTGCATATGGTTCTGTGTAGCTAAACTGAAGAGTATAAGGTAGAAAGGAGTAGGAACTAAGCCTGAAGACATAACAAAGAACCAAACCATGAATAGCCTTTTAAGCTGCACAAAAGAGTTGAGATCTTTTTCTGTAGATGATAGGGAGCCATTGAAACAGGGATGCTACTGGATTAGGCTTCTCTTTCAGAAGGTTAGAGAATCAGGAAGATCTTTTAAGAGAAATTCCTGGGAGAGTCTGGATTTACTATGAACTTTCAAAGATGGGTCTCAGGATTCTGTGTTTAGAAACTGCTTTAGTGAGTCTGAATTTAGGCTCTGCTGTTTTAGCAGCTATACAAATAAATTATGCATAAATATCATGGATTATTTACCAAGAGCTTATAGACTAATGAGATTGTTATATACATGAATAAGAAATCAAGTATAAAAGCCAAGAAAATTCCAATGAAGTGGTATTTCCATAGGACTTGCATATAACTGTAGACCAAGGCAGGAGGCAGGAAACGATGGGATATATTCAGAGGATATATAGACTATGTTATGTAACTTAGAAGGAGACATTTTTTAAAAGATTTTTATTTATTTATTTATTTATTCATGAGAGACACAGAGAGAGAGAGGCAGAGACACAGGCAGAAGCAGAAGCCGGCTCCCTGTGGGGAGCCCGATGCGGGACTCGATCCCAGGACCCTGGGATCACAACTGAGCGGAAGGCAGATGCTCAACCACTGAGCCAGGCGTTCCCAAAAAAGGAGACATTTGATACATATTTTTCAGCTTCATTCAGTTTTGAGGTTTTCATTAGTCGATATCTTTGATCAAAATCAGAAAAGGATTAAAGAAAATTTATGACTCTTGTGTTCTGTCAAGTTTTTACCATGGAATTTCTCAAAGAACAAAAAGGCATGCCTCCCCCACCCCTCCACTTTTGTTTTTAACAGGATATTTGTCAACTGCAAAAGATATCTACAGAAACATTTTAGGCTCCTATTTGGATGACATTTGGAGACAATTGGAGATTCTACAGTTTATTAGGGAAAAAAATCCTGAAACCAACTACAAGATACAAGAACTGCAATGTCAGATACTAAATTGGATGCAAAGTGAACAACAGATTAAGGTAAGTGCTGGAATAAAGCAGATAACGGTAATTAGCTTAAATAAGAATTGGATGTAAGATCAATTTTTGCATTTAACACTGAAATTTTGAAATAGGCTAGACTATTTGGCTCCTTGGTAGTTTTCTTCTTGAGTAAGTTAACAAAAAGAATCTGACTGAGAGAAAGGGTGAGTTGCGCCATTGTTCATATATATTGAATTTTTAAAAACTTTAATTTTTATTTTATTCAGTTTTCTATGGATTGGCTTTCCAAAGCTCAAAATTATTGTCTGGCACGTTATGTTCATGAATATATACCAAATAACAGAACCAGAATAATTTATTTTTAGATTTTGAGCCAGAATCTCATCTTACATGATTCCATAAAAAAAAAAAAAAAGCATTTAGCTTTGGATTACATTGGAAATTTTTGCCCACCCCTGCCTCAAGCATATGAAGGTTGCATTGATAAAGACTTAAGAGGAAATACGTTCTTAAATGTTTTCAAGCCAAAAAACATTTCAAATGCTTTGTGCTAAATCTGGATACAAATTCGGCCTTTTTTCTTCTTTGTCCCTCCTGTCTCTATCTCCAACTCTGGTTACTTAGATAGCTTACTTGTCATTAAAGTAAAATAATCAGTAAGAAATTGAAATTTATTTGTTGTCCTCCACCATCACAAGAAAAAGCTGTAATAATAACTAGGAAAATAAAGCAACAAATCATTGGTTTTCTCCAACCAATTCAAACTTATCTGGGTTGAATTTAACTAACAGTGCAGATAGAGGCAATTTATGTATACACTTACCTATATGAGAGTACATGGATGCTAAAAATGCTCTACTCCAAAATATTTTCCTCATTGATGTTTGATCTTACCAGAATTTATTCCTTTGTGTTTAAGCACTGACATCTTTTACAGCACAAATATCTACTTGGTAATCTTATTTGTCAATAGTTTCATGTAACCAGTTAAGCTTGTTATTTTGTCACAGTAGCAAAACTATGAAAAAATAATTATTCAGAGATATATGAAATTCTTATTTTTGATCAGGTGCTGATTATAATAAGAATGGACTCAGATGGTGAAAAACATTTACTCATAAAAATTCTTAACAAAATGGAAGGTAGGGAGTTTTAAATTATACTTCTTTTGGTAGCAAATATTTGGAACATATAAAAATGTAGCGATCTAAGTTTTTAAATTAAGATATAATAACATACCATAAAATCCATTCTTTAAAAGTACATAACTGGGGATCCCGGGTGGCTCAGCGGTTTAGTGCCTGCCTTCAGCCCAGGGCGTGGTCCTGGAGTCCGGGGATCAAGTCCTACATCAGGCTCCCTGCATGGAGCCTGCTTCTCTCTCTGCCTGTGTCTCTGCCTCTCTCTGTGTGTCTCTCATGAATAAATAAATAAAATCTTTAAAAAAATAAATAAATAAAAGTACATAACTCAGTGGAATCTAACCAGTTTTTAAATAAATCTTGACTAAGTCTGCAATATAAATATTATAAGGTACTTATGTGTACATTGTATGTACCTTTGTGTGTATTATTAAGTTGACACCTTTTATTGTCTACTAGTTGCTAAATGATTCTGTATACTTACAATAACTCTATACATCAGTTTTACAAATAAGGAAACTAGGGTTCATAAGGGTATAACATGCCACATCTCACAGGTAGTAAATGAGGAAATCAGGATTTGAACCAAGGTCTGTCTTGTTCTAGTGTCATTCTTCAACTCTTCTACCTACTGTTGCCCCCTCTGCCAACCCTTTCCACCTTGTGCCATGGAACCTGTTGCTTATATGGAAACTCTTCTCCTTTTTTTATCTTCTGGTGTTAAGTGAACCCAGCTTTCCCCTGATGATACAGCTCCCCTGTATCCCTTTCATAGGGTAGCTGATAATTCTCTCTCATATATATATATGTGATATATTTATTTCATAGAGTTGAAAGGGCCATTTCTTGCTTTCCATTATCCTTACTAAAACATTATTCCTCTATCCTCTGAGGCTTTGCCATATTGCCACACCCTTCTCTACCACTCTGTATTGCCATCATTTAGTAACCCCCCAAGCATTCCCCATCATCCATGGATAGTTGTGCACCTGCTTCATGGTATTCTTTTCACTCCTAGTCCTGCAATTATCCTAGGTGTCATTAATGTGAATGACTCATTCAACACCCGGATCCTACAGTCTCATTGGCTTCCACAGCAGAAATGATATTCACTTCTTGGATATGCCATTGACCTTGTAATAATGCAGAACTGTGCTCCTTATGAACTTTAAATTCTATTACATTGTTCTCTGTCCACAGCCATCTGACCTCCTCCATGATGTTCAGCATCTAAGAGATCTGTAATCAGTCAACTCCTTATTTGTTTCACATTTTTCTCTTTCCAGAGTTGGTGATGTGCCCATGACTTTAATCAGTCTTGTCAGGCAGCCCCGGTGGCTCAGCGGTTTAGCATTGCCTTCAGCCCAGGGCATGATCCTGGAGACCCCCTGCATGGAGCCTGCTTCTCCCTCTGCCTGTGTCTCTGTGCCTCTCTCTCTCTCTCTCTCTCATGCATAAATGAATAAAATCTTTAAAAAAAGATATAAAAAAATCAGTCTTGTCCTTCTGCTGTACCTTACATTTAAACCTCAGCTCTAAATCCATCAAGACATTTAATCCCTCTGTTCCTCTACCTGAGCTCCTGAGCATTATTAAAGAAAATCAGATAGTTTGGTACCACTACAAACTTACCTTCTCTGACCTTATATGGGCTCTTAATACCTCTTCACAACCTTTCATCTTACAACCTTATCATCTGCAAACTTACCTTCACTTTTCTATTCTTTTATCTTTTCATCCTTTCTTTATAAAGGAGGTGAACCTCTTCCCCTTGAAAACCAACTTTTCACTTCTGCTTTGGATCCTATCTCTTCCTACATCAGTGTGTTCCCATCAGTTACCTCCTCACCCAGCCTTCCTCTCTAATGACTCTCCCTTAATCTTTAAGTCCTTCAGTCTTAAAAAAATAAAATACCACCCTCAACCTATCTTACCCTTTGTTTACTATTTCTCTTCCTTCCATAAGTTGCATCTTTGGCCACCTCCAAATATATTTCTTTGCTGTAACCCTACCCACTTATTTATCATGCTGTGTCCTATCTCCATGCTCTTACACCTCCTGTTCCTGCTATCATAGTACTCTTCTCCCCTTCTTTAGCAGCTAACTTCTATACATCCTTTAAAAATCAGTTAAAACGTTTGTTCAGGAAGCTTTGATTTAAAGGCTTTCACTTGTACTCTCAGTGTATTATGCTCATACTTCTAAGGCAGTACTTACCATCTTAGGCTGTAACAACTGATTCTCTTGTGTGTTTTCATCACTAGCATATCACCTTCTGGAGGGTAAGGACCATGCCCTAATTTGTATTCCCCACACCCCCTAAAATGCCTGGAATATAGAAGGAACTTAATAAAAACGAACGAAAACTGAACTAGTGAATGCCTCTCTACTTACCTAGTGGACTGAGACTAGTGAAAAAGATTAAATTGAACTATGTACAAATATTGAAAATGTCTGCTTATCAGTGCAGTTAGCAAAATTAACTATTAAATTATAGTAATATGAGAATGGAAGACTCTTTCAAGCAGAACTTTATAAGGGGCTATTTCTAGACATTATCATGTATTTAGAATCCAAATTTGCAAGCTTGGATCTTATTATTTCATCCAGTTTTCCAGTCTTGGGAAGATGAGGTCTTATCCACCAAATTCACAAGCTATTACTAGTACCAAAATGTTAAAGCAGTAATTAACAATTGTGAGCCTGAACCACTGCCACACCTGTCTGGATTTAGGGTAACTGAAAACATTTTTTTAAATTAGGAAAGTGGGATCCCTGGGTGGCACAGCGGTTTGGCGCCTGACTTTGGCCCGGGGCGCGATCCTGGAGACCCGGGATCGGATCCCACGTCCGGCTCCCGGTGCATGGAGCCTGCTTCTCCCTCTGCCTGTGTCTCTGCCTCTCTCTCTCTCTGTGTGTGTGTGTGTGTGACTATCATAAATAAATTAAAAAAAATGAATTAGGAAAGTGCTGAGCAATGTAATATTATGAAACAAAAGGATTTGGGTAACTGATGTAATACTTTATGAAGAGGTTTAGGAAATATTTCTGCCCCACAGAGAAGAATACTTAAACCCACTTAATGGGGCAACTTTTCCTTTGATGTACTTAAGACACACGGGCAAATTATTATTGGATATATCACTTGTTCTCTAGGCTTCATGCTGAACATTCTGTTTCTTTTAGCTTTGGGGATTATATCATCATTACTCTATTTCATTTCAATAAGATCTACTGACACAAAATATTTGACTAAGTTGAGAAAATGTTTTTCCTCTCTAGCAGCTCTCCTCTGTGTCTAGGAGTGAAGTCTTTTTTTCTTTTTTTCCTGTCTAGTATTAGAAAGTAGAAATTGTGATTTCATCGTCTCTGGGCTTGCAAGATCCTCATAATGCACTTAGCAAGTAATCTGCTTTGAAAACACAGTTAAGGCAAAACAGCTAAAGAGATTAGGTTTTAAATAGTATGACCGTGGGGTGCTTGGTGGACTCAGTCAGTAGATCATGTGACTCTTGATCTCAGCATTATGAGTTGAATCCCACTTTTGGTGTAGAGATTACTTCAAAATAAAACCTTTTTAAAAATATTTTATTTATTTATTCATGTGAGACACACAGAGAGGAAGAGACACAGGCAGAGGGAGAAGCAGACTCCCTGCAGGAACCTGATGTGGGACTAAATCCCAGGACCCTGAGATCACAACCTGAGCCAAAGGCTCAACCACTGAGCCACCCAGGTGCCCAAAATAAAACTTTTTAAAATAAAAATATGACCTTATAAATTTATATAAGAAGAGAAATACTGCTTATCCTCTTCTTTTTGGTACCCAAACTATTGTCATATCAAGCCAAGTAAACATTGAATTATTAAGCATTACTCATTATCACATCATGCCTTTGTGAACTTAACAACTGACAAAAGTACACTAATAAAGTGTAAAATTTATTTTGAAAAGAAATAGCTATTCTTAAACCAGTAGTGCCTACCAAAAATAAACTGTGTGGCTACAGAATTTTTGAAATTTATTTTATTTTGTTAAAATATCAGTAACATAAGAAACTTAACTTATGACATTTAGGAAGCAGAAGTGAATTAAGAAGTAGATGGCACCCAATAGGTCCACTTCATATACAGTCAATAGAAAGGAAAAAACGACATCAAAATGTAGTCTCTAGTTATTTAGTTATGTACTTACGTTTTTGACTAAAGAAAAAAGGTAAAATCAACCATGATTTTTAGCAAAGTAAAATTAAATGCACAGGGGCATCTGAGTGGCTCAGTGGTTGAGCGTCTGCCTTTGGCTCAGGTCATGCTGCTGGGGTCCTGGGATCGAGTCCCACATCGGGCTCCCCATAGGGAGCCTGCTTCTCCCTCTGCCTATGTCTCTGCCTCTCTCTCTGTGTCTCTCATGAATAAACAAATAAAAATATATTTTTTAAAAACTAAAATGCACAGAATTGATGAGTGATTCATTTAGCTACTTCCAAATTAAGATTTTGGGATCCCTGGGTGGCTCAGCGGTTTAGCACCTGCCTTTGGCTCAGGTCGTGATCCTGGAGTCCCGGGATCAAGTCCCACATCAGGTTCCCTGCATGGAGCCTGCTTCTCCCTCTGCCTGTGTCTCTGCCTCTCTTTCTCTCTCTCTCTCTCTCTCTCTCTCTCTCTCTCTGTATCCCTCATGAATAAATAAATAAAATTTTTTTAAAAAATTAAGATTTTGATCCATTTTATTTTACATAAATTCAGAATTTCCATGCTTATACATACAAAACATATATACTCACACACCAGAAATATTACCCATGCTTCAAACTTTCTGATACCCACAGACAGAAAAATAATCCAGCAAATTGTATTTTAAACAGTTACCTTGTTCACAGATCTTTAATTCATTTTTATGGTAGTGAAATATATGAACACCTAAAAATTATATATGAAGAAAACACTGGAAAACATTTTTTTGTATTATTCTTTTTTTCCCAACAGGTTTAACTTTGACTGTCATACATTCAAACAAAAGGAAAGATGTTCTGGAATCTGAAGGTGTTTTAAATGGGTAAAAATATGTATTTCTTCACCTGGGAGGAATAAGCTACTAGTTTCACAGGAAAAGCATAATTTCTCCTGGAATTTGATTTTTAAAAACGGTTTAGTAAATACTGAGATGAATCAATGTCACTCACTCTCCTCTTTCTGAAAAGTGTTTTACATTAGAATACTTAACTCAAAAAAAAAAAGAATACTTAACTCAGGTCATATATTCTATATTATTGTTGTCCAAAATTTTCATTCAGTCTTGCTTTTTAATATTCCCAAATTATCATGATCATTGTTATTGTTAGCAGAGGAAGTGCCCATTTAGATTTATCCTTGTTTATACCAGTTTTGGGGGTTTTATTGTTTCTTGTATCTTCTTTCTTTTGAGTTCTCATTCTTCCTGAAGTATCCCTTAGAAATTCTTTTGATGAAAGCATGCTAATAATAAAATTGGTGTTGACTTATCTAAAAATGTTTTTATTTTGCCTTATTTTATGTAGAAATTTTTATGTCTAATATTGAGATCCAAATAATAGAAAGTTGTAAATCAAATAGAACCCCACAAAGCATTTAACTTATGTCTATTATCTAACTAGATTGCTCTAGAGAGAAAGCAGCAGTAGAGAATTTTCAGTATAATAAGTGCTATTTATTATATGGAATTTGAAGATGGAAATGATAAACTTATGATATTTAAGTATCCCTGATTTTTATTGTTGCTAAATCATCTATGAAGTTCATTGAGAAAAAGAAAAATCATTTCAGAGTTGTCAGATAATCTGTTGTGTAGATCCTCAAAGATGAAAACCTCACATGTGTAAGAAAATGAGATTGAATTCTCATGGTGACTTGTCTGTTATTGATAGGACTCAGTTAGTAAAATTAGGATCCCTTGCATTTGAGGATGTGAAGTAGTCCAGTTTTTAGATTTTGTTTTTTAGAAAAATGTATGACCATCAGCTCACCTGGCTGGCTCAGTCAAAAGAACACATGTACTCTTCTCAGGGTCGTGAGTTTGAACCCCACATTGAGTGTAGAGATTACTTAAAAATGAAATCTTAAAAGGGGCACTTGGGTGGCTCAGTAGGTTAAATGTCTGCCTTTGGCTCAGGTCATGATCCTGGGATCCAGCCCCAAGTGTTCACTGGGCTCCATGCTCACTGGGGAGCCTGCTTCTCCCTCTGCCCCTCCCCTCACTTGTGCTGGCTCTCTCTCTCTCAAATAAATAAAATTTTTTTTAAAAATCTTAAACGTTAAAAAAAATGTATGACCATCAAAAAGAAAGATAAAAAGGAATTAGCACAATTGGAGAATAAGTCAACAGAAAATACAACAGTGCCTTTCCAAGATAAGCAGGCACAAACTAGAGAAGAATAAAATAGCCAAAAACAGTCATGATTTACTTTGGCTTTCCAAGTAAATAATGACACAAATATAATTCCATTTTCTTGGTTTTCTTTTGTCTTAAGTACAAGTTCCTGCATAATTGTACATAATCAACATATTGGAGCAGATTTCCCATGGACTAACTTTTCATTTGTGGTGGAATACAATTTTGTAGAGAACTCCTGTTGGACCGAACACTGCAAGAAATTGAATATTCCTCACAGGGCCTTCAAAGTGATTCTTCCAGACACAGTTTTAAAGAGTAAGATATAAACTAAAATCCTTTTGTGGTTATGGTAGAATGGAAATTGTCTGTTTTCTGCATCTGATCTATGGAAAGAGAATGAGCAATGGCATTAGAGGACTTGCGTTCAAGCTTGAACCTCAGTGCTCTGGGTGACCTTGGGCAGGTTCTTTATCCCGTATCTCATATTCCTCATTTGTAAAGTAAGCTTTACTGGCTATATTTGTCTTCATCCCTTTACCTTCTAATTTTTACTTATAATAGGACAATTTATTATAATTATATCTAATCTTCACCGGATACTTCAGCAATAGTATTTTTTATTGAATTTTAGGGGAAAATTCTATTGTAGTATATTGACTGATTCAGAAAACTTAATGTGCAACAAAAAATTACACAAAACCCTTCTGAAAGAGTCTAATAAAACCATTTTGTATATCATTTTGGTTTCTTTGTATTTCTCAGCAACACTGCATGTGACTCAAGTTGTGAATTCTCACATCCATTAAATTAAAAAGCCCAGGGGATCCCTGGGTGGCGCAGCGGTTTAGCGCCTGCCTTTGGCCCGGGGCGCGATCCTGGAGACCCGGTATCGAATCCCACGTCGGGCTCCCGGTGCATGGAGCCTGCTTCTCCCTCTGCCTGTGTCTCTGCCTCTCTCTCTCATTCTGTGTGACTATCATAAATAAATAAAAATTTAAAAAAATTTAAAAAAATTAAAAAGCCCATACATTTCTAGTCCCAGTGCATCCCTTTCAATACTTGCTATAAGTTACTTTCTGTCCACCTCTAATCTGAGTGGGAAGTTTGAATTCTGAGACATTCCAATTCAATTCTAAAAAATACAGTCACCATAACTATTACTTTGGAATCTTTGATATAGAGAATTAAATGTTAAGTTGATTAAATAATTGAAACATGGGCCCCCCCAAAAAAACATAAAAGATAAGCATCCTAGTTTATATGTAGAGGCTTCTTCCATTCTTTTGAAGATGAACTTAATTGACTGAGCCAATTCCTTATTTGGAGCATTTACAATGCTTCAATTTTACACTATTGTACTATGAGATTTGTAGTACCTTTAGTACCTTATGTATCTTTTTTATTTTTATATACTTGTTCTAAGAATTAAAATGAATTCCTGAATCAAAGGTATACACACATTTATATATTGCCAATATCCTTCCAGAAATGCTATCTCAATATTTGTGCAGAAAGTATGAGAATCCCTTCCCCACTATCTTTACTGTAGTAGGTGTTATTATTCCCTTAAATATTTGGCAGAATTACAGGCAGAAAATATTTTATAGTTATAGTTAATTAATTACAGATATTATCTTTGATTATATGTATCTTTTCAGATGTGAATTGATCTTGTATAGCCATTCTTTTGTAAATTGCCTATTAATGTTCTTTGTCCATTTATCTATTGATGTATTTACTATTTTCCTAATAATGTATCATATAGTACTTTTAGTAAATTCTGTTAATGCTGTTTTATTTTTAGGTAGTAGGATAACATAGTTTTTATTTTATTCTTCAGACCTTTCTTTTTTCTGACTTCTGATTTTTTATAATGGATATGTTTTATTTTTATACTACTCTTTGAACATACAATTGCTATTCTCATGGTTAGTAAAAAAGAGAAAGAACTGAAGGATGAGAAAAAAAGAGAAAACTTTATAAACTTTCTCTTATTTAGGAAGTACCTTGCTGGATAGTTTTGGTGGTTTTCTTCTGGAAATTCAGGTTCCATATGTGTTTTTTGCATCTGAAGGACTTCTTAAAACTCCAGAAATACTTCAGTTGCTAGAATCCAAGTAAGTTATTGATTTCATAACTTTAGCAAAGGTATATATATCCTAAATGGCTAAACATTATGCTATATATGTGGCATTATTTCTCTCTGATTCAAGCATGCAATTATATCACATAGGAATAGTTTTCCAGAGAGTTTATGTCAAGTTACACATCTCTCCCTGTAGTACACCATAATAATTACTGAATACTATCTTTTTTGGTAATACATATCAGTCTTATGGAGAAAACATATTTTATTATTGTTTATATTTATATTTACTTTCATTTCTTTTGTTATCTGGACATATGAGCACTTTATGTATCTTTTTTACTGTGAATTTTATGGTCATATCTTTGGGTCATTGATAATATTGAGAATGAGTGTTCTTAGAGGGCTTTAAATACGGCATGGGAAACAGGACTGTGAAGTTCTAAATGAAATACCTAAGTTCTAAATGAGACATCTGGGTGGCTCAGTGGTTGAGCCTCTGCCTTCAGCTCAGGGCGTGATCCTGGATTCCCGGATCAAGTCCTGCCATCAGGATTTCTGCAGGGAGCCTGCTTCTCCCTCTGCTTATGTCTCTGACTCTCTGGGTCTCTCATGAATAAATAAATAAATCTTTTTAAAAAAAGAAATACCTAAGGCAATGCACATCTCAACTAATTAGTCATATATACTGAATAAAATCATAATTTCATTCCTCAAATTTATAAAGTAAAATAAATTGATGTATGAAAGAAAAGGCATGGTAGTTCAAATAATTTAATATGCAGGAGAACAATACAGCTTTTCTTAAAATTTTTTTCTTGGCCATTTCATCACCCCAAAATATGATATTTTACAGATATAATATCACACTAGTGGAAAGATGCTGCAGTGAGTCATTGAAACTCTTTGGAGGTACAGAGTCTTATGTGGTGGTGACAATTGATGAACACACTGCTGTAATGTTGCAGGTAAAACTGTATAGTAAAAAATATAAATCAAATATATTAAAATATATGTATAACCATGTAATTTATTATTAGCTTTACCTCAGAGAGCTTAACTATAATCCATTAGTGATATCTTCCGAAACTTTGCAAATGGACAATAAGTATCAAAATTACCACTATGGAAAATGATTATTACCAAGCTTCTTCAATGCCTTCTAACTTTTAACATACTTTAAGAAGACAAAGCATATATGGAATCTCTAATGTTATATATTGACCTATTTCAAAATATATTTACAGAATAATTACATTGTTGAAAACCTTAAAAATAAAATAGTAGCCACCATGTTTCTTGAAAGGTGGTAGTATATTAGGGATACATGGGTGGCTCAGTTGCTTAAGCATCTGCCTTCTGCTCAGGTTGTGATTTTGGGGTCCTGGAATCAAGCCCTGCATGGGGCTCCCTGCTCAGGGGGAGTCTGCCTTTCTTTCTGCCTACTCCCCCCTGTTTGTGCTTTCTCTCTCTTTCTCTCTCTCTCTCTCTGGTAAATAGGTAAAATCTTAAAAAAAAAAAAAAGAGGGGGTAGTATATTAATCCATGATTAGTAACATGGATTTACTCTAAGGTAAGTGGGGAGTGCCTGTAAGTAAGCCGATATTAAAAAAAAGAAAATTTCTCTTTAAAAAATTCCCTATAGTTTGGAATTAAGATGTACAAATTCTTGACTGAATTTCCCTGATATGTTTGCTTGATTGAAGTACAAATTACAAAGAAAATAATTCGGTAGAGTGGAAATAAGAAGGGGAAACCAGGTTTGATGATATATAGTATAAATTAATGGCAAATATTATGGTAAAGTAGAAATCTAATCTGATGAGGAAATATTAACAGTGTAAGAATTATGTGATGGAAACACAAAGCTCTGTTAGAGGGGTTCTTAAGAGCTACTATGTCTTACATATTTAAAGTTTAAAAACACTTTTTTAGGGGGAAATACCATTTGGGAAACTGTTTTAATCTTAATTCATAGTTACATAACTTAGAGTGAAACACTTCCTGAATCATTCACTCTATCAGAAATTAATTGCATTAGAGGAAAAAGATAATTCTAGACCATTTGAGAGCAATTCCTGAAAATCCATTGATGGCTTCTATGTCATCTTCCTTAAATCAGCATTCAGTGCAGATTATCCCATAGGTTTTTGAACATATTTTGTATTGCCCTTAGGAGAGCCAGATCCCTATCGATAAAGGATTTTGCCCAAATAAGGGCACTCTGTAGGCTGCTTTCTTTATATCTACAGTTGAAGAGATTCATGAGCCCTCCTTGCTGAAGCTATCATTCGCTGGTTGGCATCTATAGTTTTTCCCCAACTACTTCCAGTGAGATTTTAAATTTTCCACAAAATGGAAGCCCATACCCATGCCTCTTCTCACATTATAATTTATGTATGTCATAGATTCTTGACATATGATAACAATAATTTCATAACAACTGTTCAACCTAGTGAATCTTTTTTATTTTATTTTATCTATTTTCTGTTAGGACCTAAAAGAATTGAATTGTGAGAAGGCATCAGACAATATCATTATGAGACTGTTGGCATTATCATTCCAGTACAGCTATTGTTGGATAATCTTATATACCAAAAAAACATTAAACTCAGAGTAAGTAAGCATTTCTTCATCCAAAGTCACGTTTATATTTATTAAGTTATTTGGTCCTCTTCTTTGAGTAAAAGGAGCTATGCAAATTTTCCATTTGCTCATCTAGTTTACTTTGAGCCCACGGATCCTCAAGGGGGAGGCATGCCCATAAGAAAACAAGTCTGAATTTTAGAGATGTTATATTTCCACTGGATATTCTTTGCAAATCATCCTCTACTTCACTAAGAAATGCTGCTTCAATTGCTTCACTTTTTACTACTTTTGAGTTTCTGGACTTGTCTGTTAAAAGATGCCGTCTTTCAATCACTTCTCTCTAAAAGCTTATTAAATTTACCAACTAAATAGCTTCTTGTTCTACTTTGTTCCATTGATATGGTTAACTTAAAAATTATAAAAAATCCATGCCAAGACACAGGCTCAAGTTATCATTATATGTCCTTCCTTTCCTTCATCTCAAAATTTTATGAACCCACATAAAAGGAAGCTGCCACTTACTATTTTTATTCTCTGCAGTCTGGCTTCTCTTCCTACATCTGTATTGATCCCTGTCTCTCAGAATCACTTCCAACCTCCAAAAGTATTTTTATCTTTCACTGCTCTAAAGTATTTATTTATTTATTTATTTATTTATTTATTTATTTATTTATTTATTTATTTATTTTTAAAGATTTATTTATTTATGATAGACATAGAGAGAGAGAGAGGCAGAGACACAGGAGGAGGGAGAAGCAGGCTCCATGCTGGGAGCCTGATGCGGGACTCAATCCCGGGACTCCAGGATCGCGCCCTGGGCCAAAGGCAGGCGCTAAACGGCTGAGCCACCCAAGGATCCCCACTGCTCTTAAGTTTTTTTTTTTTAATAATAAATTTATTTTTCATTGGTGTTCAATTTGCCAACATACAGAATAACACCCAGTGCTCATCCCGTCAAGTACCCCCCTCAGTGCCCATCACCCATTCACCCCCACCCCCCGCCCAGTTCTCCCCTTCTACCACCCGTAGTTAGTTTCCCAGAGTTAGGAGTCTTCATGTTCTGTCTCCCTTTCTGATATTTCCTACCCACTTCTTCTCCCTTCCCTTCTATTCCCTTTCACTATTATTTATATTCCCCAAATGAATGAGAACATATAATGTTTGTCCTCCGATTGCTCTAAAGTTTTGAAACCGTTGCCAGTGCTTCCTTACTGGAAGCTCTTCAGTCCCGTGACACTTCATAGTTCTGATCTTCTGTCTCTCTAACTGCTCTTTCTCTGTCTTTACCTCTTCTTCTGTCTTGTCCCAGTCTCAATACATTTGAATTCTCTACTTTCTTCTGTTGGATCCATTAGAAACCTTACCCTCTGCCATAGCATCAATCATCATCTTTCTGGTATATAATTATTTTATTTATATCTACAGGTGCAGTCACTTTGAAATTCCTGACATGCATCTCTAATGTTGTGTTAAATTTTTCCACCCTGATATTTTATAGGCTCTCAAATTTAACATGTTCCAGGGTGAATTCACTATATTCTCTATCCCCTCCAAAAGTATCTCCTCTCTTCTGCCATTTAGCTATTTATGACCACTGCCTTTCTTTTAGTCACTGAAATTAGAAAACAGATCTTATGGATTTAACCACTAGTCTCTTTTTTATCTATCGCCTGTCTCCATTTATATTACCAGCATTTTAGTTCAGATCTTACTGTTTTATGTGGACTGCTAAAATAGACTACCAACTGTTTTCCCACCTCCAGATGGTCTCCATGTTACTTTCTATCATCTGTCATACATTCAATTAATAAACCAAAAACCAGTCTCTTACTGTTTCTCTCTGATAAAAAGCCTTCACTGACTTCCCTATTATCTACTGAATACATTCATACTATTCACCCTAATACTTAAAGTCTTCAGGATATAATCCCAACCTATATTTTCAGGCTTAATTTTCACTGCCTTCCATTTTAGCCAGAAGGATTGCTTATTGGTTGGCAAACATGGTCCTTACTTTCCCACTACTACTTTTGCTGATACTTTTCTCTCTTCCTACAATATTCCCTACTTCCTCCAACTATTTGGTGAAATTGTGCCCATTTTTCAAATCCTGTCTCCAAATATCACTTTTTCTTTTCAATCTTTCCTTAATATCCTTTAATTCATGCACACATATAGTTAATTGTGACCTCTCCATCCTTTGAACTGTGTCAGGCTCCCTGCTCAGCTCGGAGTCTCCTTGTCCTTCTCCCTCTGTCCCTCCTCCACTCATAGGCTGTCTCTCTCTCTCAAATAAACAAATAAAAACCTTAGAAATATATTATTTAGTTATTAGAAAAGGTATAGAGGTCTTTCCATACTTGACATTGCATATGTGATTTTTTTTCTTTACTGACTTCCCTGTTTGATTCCATTTTTGTTTATGTACTATACCAAGTTCTTTGTATACAATTGTTATTATGTGAGGATAAGTATAAGTTAAAATGTAAGAGTCCAAACACCTTGGCTCTTGTTTCTTTTTCCATTAAACTCCAGCAAGTCATTTAACCTTGTTTTTCCTTTCTTTCAAAATTGAGAAATAAAAATCATAATTTAGGTCTAAAATCTTCATTTTGAGTATGAGTAAAGGCTGTACAGCATTTTAAGCTTGGAACTTGCTTGTAAAGCATTTAAGCTTTAAGATCTTGGAAGTATCCTATAGATAAAACTGTTCTGGAAAAAATTTTAAGTTGTTTTTTAGATTGCTATTCACCTATGTTTCAGAGGTGTAATCGATGTACAGCAAAAAAAAGAGGAGACTCACATTTATCACCCAGATTTTCATGAAAAGAAAAACTAATTATCCCCCCGCCCACCTCCCTTTCCACCACCCCTTGTTCATTTCCCAGAGTTAAGAGTCTCTCATGTTCTGTCTCCCTCTCTGATATTTCCCACTCATTTTCTCTCCTTTCCCCTTTATTCCCTTTCACTATTATTTATATTCCTCAAATGAATGAGACCATATAATATTTGTCCTTCTCTGATTGGCTTATTTCACTCAGCATAATACCTTCCAGTTCCATCCACGTCGAAGCAAATGGTGGGTATTTGTCGTCTCTAATGGCTGAGTAGTATTCCATTGTATACATAAACCACATCTTCTTTATCCATCCTTCTTTCGATGGCTTTATCCATTCATCTTTCGATGGCAGGAGTCTTCTCCTAATAGAATCACACAGAATGTGTTTAATTTCCACAGGAAAGTGTTGTGACAACACTTGTAAAATGTTGTGTACCAGGAAAACTCACTAGAGACTCAGTGCCCAAGGTTCTCACTAAAGATTGGCCGGGTATGCACCCTCTACCTAGCACATATCAAAATTCTACACTCTAAAGAAGAAAAGCAGGGTTCAGCAGAAACCACCTTGTTTGTACAATTTAGGCACAGCAAGCCACTTTTTTCAGCCACTTTTATGGAAAGAGTTTGCCTGAGAAAAAAACTAGCAAGGCCAAGAAAGAAAAACCAAGAAATTGAGAGAGCCCTTGTCTCAATGAAATGGCTTCAGTACCTGAACCCAATGATGCCTTATCCTGGACTTCTTACTAATATAAAGCAATAAATTTTTGGTGCTTAAAGTAGATAAAGATAATAGAAATATCTGGCTATAGCTCAAGACTCACATCTGAACTGCTTAATAACCATGGAAGAAAAAAGAGTGTTCTTTTAATTGAAATATAATTGGCATACCAGATAGTGTATGTTTAAAGTCTACAACATGCTGATTATTTGGATATCGCAATATGATTACCACTGTAGGGTTAGCTAACACCTCCATCACATTACATAACGATTGTTTTTAAAAGTGTTTTTTCTAACAGCTCAAGAAAAAGACCCAGGGAGGATTCTAGTTATCCTGACTTTGGTCATGTGTTTGTTCATATCTGAACCTGTTACTTTGGCCAGAGGGATAGAGTATTTTAGTTGGCACCAGTCAGATAGCCATCCCTGGAGCCAATAAAGGTATGAGTTAAACTTCTCTCCTCAAATATATATTCTCAGTATCCCCTAGATTTAACTGGATTCTTAAAGAATGGAGGTGGAACCATCTTCTCAACAGCGTGCTGAATCTGCCACATAGCATTATCTTAGCCAGATTATTCTCATAACCTGAAATGTGGAAATGCAGTGAACTAATAGGTACAATCACACATCGAATGAGTACAAGTGTAGTATTACAATTTTTTTTTTTTTAGGTACCATCTTACAGAAAAAACACTTCATCATCTAGCACTGATTTATGCAGCTTTGGTATCATATGGGCTAAAATCAGAAGAACTGGATGTAAAGGTATTATTTTCTTAAATGTTTGTTTATAAGTATTTTTCATAAACCAACACTATACTCAAACTCAAGTGCCCAGTGCAAAGAAACATTAAATTAGTAAACTAAAAAAAAAATGCCTTAAAGCTCTTTAAAGAATAGTTTTCAAGTTAATAAATATTCTTTCCACTTAAACTTCTGGTCTAAAAGCTTTTAATGAGGGGGTTGGGTGGCTTAGTCAGTTAAGCATCTGCCTTTGGTTCAGGTTTAGATCCAGAGTCCTTTTTTCCAGAGCAGAACCTTCAAAAAAATTAAAAGATTATGCATTTTCAAAAAAAAAAAAAAAGATCCCAGAGTCCTGGGACTGAGCCCCATGTCGGGCTCACTGCTCAGTAGGGAGACTGCTTCTCACTCTCCCTTTGCTGCTCCCCCTGCTTGTGCTCTTTCCAAAATAAATAAAATTTAAGAAAAATTAAAAGCCTTTAATGAATTTAACGTCATATTTTATCTCTTAATTATTACTTGGCAGGATATGAATAAATAAATATGCATTGATTAAAAACGTTGACTTGTGAAACATACTCTTTGTATCTGCTGTAGTGATCTCTAACCAGCATCCTTTCTTGGTTCTTTTTTCAGTGTCCCACTGAAATTTAGACACTCCCCCAAATGCAAGGCTCAGTCCTCTTCTGTTATCACCTTATACCCTTTCTTTAATAAATTCAGACATTCCCACAAACTTAGCTTTCATTTCTGAGTATAATTCTTAAATTTTTCTTGACTTTTCTTAAGATCTGCACCTATATTCTAGCATTCTACTGGAAGTCTCCACATGATTATCCCACAGGTGCCTCAAACCCTACATGTCCAAAACACAACTTCTCATCCTCCTCAAACTTAATTAATGACATTACTACTGTAATCTAATCAGTAGCTGCAGTGTGTCTAGAGTATGTCTCTTCATCCTACTCTCCCTGCTTTTTCTCAAGTTCAGGCCTTCACCTCTCACTTGGAGTTTCAAAGCAACTTCCTGACTTATCTCTTTATTTCTAATTATTCTCCTCTGGTGCATCATATAGATTGACACCAATTACATTTCTGAAATACAGCTGCGAACATTTCACTTCCTCAACTGTAAGCTCCTAAAGGAAAGGAAAATGTGTATTTGTTTTCCCGGTCCCTCGCACCCAGCACAGTGTCAAATATGTAGTAGACTCTTCATAAATATGTTGTTAAATTGAATTTTCTTGCTCAAAAGACCTTCCATAGCTTCCTACTTCATTCAAAATAGAGATCAAACTCAGCTAGATTCACACTTCATGATTTGGCCCCTAGTTATCCTTCCTTTAGCATAATTCTACTCACCATTTCCTGAATATGTCCACACTATCACCATACAGCTAATGGACAAACATGTCATACCAGCCTGTCTCCCACTTCCCCTTACTGCCAGCCTTCAGAGTTGTCTTTTGTTGCCCAGCTCAAATACTATCTTTAAGAAATGTTTCCCAGGTATATCCTCTCAGGATAAATCTCTCCTCCCATTCTCCCAAGAGCACTTTCTACCTTTATTATAGCATGAGATATTCACTCTTATACCATCCACCCTGGAGGGTAAGAACCAGACCCTTTTTTGTAAAATGTATAGCATCCAACATGGTGCTTTGTACACAATGAAGATGTTCAACAAATATCTACTGAATAGAATTAAATCGGAGCACAATCTGTTAGGAAAATTAACAAATGATTTATTTGAAATAGAATCCCAATCATTTTGATTATATGATGCATATTAAATATTGAAAGAAAATTCTTAGAAAAGTTATCACTGAATGACAAATGTAAGTTTGTCTCATTTATCCATTCAAGTGTGGTTTCACCTCTTAAACAACCTCTTTTCAGCTAGTGGTAAGCTGTTTTATGCAAAATATACTTCAGAGAATCATTTTACTCCTCTATCCCTGGCTTATATGATACAGTGAGTAATACTATATTCAGGTACAGTGACATGGCCCATAGAGGACATGTTCCAAGGAAGGCATTCTGGGATGGAACAGGAAGTACTGCTGAGGCACAATCCATTCCAAACAAAAGTCGGCTTCCCACCTGGATCAAACTATTCCAAAAGCTTTTCAAGTTTTACATAATAATCTTAAAGGAGGTCAGTTTTTCATTGAATTTGAGAAACAACTGTCAACTTGCTCTATTATCAATATACCAATACTCAAGCCTCCTATTCTTCTGACTTGATGACACTACCACCTTAAAGGGGGTTCCCTAGACTCATTATTTTATTTTATTTTTAAAGATTTTATTTAATTATTCATGAGAGACACACACAGAGAGAGACAGAGGCAGAGACAGAGGCAGAGGGAGAAGCAGGCTCCATACAGGGAGCCTGATGTGGGACTCGATCCCGGGTCTCTAGGATCATGCCCTAGACTGATGGTGGCACTAAACTGCCGAGCCACCGGGGCTGCCCCTCATTATTTTAGAGTATATTGTTGCTTTACTTTACTGTATTTAGTAATATGGCTTTTGGCCTTTTAGAGCACATCAGTACGGATATAAAAAAATTTTTTTCAGGCATCTGAAGAGTCTAGTGATCAAGGAAGCATTAGGAAGCTTAAGTACATTTTCTTAAACTAAAAGAAAATACTGCTTGTAGTGTTATGCTATATTTTATTCTAATGTCAAAAAAAGTTCTATAAATTGCTATGAACTCTTTTTGCAGAATTCAGATAAACATATATGCAAAATTTTGAAAACAATGTAAGGGGGGGTCCTGAATCTCCCGAAGTCTAGCTATGAGCTCCAGAATCCTTGCCCTAATAAATTAAGGTAATATTCATTACCATCACCATAAAATTGTGCCTTTTTATATTTAAATAAAAGTGTCAGATCTTCTCAAAACATCCAAAACTGCAATAAAATTAATTAGGAATCAGTGTTACTTCTGTGCTCTCTATACATATTTGGGGTGCCTGGGTGACTCAGCCAGTTAAGTGACCAACTCTTGATTTTGGCTCAGATCATGATCTCAGGGTCATGAGATTGAGCCTGAGTTGAGCCCCAGCCAGGCTTTCCACTCCACTGGGGGTGGAGTCTGCTTAAGATTCTTTCTCTCTCTCCCTCTCACTTTGCCCCTCCCCACACTGCTCACATACTTGTTCTCCCAAAAAAAATATCTATACATATTTAATATAATTTAAAGAAAGTCCTTCTTTAGGATACATGTACTCCCCAGATATGTGCTAACAGTTTTGTATTTGTTAACTTATGAAAGAAAAAAATTGCCATATTTATTTTATGAGGTTTGTAGAATCTTTGTTTCCTGAATTTTCACTACAGGACAGGACATTTATATTTCTAAGATATGATTATTTCGGGCAGTGTTCCCTATACATATTAAACTGCTAATCCATGGACTGGGGTGCCTGAGTGTACAGCTGGGTTGAGCCACTGACTCCTGGTTTTGACTCCAGTCATGATCTTGGGGCGGCAGATTTTAATATTTGAGTATAATTTTAGATATAATTTATTAAAATGTCTATGTGAAATCTAGCATATTTTATAAGGATAAGCAATTGTCTTTCCTTCTTTTAATACGATATCCTTATACCTGGGTAGCTTAGCAGTTTAGCACCTGACTTCGGCTCAGGGCATGATCCTAGAGTCCTGGGATCGAGTCCCGCATCGGGCTCCCTGCATGGAGCCTGCTTCTCCCTCTGCCTGTATCTCTGCCTCTCTCTCTCTCTCTCAATGTCTCTCATTAATAAGTAAATAAAATCTTTAAAAAAATATGATATCCTTATAGTTTTCCAATTTTTAGAACTAAATTTCTTCACTTCCATTCAGCATTTATTAATAAATTTATTTGCAATTTAGAGTCAATAATATTTAATATTTTGCTTTTTCAAGTTAAATCTAATAGTTCTCAAAAATAAGAATTTTAAAAATATAGTACAAGATTTTTCAAAATGACATTAAAAGATAAAGAATTTTTATAGATGTATTTGATTCTATATTCAAAAAGAAGAAAAGGTTTTTTTTGTTTGTTTTAAGATTTTATTTATTTATGAGTGACACAAAGAGAGAGAGAAAGAGAGAGGCAGAGACACAGGCAGAGGGAGAAGGAGGCTCCATGCAGGGAGCCCAACATGGGACTTGATCCTGGGTCTCCAGGATCACGCCCTGGGCTGAAGGTGGCGCTGAACTGCTGAGCCACCTGGGCTGCCCAGAAGAAAAGTTTTGATTTGGAGTATTTTGGGAATTGTTCATCCAATACTGGCTTATTTGATGCTAAGCTCTGTGTGTGTATGTATTAAACTTAACTCCAAAAAATGTTTCTTAAAAAAAAATGTTTCTTAATATCTCTTCCTGTCACTTGTGTTTTCCTCCATGCTCTTCTGGCTCTTTTGAAATGCCAGGCTTTTTCTTCTGCTTTCAGTTCTGTTTTTATCTTCTTCATCTTTTAGATTCATTTGAAGGAAATATGGTCCATGGGTTAGCAGAGTTGTGGTTTTTTTTAAGATTTATTTATTTATTTTAGAGAGAGAAAGGGGTAGGAAAAGGGGAGATGGAGAGAGAATCCTAAGCAGACTCTGTGCTAAGTGAGGATCCCGACAGGGGGCTCAGTCTCAATTCCCTGAGATCAGGACTGAGCCAAAACCAAGAATCAGTGGCTCAACCAACTGTACCACCCAGGTAACCCAGTCCATGGGTTAGCAGGTTAATATGGTTAGGGAACACTGCCCTAAATAATCATATCTTTTTTTCTTCTAATTACAAACAATTTTTGAATGATATATTTTGCTTCCTTAATGTTTCCCATAACCTAATATATAAAAAATATATTTTAGCTTATAATTGCCCCAGGAGTGGAAGAGGCTGCGCTGATAATTCGACAAATTGCTGATCACAATTTAATGACCTCGAAGAGAGATCCTCAAGAATGGTTGGATAAATCCTGGGTTGAAGTTTCACCATCAAAGGTTCATCTCCCAATATGTAAATTAGATATTTGCAAAGCAAATATAAATACATGTACTTGAATTCTCTTTTTGGTAGCATATTTTTGTCCTATAATGTTTGCATGAGCATATTTAGCAGTAACCATAATATACAGCATTTATTTAGATAATTTTCCAGAATCATGGGTATTTTTCAACTTCACAGCAGTATTTTAATGAGATCTTTTATAGTGAACTTCCAAAACAAGCATATTATAGGGTGATCTAATGACTTCAATGCCTAATATTTTTAAAATGTAACTTTTTCTAATTCCTAAATTTAAATATTTAAGAGTAGTAAGTATAAGAATAGCAAAATTCTAGCATTCTATTTGTCAGTAATTTGGTTATATAATTAAGACTGAAATAGAGTTGTAAAATATTTATAAGATTGAGTAGTTAAATTTTAGAAGTTTCTTTTGTTTAAGCATATTTTCAAGTTCTCATACCAACCTAGATTCTGTTACCTTTATTTTTTTAATATATTCAAATCATGAAACCATAAAAAAAGAATAATGAAGCTTTTTATATACTAATATGGAATGATACTTAAGATATATTACATGAAAAATGAAGTTGCAGTATAGAGATTGTATACTACCACTTGTGTAAAACAAGGGGAAATTAATGTTTATATGTGTTTGTAAATGAAGAAAATATCTCTGGAAGGATACCAAGAAATAATAACATTAGTTATCTGCAGAGGGGAGAACTGGGATAATGGGGTAAGGATAAGAGTTTTTACTGCACACCTTTTAGTACCTTTTTGAATTTTGAACCATGTGACTATTTTACCTATTCAAAAAATAAAATTATACAACAAATAAATAAAATATTAATGTATTCATATATTTGTATATATTTAATCACAGATTAATTCATATATTAATTCATATATTAATTCATATATTTAATCACAGATTAATTCATATATTAATTCATATATTAATTCATATATTATATTAATATAATTCATATATTTGTATATATTTAATCACAGATTTTATATATGCCTAAACAGAACATAGTACTATTGGCAAGTATGGGGATAATTAATTATGGGATATATGTATGTCTGTGCAGTTTCTCTCTTACCAAGGCATGTCTAATCTACTCACATGTCTGTCATTTGATAAATCAAAGAGGGTGCAAAAAACCAGCACAATCCAGAAAGAAAAGGGAATATGGTAATAGTAAAACATGGTTGCTGTACCATGAGATCTCTCTGAAAACACACATTTTAGACAATCATGGTCAGTTCTGGTTGATAGAAGTTCTTCCTATACTCTTCACAGCAAGGCTTTCCTGAAAGTATCATAAACATGGTTCATGTTAAACAATGATAGTAGTACATGGCCTACAAAGGGAGAGCTAAAGAAATCTTGAGGTATAAAAGTCCCCTAGATTTTCTCATTAGAGAATCTACCATTAGGTAAAACAATTGTTGTTTGAAGGAGATGAACTGTAACAAATTTTTTTGGATAAGTGATTAAAATGAATGAACTTTAAGATTTTTTCTCAATTCTGAGAGCATATGAATCTTAACTGCCAAAGTTTCTTTCCCTACTAGCCATACTTTTTTCCAGGCATCTCAAATTGAGCAATAAGTACAATGACAACAATTTTAATCTGCTAGGTTGAGCGGAGTATTGGCTGATTATTCCTTTAAACTTTTCTAGGAGGAAATGTACTTACTTGATTTTCCATCTATTAACCCACTGGTGGCTCAGCTCATGTTAAATAAAGGACCTTCACTGCACTGGATATTATTAGCAACTCTGGGTCAACTTCAGGAGCTTTTACCTGAAGTACCAGAAAAAGTGTTAAAGGTTAGTTACTTGTATTCCATAGCCTTATATGAGTTTGTTTCCTTTCCATTTGGGTACTTATTTTTACCATAATAGTTTTCAAAATGAAGTTATCCAAGTTTAATTGTTTTGGACTTCACGTAACAAAGAAATAATTTACTTGAACTAAATTTCATATTGAATTCTCATTGGCTCAATTTCATATTGAATTCAATTGAATTCATATTGAATTCTCATTATACATTTTAAAGCTATCTTATATAAATAATTCAGTACAGCCAGTTTATCACTTTAGATTATTTTGAAATGTTATTACATCCACAAGTATGTGATCACACACACTATACATATGTGCTTACAATCCTGAAGCCCTTCATTATAGTAGTAAAGAGAACTTTAGCCTTACTGTTAAAATTTTAAATTTTTATCAAGCAGATGGTAATCATGTATAACCTGCAACTAAAATTTCTGTTACAAGTGATTAGAAAATGTATTTTCTAATTATAATAATTTTTTTTTGAAATGGAGCCAATTATGTTATGTTCCTATGACATGGAGCTCTGTAATACCCTACTTATTTATATTTTGCTTTCTTTACATATAGATAAGCATTGTTATTTATATTTACTTGAGTGATGTTTATATTGTATCTGTTTATATTACTTGACTGATGTTTATATTATATGTGTATTATATTAATTAACTTTTAAAATTTTTTAGCATTTTTGCAGCATCACTTCCTTATTCCAGATTAGTTCTTCGTCCATAACAAACTCACCTCAAAGTCCATCACCTCAGGAAAATGGGAATCAGACTAATACCTTTACCTCCCAGAGTTCAGCTTCTGGCTCTTCAAACTCTGTCTTTCAAGAACATAATGAATTTTACCACTATTCAGACATAGGAGAGACAGTATACGAAGATACAAACAGCACTTCAAACTCTAAGTCTTCCCTTATGGAACTAAGAGAAATGCCATGCGTTTTACCACCTATGACTTCTTACAGTCAAGCCAATTACTGGAAAGATTCCAGTTGTAATGCTAACACAGTACATAATCCTTTCCTGATTAATACAGAATCAAGAACTGTGACTGGTAACTCCTTTCAAAACCAGAATGATTCAGAGTCAGATGTCTTTTATTTGGATCTAACACAAATGAGCTGTGAAAACATAACATCACCAATTGACACTCAGAGGAGAGTTGCCCCTAATTTCATAAGTTATCAGGAAAAGGGAACACATGATGCAAAAGGGCCTATAAAAAAAGGAGCATATGCCTCTAACTTTTCTCTAGAAGGCGCTCAATCTCCTCTTCCCTGGAACTTTAAGAAAAATGTATGGAAACAACAAAATCACTCATTCAACTTAGAGTATGGTGCAGATCAGACTACATGTGACAAATGGTTCTCTCAGAAAGATAATTTATTCACTAATCAGCAAAAATATCCATCGGATGAGTTAGAAGGCTTCATATATGAAAGTTCAAATGATGAGACTAAAAAGACTTTCTCAAAAGAATTACCATCTGTCCCTAGTTTGGATTTCTTTTGTGCTGCTGATCCTAATGTAAATCAAAAAGAATTCAGCAGTCTTTATTTCCACCAAGGAGCTGGAAAATGTATAGGACAGAAAAGGCACTCTGAATCCTCATCTAACTCAGGAGACAAGAAATCATTACCAGGTAACACTGTCTTAAGTTATTAAAACTACTCACAGATGTAATTTTTTTTAAGTTTATTATTTTAGTAGTCTACATCTCGTGTGGGGCTCAGACTCATGACCCCAAGATCAAGTCACATGCCCTTCCAACATGAGCCAGCCGCCTCTTGCAGATATGTAATTTTAAAAGAACCATTTCTAAATTTTAAAAATTTGTTTGCATTCATTATTAAAAGAATTTTCAATAGCTGTGGGGTCAAAAAGAAAATCAAAATTCTAATTATAGACATCTAAGAAAATAAATGCAAACAAAATATGTTAAATTCTTGTAGCTTTGGGGGCACCTGGGTAGCTCAGTGGTTGAGCGTCTGCCTTCAGATCAGGTTGTGATTCCAGGGTTCTGGGATCGAGTCCCCACATCGGGCTCCTGCAGGAAGCCTGCTTCTCACTCTGCCTAGGTCTCTGCCTCTCTCTGTGTATCTATCTCTCATGAATAAATAAATAAAATCTTTAAAAAAAATTCTTGTAGCTTTAGATGAACTAAGTGTTCAACTTAAGTTAAAAATAACTCAGAACAGGGCAGCCCGATGACCCAGCGGTTTGGCACCGCCTTCAGCCCCGGGGTGTGATCCTGGAGACCGGGGATCGAGTCCCACATCGGGCACCCTGCATGGAGCCTGCTTCTCTCCCTCTCCCTCTGCCTCTGTCTCTGCCTCTCTCTCTCTCTCTGTCATGAATAAATAAATAAAATCTTTAAAAAAAAATCAGAACAAGTCTAAAGCCGAAGACTAAAATTAACAAAGGCTAAAAAGAGAAGTCAGTGAATTAGAAAATTAGCTTCTTTATCAGGCAGGAATATTTAATAGGCTAACATTTTTTGAGAGCTTATGATGGGCCAGGTGCCCTTCCAGCCCTTTTATGTGGATTATTGAATTCTGACAATCCTACTAAGTAGATATCACTATTAGTTAGCTCTTCTTTACAATTGATGTTTCTGAACATTTAATCATACCAATTTTTAAAAGGACAATTTTATTTTCTCATTTCTTGTAATGATATACCTCTTAAACCTTTATTTTCTGTATCATTTCGTATTACATTGGCCTAAACATCTAGAATAAAATATTAAGTTCTAATGGCCCTAGAGATGTGGCCTTACCATGATAGGGAAAATAATAATAATAATAATAATAATAATAATAATAATAATAATAATAAATAAAAAAGAGAGAAGCTTAAGCTTCAAAGCTTCTTTTATGCATAAGCCCTTTTGTGAGGATTGAGAGAGGCCCAGAAAATCTCATGTTCTTTGTTTGTTAAAAGAAGACTTCCCCTAATACCATATGATCTCACCCATAAGTGGAATTTAAGAAACAAAACAAATGAACAAAGAAAAAAAGAGACAAACCAAAAAACAGACTCAACTATAGAGAACAAATTGATGATCACAGAAGGATGATGGGTCAAGGAATGGATGAAATAGGGAAAAGGATTAGAGAATTCACTGGTAGTGATGAGCACTAAGTAATATATAGATTTGTTGAATCACTATATCGTACACCTGAAACTAATATAACACTGTAAACTATACTGGGATTAAAAAATAATAATAAAAATAAATAATAAAATACGGCCTCCAACCTGTACAATTGACCCTTGAACAACAGAGGTTTGAACTGCATGGGTCCACTTATACATGGATTTTTTTTTGCTAAATACAATATTGTACTATAAATTTATTTTCTCTTCCTTATGATTTCTTAATAGCATTTCTTTCCTCTAGCTTAGTTCCTTGTAAGAATACAGTATATAGCACATATAACATACAAAATACGTGTTAGCTGACTATTTACGTTATCAGTAAGGCTTCCAGTCAATAGTAAGCTCTTAGTTGTTAAGTTTTGGAGAAATCAAAAGTTATATATAGATTTTTGGGTTGCCTGGCTAGCTCAGTCAGTAGAGCATGTGACTTTTTTTTTTTAAGATTTTATTTATTTATCCACAAAAGACATAGAGAGAGAGGCAGAGACACGGGCAGAAGGAGAAGCAGGCTCCATGCAGGGAGCCCGACATGGGACTTGGTTCTGAGACTCCAGGATCCCTCCCTAGGCCAAAGGTGGTGCTAAACCACTGAGCCACCGGGGCTGCCTGAGCATGTGACTCTTAATCTCAGGGTCAGGAGTTTAAGCCCCATGTTGGGCACAGAGATTATTTTTTAAAAAGACATATATATATATATATATATATACACATACATAACATATATATATATATGTTATATGTTACATATAGATGTTTGAATAGAGAGCATTCCTAACACATTATTCAAGGATCAACTGTATAAACCCCTCAGGACTCACAAAACTTGGATTTGGTCCTGTTTAATTTAATAGTCACAATTTGTTTTGTTCATAATTTTAATGGGAAGTATTCCATCCCTAGTTTTGTAGGAACTTCTGTGAGGAATAAACACTGAAGGGATGCCTGGGTGGCTCAGCTGAGCATCTGCCTTTGGTTCAGGGTGTGATCCCAGGCTTCTGGGATTGAGTCCCACATCGGGCTTCCTGCATGGGGCCTGCTTCTCCCTCTGCCTGGGTCTCTGCCTCTCTCTTCGCTCTTTCTGAATGAATGAATAAATAAGTCTTTTAAAAAAAAAAAGGAAAAGAAAATTCCATTTTTTTCTCCAGCGTGAACCAAATCAAGCATATGAATTGCTATATGTTCTTGAGCAGAACATCCCAATATATAAGATAATCCTCCCATTTTCTCAATGAGAAGTTCTCAGAAGTTATTTCTAATAAATTTTAATATTTAAGCTTTTGGGGATATAAATGGATTACTCAAATGTCTACTTACATTTAATCATTAACTAGTTATAAATATTTTTTAAATATTTAATTTATTTATTTATGAGAGACACAGAGAAAGAGAGACAGAGGCAGAGACACAGGCAGAAGGAAGCTCCATGCAGAGAGCTCAATGTGGGACTCGATCCCAGGACTCCAGGATCATGCCCTGGGGCAAAGGCAGGTGCCAAACCTGTCTCTGCGTCTCTGTCTCAGTCTGTGCCTCTCATTAATAAATAAATATTTATAAATAAATAAATAATTTTATTCAAATAGTTCACTTGAATCTTTGATACTAGATTCATTATCACTATGGAAATTTTCTACTTTTTTACTGTGGTTTCCCTGTAGCACTTTATTACCTTCAAATACATTGCTTAAGATACAACAGTTTTAAAATTCATATTAATGCAGCCCTAGACAGTTTATTCCAAAGATTATTGGCATAATCTCAAAATAATTTTCCATTTGTCTTATAGATGTGTATTTGTGATCTCTATGATGAAATTACCTACTACACTGATTTTTAAATTTGTTTATAATGGCATCCAGCTTTTATAATTATGAGATTTATTCCCAGGAATAATTACTAAAACAATTTAAAATATTTTATCCTCCTTTTTTACTGATTTAATTAACCAACCTCTAAAAGAATTCAAATCTAGGACATTTCAGGCTAATGTGTCATAGATAATACAGTCATAGAAAGTGAGTCCATCCATTACCACCTATCAAATATCAGAGCTCAGGATAAATTCCACAACATTACAGATAGGAGGTAAGGAACAGGTTTAACGAGGGAAAACTTAAATGAAAGAGCCTTAAATTCAGGGAGATTTAATTATTTGTGCAAAGCATGAGCATGCAAATATGTGTAGATGACATCAATTGGTATTGGGCCATTAGGTACAGGTGCATTTATGCTAAAAATGTAATTTTTATAGTCATCTCAGTTTTGGAAATTTTAACACTTTGTAGATAGATGAAGAAATAGGATGCACCAGAATAGCTGGAAAAAATAGCTACACTTTTTTATCATCAGGAATAAAATGGTTTTCCTTTTTCTCCTTTTGACAGATTTCATGTGCTCACAACTACCACAATTCAAAAAACGGCGGCTAGTGTATGAAAAAGTCCCTGGTAGAGCTGATGGACAAACTCGTCTGAGGTTTTTTTGAAAGAAATGATAGTGTTCTGTGCCACATTTCTGTTTTTGATGAAAATCTAGTAACAAAATGATTTAGATTTGCTCATTCATTAAAGAAAATGCAGTTGTTAGATGTTCTCAGTGTTTTTATATTAAATTTTCAGAATCTACATTCTGTCCTATAGGTTGCATCTTTGTAAGTAAAATATTCTAATTGGCATAAATGTCATAAGATCCAAATATCTTCCAGATTCACCTGAACATTGTAAGCCTTTTTTTAGAGCAGTTGATATGATATATACATTTAGAGCAATAGCAATATATATTGTCTAGTTGTCTTCTGAAGAGCTCACTGCTTCCCACCTTCCCTCCAGCAAGCCTTTTTAGAAATGAGCCTCCATCTCAGTCTGACCCTTTAAGTCAAGAAGTGAAGATCACCAGAGTCAACCCTCCATCACTAAGAAAGTTAAAATCTAGGCAAAGTTGGAAAACTTCCCATTTAAAGTGTTCCCTCCAGGGGTGCACCTGACTGGCTCAGTCAGAGGACTGTGCAACTCTTGATCTTTGGAGCATTATTAGCTGGAGCCCCACATTGGGTGTAGAGACTACTTACATAAATAAATAAATGCTTAAAAAAATAAAGTGTTGCCTTCCTAAATAAAAATTTAAAACAAGTCACTAAGAAAATATTTGCAACCTACATAATAAAAAAAGATTTATATTCCACATATACAAAGAATCCTACAAATTGATAGGAAAAAGATAACCTAATAGAAGACTGAGCAAAATATATGAATAGATATTACACTGAAGAAACAAAAATAGCCAATAAACATTTATCCGTACCTTCATTACTCATCAGACAAATGCAAAGGAAAACAAATCACCTATCAGATGGGCAAAATTTTTGAAAATTAACTGTATTTAATGTCCGCATATTGGAGAAAGAACAGTTTCCTATACTCTTGGTACAACATTTTTAGAGGATAGTTTGTATATTTTTTAATGGCTGATTGTAGGTTTCTATTACTATGGTATTTATATTCCCTTGAGTACATTTTTTAAAAAGATGTAATAATTTTATTTTAAAATGTCAGAATTTTTAATAAAGTTACATTCTTTGCAACTATTTGGTTATTAACAAAACTTTTATATGTCATCTCTAAAATGTAGGTAATGGGTTTTTGACATTAGTGGTACACCACCAAAAATGTTTAAAGATCACAAGCACACTCTTTTTCCTGGCTTCTGAAATTATCACCCTATTACTACCAAAATTGACCTCTTCCTTCTTAGATCCAAGAGACAGATATCACCTTAATTGACATCTCTTCAGTGTTTGATACTGTTAATCGTGTCCTCCTTTTTGAAAAGGGCTCAACACCACCTCTTACCTTCCTCCTCCTACTGTCTTCTTGCTATTATACTTTTATTTATAGGATGTTTGGTTTTGCTTGATTATGTAGCAGGTAGAGACTTTAAAGAGAAACTATTTCTGGAAATCTAATTGCAATTTCTGTTCTAGTCTCTTAAAGTTGTGGCAGGATTGCTTCTAAACTAAGGTAAGGCTAAGGCTTCTCAGCTTGCAGATCTCCTTTATCCTGCCTTTAATCAGCTTCCAGAGGAGAGGAGTTTCTTCATAGACCATAGACTGCAGCAAGTCTTGAGGCTAGGCTATCAACACTCATGGCCCTGCTTCCTCACTAAATGGAGTGGAAGTATCTGAGTCCTCTCAATGGCACCTGCTGTTTAAGGACACATTCTGCCTGGAACTGGAACAGTCTGTCAGAGGTATTGGAAAGCAAGTCTTATGTTAGGAGTCTGGGAACAGTGGATTATAGTAAGAGTTTTGCTTTAGCAGGGCACTCCCTTGGAGTCATTGTCACATGAGGTTGGTTGATCCATAGAAGCCCAAAGGGCCTAGCTGAGCCCTTGTTAGGGGTCCAGAAGGGTGGATCTAGCCTCCAAGATCCTCTCCTAAATTCCCCATCACAAGGAATTGTTTGAAACAGCCCCAACTTCTCAGGTTGCCTCTTGCAATGGAACCTTTTTTTCCCCCCCTCTGAGAGCATTTCCCTGTGAAGTTTTTCATGTTCCAAAGAGTTACTTGTAGGGGCTCCTGGGTGATTAGTGTCTTCCTTCAGCTCAGGTCATGATCCCAGAGCCCTGGAATGGAGTCCAGCATGGGGCTCCCTGCTCAGTGGGGAGTCTGCTTCTCCTTCTCCTTTTGCCCCTCCCACCTGCTTGCGCTTTTGCTAGCCCTCTGTCAAATAAATTTTTTTTGTTTTTTTAAGATTTTATTTATTTATTCATGAGAGACACACACACACACACAGAGAGAGAGAGAGAGAGAGAAGCAGGCTCCATGCAGGGAGCCTGATGTGGGACTCGATCCCGGGACTTCAGGATCATGTCCTGGGCCGAAGGCAGGCGCTAAACTGCTGAGACACCCAGGGATCCCCCTCAAATAAATGAAATCTTAAACAAAAACAAAAAAAAAAAGAGTTACTTGCCTTTAGATCCATTGTTGGTGATAGTGCTACTCACTTTTGAGGCCTTTTTAGAGATCTTACTGTAAGTTTCTAGGTCCAGCCCTAAGTTTGTAGGCCTCACCAGAACATCAGCAGTCTCTTCCAACTGTGGATCGACATAGATTCTCCTTCCCTTGCCACTGAGACTCAGGGCACAAATTGGAATCAACACCAGGCGTCCCACTCCTTGCCTCCCACACTAATAGCTTGGTTATGCTCCCTGACATAATAAGCCTGCCCTGAAACAAGGGATCCAATAATTTTAATAAATAGAGCAGCCTGGGTTATAGAGGAGGTGGGGAATGCAAAGAGCAATCCAAAATGAGAACTGAAAAAGTACATTTTCCTGTCTTTTTATCTAGTTTATGATTTAATCATACAAGTTTTTTTTTTTAAGATTTTATTTATTCATGAGAGACATACACAGAGAGAGAGAGAGGCAGAGAGAGATACAGGCAGAGGGAGAAACAGGCTCCATGCAGATAGCCAGATGTGGGACTCGATCCTGGGACTCCAGGATCACACCCTGGGCTGAAGGCAGCACTAAACCGCTGAACCACCCAGGATGCCCATAATCATACAAGTTTTTAGCAATACTTAAATAGAATTATTTAAATTAGATTTTATATAGTCCAGTATGCACATCTTTTCTTTTTTGATTTCTGGGTTTCCTGCCTTGCTTAGGAAGACCTTTTAATTTTTTAACTTAGTCATACAACTGTTCCCCTAGTTTTTCTTCTAATGCTTTTGTATTACCTTTCTTTAACCCATGTTTTTTTCTTTACATAATGCAAGCCCAATTTACTTCCTTTCAAATGGATGGCCAGTAATGCCAGCACCGTTTGTTAGTAAACTGTATTTTCCTACTGAATAGGAAAAGTTAAGTCTATTTCTGAACTGTTATGATCCAATCATTTGTCTATTCCTATATCGCAATAATTTTGTTTTTAATTTTTTTAAAAAAATCATAGTTTTGATTCAGCATCTTCAAAGTAAGGTTGGTGGTTTTTTTTTTAAGATTTTATATATTTATTTTAGAGAGAGTGCATGTGAAGGGCAGGGAGGGGCAGAAAGAGAGGGATAGGGAATCTCAAGGAGACTCTGTGCTGGGCATGGAGCCCATGGAGCTTGATCTTATGACCCTGAGATCAGCCTAAACTGAAACCGAGAGTCGGACATTAACTAAGCCACCCAGGTGCCCCATATTCAAAGTAAGTTTTTTTTTTAATAAATTAATTTTTATTGGTGTTCAATTTACCAACATACAGAATAACACCCAGTGCTCATCCCGTCAAGTGTCCCCCTCCGTGCCCGTCACCCATTCACCCCCACCCCCCGCCCTCCTCCCCTTCCACCACCCCTAGTTCATTTCCCAGAGTTAGAAGTCTTTATGTTCTGTCTCCCTTTCTGATATCTCCCACACATTTCAAAGTAAGTTTTAATATCCAGTAAGACATGTTTCACTCTTGCATGTTTTATACACACACACACACACACACACACACACACACACACACACACACAGAGTTTTAAAAACTATTCTTGGGGGAGGGGCACCTAAACATATCTTAAGAATTTTTTAATTGTCACTAAAGTAAAAATGGCATATAATTTCCATTTCCATTTTTAATTAGCTCTTGCCAGTATTTTTCTACATACTTTGTATCCAGTGAGCCCCTCAAAATCTATTACAAATTTGAGTATTTCTTTTCATCAGTTTTCAAAGTGTACTATTATATAATCTATAAATACATTGCTTCTAAAATGTTAGCCCCCTTTCATTTTTTTCATCTTACTGCATTAGTTAGCACCTCCAAAGCAATGCTGTATTGGGGTCCCTGGGTGGTGCAGTTGGCTAAACATCTGACTTGATTTCTGTTCAGGTCATGATCTCAGGGTCCTGGGACTGAGCACCTTGTCAGGCTCTGCACTCAGCAGGGAGTCTGCTTCTCTCCTTCTTCCCCTCCCCCAGCTCACACTCAATCTCAAGTAAATCTTTTTTAAAAAAGGAAGCAATGCTGAACAATAATAGTGATAAAAAGTATGCCTATTTTGTTCCTAACATGCTGAATGCGTCCACATTTCACCACGTAGTATGAAATCTGTTGCTTTTGATAATTAGCGTTCTCTTCCAATTTCACTTAGCCACTTAGTTCTTATTCAGAACGGTTCAATTTTGTCAAATGATTTGGCATAGATTCTCTTCTTTAAACCATTCATGTAATGAATACACTGGCAGATTTCCTTTTATCAGACTAGCTTGGTCATGTTGTATGTTCTCTTGATATACTAGTGAATTTGTTTATATTTAGGACACGTATCTATTTTAAGTGAGACATATATAGCTTCTTGTACTGTCTTTCCAAGTTTTTGCCAAAGAAGAAATTAGAATCAAGAAAAGATTTTTTTATACACAAAAGTCTGTACATAATAACGTATACAACTTAATGAGTTTGAAGAATATTCCTCTGAAACCATTATAACAATCTATGCCATAAACTTATCCATCATGTTCAAAATCTTCCTTCCATCCTATTATTCTCTGTGGTAAGAACACCTAACATAAAATCTACCTTCTTAGTAAATTTTTCAGTATATAATACAATATGCTAACCATGGCCACTATGCTGTGGAGTAGATCTCTAGGACTTGTATAAGTGAAAATGTGTTTTTTAATGGAGATTTTTTAAAATGCTTATTATTGTCAAAATGGAGAATGGAACATGTTTCAATGTTGACAGAAGGGATCCAATAGTTGAAGATAAAGGAGGAAGGAAAACTGATAGTGTAATTTCAGAGAGGATAAAAAAGATCCAGAGAACAAATAGAAAAGAGACACCTGAATTCTGACTGAATGGAAGAGATTCAGATCACTTAGACTTGGAAGTTTAGTGGCCAGTGGAAGTTTAGTGGCCAGAAGTTAAGGGAGTTTCCATATGATGGCTTATTTTTTCTAAATAGTAACACTAATTATGCTAAAAGATATATTCATTTATTTATGGGTTTATACATAACTATTTCAAAGTGCAGATGTCACCAGAAATTGAGCTGTTTCTGCAAATTATACATATTTTTTTCAAAGTTCTATGAGGACTCATAAGCAAAAATTTCATTTCCCACTTCCAACACTCAATTTCACAAGGAAACAAAAATTCATGAAGCCTTACAACAAAATCAGACACAAAATGTTGCTCCCTAGAAAATGATGAATTGGAATGCCTGGGTGCCTCAGTGGTTGAGTGTCTGCCTTCGGCTCAGGGCATGATCCCGGGGTCCTGGGATTGAGTCCCACATCAGGCTCCCTGCACGGAGCCTGTTTCTCCCTCTATTTCTCTGCCCCTCTCTGTGGTCTCTCATGAATAAATAAATAAAATCTTTAAAAAAAAGAAAATGATGAATTAAGCAGAAATTTTATTTCCAAGCTCATCCCAAGATTATTACAAACACAAATAAAGTATCCTTTTAAAAGTGTCCCAAATTAAATCAAAGGCACATTACCAAAGTAAAACACTTGTGACATTAAGAATTCAGTTAGGCCGTAGTATTTTCACATTATTTTGTTTTTAGTCATTTGCAATGTTCCAAAGATAACATTTAAACATTTTTTTAAAGACATAAAATGTAGGTTTCTGTGTGTGTGTGTTGTTTGTTTTTTTAACAAAGTACATCCACAACTATAAAGCAGAGGAACTTAAGACAAAGACCAAATCTGCTTCATACACAGGATGGAGCAATCTAATACACAACATAACATGAATCTTTCCAAACAAGTTTGTTAAGAAACAGCTCCCATATTTAGTGTTACAAATAGTCTCCTTGTTTAGAAAAATCAAGACATAATTTAATTAATAAAGTCTGTTCTCCCCCAGTTTTATACTTGCTTATTTAGAAACTGTAAATTCATGAGAAAAGAACAAGCTTTGTTATGGTATAAAAATCTTAGGAGAAACAAATTACAAATACTCAATTTTTTAACAAACAAGAATGTTTGCCTTTCCAAAATGTAAACATCCAGTAAATAAAACAAACATAATATTCCAGGTATAGAAACACCAGTAATTCACTTATGAAAGAGGTGTATTTGGTGGTAACATTTTTGTCTTAAATATAAAAGCATTTTACCAAAAGTCTGGCCATTATTATCTAAAGTCTTCCCCTCACTCCGTTTCCTTATCTGAGTAGAAACTCATCAATTTCTATAGAATTTTGGCTATAGGACCAGGCCAAGGAAAGGTCTGAAATATCTAAAAGTTGTTTGGCTGGAGAAAAGTGTTTTCTTGAGACTTGGAGGCAGTTAGTTATTCATCACTTTGCGCCTGAAAGCATTCCTCAGTGAGCTCCTTCCTTACTGCAAAGAGAATTAGGCAGATTTTCACATTAGTAAGATTTATACATAAAATTAACTAGTCATCATTTCAGGTCACTTTAGTGTTCTCAAAGTAGAAAGTAACAATATAAAAAACATCCAAGCTACATCACTGAATGAGTACCCATTAAAGTGCTTCATAAAAAGGAAAATGCTATGCCAGCATAAGACTTATTTTAATACCACAGATGTAGACATTTTCCATTAAAAGGTACAATAGTACCTGATAGCATGATTACTTCCTTCTAATATGAATAACTTTCTTTTGCAAATCTATGAAAAAGATTCCAGTAATCTATGCCCTGATTTCTTCCCAGAAAAGGAAAAAAGTGAGAATGTGGATGAAACACATTAGGACTCATGAAATTTCTAATATGCCGCCAAAAAGGTGTTTTCATTTCAGTAATCAATTTTTAAACCTCTTTTAACTATCCACGTTATCCCCTAATAGCTACATTTCTTGCTCTATTAAAACAGATATAGTCTGAAAGCCTCCAAGAAAAGAAATCACAGCTGGTGGTAGGAACAAGTGTCCTCTGGAGGGTCCGTAGTCCCAAGAGCAGCAAGCGTGCTGATAGCGCCAAGCAGCAGATCACAACTCTGGGATGGTGTTAGGACAGAAGACGGTGGGATTAAGGTCATGAAATAACTATTAGCCAACTCATTTAAAGAGCTCAAGTACATAAGGATATTAACATCTTATGAGTTAGTGCCCAAGAGGATTGAGATTCTCTCAATGAGATGTATTCCACAGGCATGCGTTCTGCTGTTTCTTCAGATACATTTTGCTGTTTCTTAATTTCCCCAACAATAGTAGATATTCAAAACCCAGTTGCCCAACCCCTTGGGAAGACCTGTGATAATGGCATGGCCCCAGTTTAGCATGGTGTATCATTACTCACCCGCCTTTAGAATAAAGCACAGGATCTGGGCTCCCGGAAGGGGTTGCTTCCAGCTGGAACACCTACCAGCAGGGCATCCTTGCAGGCATTCTGCATGCAGTACTGTTGAAGCTCTGCAGCTGCCTGCGAGACCTGAAACAAAGGGACAACAGCTTGACCTGCTGCGCACAGCCAGAGCCACCCAGCAGCCATCTAATACTCTGAAAAATGATGCTACAGCCTGATAAAGGTCCCACATCTTGTGATTTCCAAAAGTCTCTTTTTTGCTGAAAGTTCTAATAACCGAAGTCAAAGAGAAAATGTTACAATTTCCATGATTCAGGGTATATTTTTATTTAGTTGCTTCTTTTTTTTTTTAAAGACACTCGCTTTTATTATTTTTTTTTATTTTATTTATTTATTTATGATAGTCGCAGAGAGAGAGAGAGGCAGAGACACAGGCAGAGGAAGAAGCAGGCTCCATGCACCGGGAGCCCGATGTGGGATTCGATCCCGGGTCTCCAGGATCGCGCCCTGGGTCAAAGGCAGGCGCCAAACCGCTGCGCCACCCAGGGATCCCTATTTAGTTGCTTCTTAAATAAAGGAAAAATAAAGCTGTAACTTTGATCCATTTAGAATCCTAGTCTTGAGACTGAATTGCTAAAGAAATAGCACATTCTAGTGCTTCCTTTACACATTTTCACTTAAAAAGTGTGCATTGATACAGTCAGCTTTGCCATGTGAGCAAACTGTTTTAATGTTTACGAGGCTGGAGCCTTACCAGTCTGCCCAAAACAAGTGACAAGTTTTCTCTACCAAGCTTTTAAGGCAGGATATCGTATTGGTTAAGAGTGCAGCCTCTGGAATCAGGATGCCTAGACTCAGGTTCAGCTCCATCATTACCTGTATGATCTTGGGCAAAGTTAGCTTAATTTCTCAGTTTTTGTTTTCTCATCTGTGAAACGTATTTTGCAATAGTACCTGACTCGGTGAGTTGATGAGACAATCAAATGAGTTACATGCATGTGAAACACTTGGAATAGTGCTGACATAACAGTCAGCAATACATCTGTGGCAGACTGCAGAAACAGTCACAATATTTTGCAGCTCCCCTCACCAAGAAGTAGAGTCTTTACCCACCCCTTGAATCTGGGTTGGCCTTATGACTTGCTTTGACCAGGAAAATGTGGCAGAAATAATGGGCAAGTTCTAAGGCCTAGGCCTCAAGAGCCTTTGCAGCTGCCTCTCTTGCTGTGGTTAGAACTGTAAGACGACCACCCAATGAGCCCATGCTAGCCTACTGGAGGTCTTGTGGAGAAGAATCAGTGAGCCAGCTCCCACCACCTGCCTACTAACCTCCAGACATGAAAGTGAAGCCATCCTAGATCATTCGGCTACCAACCCACCCTCCATCTGATTGCAGATGCATGGAAGAGCCCAGCAAAGATCAGGAGAACTGATCAAACAGGCGAGCTCAGCTCAAATTGTTGACCTAAGAATTCCAAGTTAGCAAATGCTGCTTTAAATCACAAAGTTTTGGAGAAGTTTAGTAGGCAGCACCGATAAATATTATTCTACCTTTCTTCTTAGCCTCCATTTGATGCCTTTTTGTACATCGAGGCTTTCCTCACATTCCATTTTATGTGCACTGAGGTGTTTTGTATAAAATCTCACTCCTATTGTACAAAAATGGTTCCAATTGCTGTTCAAGTATTACTACTAGTTTGTGTTACTTTCCCAAGCTTCTAAATAACTGCAAAGTGAACTCATTATGTTTACCTCCTAGTTTCTAGAATGCTTTAGGGATTTTGGTTTCATTCATTCATGAATTCATTCATGTAAGAACAGTATTATTATATAAATATAAAAATATTATCAAGCTAATGGTTAAGCTTTCTTTTCCCTCAAAAGAAGTTCTAACATTTTCATATTAATTATAATTGGAATTACTGGTTATATTCAACAATAATTCACAAGGAATTTTAGAACCAACTATACTAATGCTTACTATTTCTCCATCAGAGGAACAGATGAATTCCACACATGATGGATAGAAGGAGACTATCTTCCAGGATCCCTGGAAAAATGGGACTAACTAGACCCTAGCCTAAAGAACATGATCAAAAAGTTAAGCTGAATGGATATGCTGAGAAAATAAGAGAAGAATAAAAGTGGTCAGCATTTCTCTAGCACTTTTACAGGAAAAAGACTTTGGGGGCCAGGGGTGGAGTGGTGTACAAGCCCAAACACGTAGAAGCTGTCATTTGCCATTGCCTTGGTTTGAGTCCATGCTCACCCAGCAACCTCGCAGAGACTTCTCCAAAACAGAGAAGGGGCCCTTAGAAGGATATCAAGCACTACAATCCCTGGGAAGGGATGCTCTTCACTAAATGCTAGGAAACCAGTGTCCTGGCGTATTTACTGGTCAGCAAGTCTGCTGAGAGCATCCATTCATCACTGAGCCCTGAAATGAGGCAAACTAGACCCTGAAAAGTCGTGACACCCTAAGGTGCTGCCTGAGAGAAGCCTACCAAACACTTGAAACCATACTACCGTTAGAACAAATAAGGTATTATCTGTGTGACCTTGGGCAGTTTACTTGAATTCTCTGGGTCTGTCGCATCACCCATAATTTATTCTTAAATGTAGAAACTATCTTGCCTAGCTACTCCACAGGGTAGGCAGGCATCTGGTCCACAGCTCTCCTTTCCCCCTCAGATGCCAACATCATCCCAAACAGTTTCAATAACCCTCGTTTCAGTTCCCTGACCTCTTTCCTCCGATAGCTTTCTCAATTGCAACAGTTACAGCCAACACCTGTAACCGATCCACATCTGAAATTTTTCGCTTCAACTTCCTACTTTCTGATCACAATCTCTCCTACCCATTTCGAACGCTGCTTCCTTATCACACTATGTCTGTTCTTTGACCTCTGGGAGAACACCTCCTCCCCTTTTGCCACGTCTTATCACCAGGAGGCTGGTGCAGTTCCTTCTCTATCCAGCCAGTGTTTTAGCCCTTCTGGCTAACCCCTCAACTGCCTTGCCCTTTGCCCCCTCCTTCCATCTTTCTCCTGTATTTCCTCTGCTCACCCACTACTTGGATCAACCACCATTCACCTTGGACACTCAGATTTCTGGGTGGCCAAATACTGCAGGAGAAGAAAAAAAAAATCCACAAGTAGGACAATCAGTCTCCAATCTCAAAGTAGCTGGGTCTTCCGAGTCACAGGTGTCTATGGATTAGGGGCTCCTCTCCCATTCCCAACAGCACTGTCCTCCACCCTCACTCTTGGGACTCTCCTCTGCCCTAGAAGAAAACCTGGCCTTCTGGGACACCCCGGTGGCTCAGTGGTTGAGCATCTGGCTTTGGCTAAGGGTGTGATCCTGGAGTCCAGGGATGGAGCCTGCTTCTCCCTCTGCCTGTCTCTGCTCTCTCTCTCTCTCTCTCTCATGAATAAATAAATAAAATCTTAAAAAATAAATAAATAAGTAAAAAGAAAACTTGGCCTTCTCCGTCACAAAGAAAACTGTCGTCATACAAGTCCTTAAATCCATACGTCCAGAAACACCTGTCTTCACACACCTTCTGCTCTCCTTTCTTCCTATCTCAGAAGGTGCCCCTCCAATCCCATGTCCCCATGCAGTGTCTCCTCTACCTTCAATTCTCCTCTATTTGTTCCCCCTCAACCTAAAACTAGTTTGTTCCTTTCCCTCAACCTCGAAATAAGGCTTTTCGCTTTCTAAAAAAAAAAAAAAAAAAAAAAAAAAAGTTTCCTCTTTAAAACCAGATTTCTCTTTTTAAAAAGCCTACGTACCCTATCACAGTCTAGATTCTGCTCCTTCCACATACCTTACTGGAACCCCTTCGGCGTCCCATGGACTCTCCCTCCCTTGTCTTACGATCCTCACTGAGGGTGAAGTTACTTTACTTACTGGTTGATGTGTTTACCGACGGCCTTCGCCGCTGTCATCGCCGAAGTCTCAGTACCTAGACGGGCGCCAACGGCGGGAGAAGGCGCCGTGGAGGCCCTGGAACACCACGAACATCCGTCTACACGGAACGCTACCCTAGCTGCTCAACACACTACACAGCACGCTTTTCAGTCAAGTGACTGCACATCGGACAGTGACTAAGCCCCACGTAACGAAAGCCGCTCCTCCCCCGCCTTGGCCCGCTTCTCGTCGCCTCAGCCATCTTTCGGTTGCTCCCGGCGGCCACACTCTGGTCCTTTCGTCAACACTGTTCCCTCCCACTGACCCCCTCAGCCTTGTTCCCTGAGCCTGCGGCCGCGCGGCCAGACACCGGGTGTGGCGGCGGGGCCCACGTCCCCCACACCGCGCTCCCTCCTCGCCCTGCGCGCAGTCTCCGTCCCGCTCGCGCCCCCGACCCGTCGCCAAGGCGGGTGCTCGTCGCCGCCGCGCGCCCCCAGCGCATCCTCAGCGCATCCTCAGCGCATCCTCAGCGCCCCCGCGACCCCAGTCTGCGCGTGCGCCCCGCCCCGCCCCGCCCCCACCCCGGCCCGGACACGCCCCCAGGGCGCTCGGCCTGGGCCGCGCTCAGGGGGTCTCGCCCTCCCTCGCCCTCTCCCGCCCCGCCGGGCCCGGCCTCCTCCACACGGGCCCGCGTCCCCGCCGAGGCCGGCCGCCGAGCCGCCGCCCACCGAGACCAGCGGCGGCGAGGGGCAGCCGGCCTCGCCTCCCCGTCTCACCGCGCCCCGAGGACGGGGCGCCGCCGGCCGCCTCACCTTGATCCTCTCCACGCCGGCCTCCAGCTTGAGCTGCTCCACCAGGCGCTGCAGGGCGTTCACGCTGGCGCCGGAAGACATGGCGGCGGCGCTGGGCTCCGAGGGCGGCGGAGCGACGCTGCGGGAGCCGCGAGGCCGGGAGCCGGAGCGCCGCCCCGGGGGCGGGGAGGCCTCTGCGCCCGCCTCGCCGCCCGCCCCGCCCCCAACCCCGCCCCCTGCCCGCGCCCGCCCCGCCCCGCCCCGTCCCCACCGCGGCCCCCCCTCGCGCCACCCGAGCCGCAGGTGAGCCACCGCGCGGGGCCCCGAGTGGCCGGGCCCGTAAGTGTCTGCTCCCCAAGCGCGGAGATGCCCGCCCCTGCGCCTGGACGCGGGCCGCCCGTCTCCTCAGCGCCGCGGGGCTTGAGGAGGAGCGAGCGCCACCTGCGGGGCCGGGGCTCTCGCGGGCGGAGACGCCCTCCTGAGGGATCGGAACCGTGACGCCGCGTGGCCCGAGCCGGGGGCGAAGACGTCGCCGTGAGCTCCTGAGGGCTCGGGTGCCTCGCCAGGGTCTGGGGAGAGGAAGGACGGATGGCAGGAGCCCCGGGAAACCGTGGCGGGGCTGTGAGTCCCCTGTTGCCGCTTCCTGGCGTCGCCAGGTGAGTCGGCAGGTAAGGTAAGCAGGGCCCAAGGCGCAGGCAAGAGAAGAAACTTCCATTCAGCCTCCCCCGCCCCCTCCCACCTCACCGTTTAACTCTGACCATTGTTTCTGTGGTGTTGCATTCTTTTTTTTTTTTTTTTTTAAAGATTTTATTTATTTGAGGGCCTCTGGGTGGCTCAGCGGTTGAGCGTCTGCCTTTGGCTCAGGTCCTGACCCCGGGTCTCAGGATCGAGTCCCCGCATCGGGCTCCCCGCATGGAGCCTGCTTCTCCCTCTGTGTCTCTACTGTGTCTTTCTGTGTCTTTCATGAATAAATAAATAAAAGTTATTAAAAAAAGACTGTATTTATTTTACTGGAGAAAGAGGCAGAGCAGGGTGAGGGGCAGAGGGGAGATTCTCTCCCCTGGGACAGGGGTTGGATCCCGGATCCCTGAGATCATGACCTCAGTGGAAACCAAGTATCTGGGCCTCAACCGACTGAGCCACACAGGCGCCCCTGCATTATTTGTTTTAATTGGGTACATTAGTTTTACAAAGCTGGCATCATTATTACTGTATGTAAAATGTATGTTTTGTGTTAATTTTTTTCACTTATGTATCATAAATATTGCCTTTAGTATTGGTCACCATTGTAGGTAGTAGATTCTTGAGCAACACAGGTTTGAACTGTGTGGGTCCACTTATGTGGGGCTTTTTTTTTTCAGTACAGTACTGAAAATATTTTCTCTTATGATTTTCTTTTCTTTTTTTTTTTAAGATTGATTGATTTGAGAGAGAGAGTAGAGGGGCAGAGGGAGAAGGCGAAGGAGAGAAGCAGACTCCCTATGGAACATGGAGTCCCCACATCTCCGGGCTGGACTCCGGGCTGGATCCCAGCACCCTGAGATCATGATGAGAGCCAAAACCAAGAATCAGTAGCTCAACTGACTGAGCTACTGAGGAGCCCCTTCCTTTTGATATTCTTAATATTTTCTATTCTCTACCTTTATTGGAAGAATACAGTAGATATTACATACAGCATACAAGATAAGTGTCAGTCGACTGTTACTGGTAATGCTTCCAGCCAACGGTAGACTGTTAGTAGTTAAGTTTTGAGGGAGTCAGTATGTGGATTTTTGACTGCATGAGGTCAGTGTCCCTAACCCCCATGTTGTTCAAGGGTCAACTGTATTCGTCAGAACATTTTGAGTAATGCAAAAAGGTAACATATTGGCTTATATAACTGAAAAACCCAGGAACTTCAGAGTAATGGATTTAATTGCCCAAATAATAGCTTCAGGGCTCTCTGTCTTTTGGCTCTGCTTTTTCTAGGTTGACCTCATTTTCTTCAGTGGTAAATAGACTCTAAGAGGTGCTGTGAAGGAATGTTCATTCCATGCTTTCACTGTCCCAGCCTAGTGTTTCTTTCCTTTCTCATTGTTCCAACAAAAACTCCCATACTGGATCTCACCAACCTTATTCAGTCCTGTGCCCACCTTGAACCAATCATTATTGGAAAGCAAGCGCTATATAGAGTATGTAGAATTCGAATGTCCAGGTTAGGTGTGCCTGGACAGCAGGAGGAGGGATGCAACACCAGCTTCCCCTTTTTGGGACTGAGGCACTCATTCTCCCGGCTGATGGGAGTAGCTGCAGCTGATGCCTCAACTAAGTCCCTCTCTGGGAACTGCCCCTAGCTGATAGCCATCCCTCCCAGTGTCAGCACCTATCCAGATTGATGTGGGATGTGTAAGACCTAAACCCCAAACCCTTTGCCTTAGGTTGGAACAACACTGAAAGATGGTCCCAGCTCCACAGTTCTTTGCTGGGATCATCTGAGGCCTTTATGGCAGCTATTTCACAGTTCAGCTCCTTCTGCACAATCCACACTCCCTAGACTCTCCCACAGGTGTTGATTTTGACACTCCCCAGTAAACTTTCTGCATGAAAATCTCTATCTTACAGTCCTTATCTCTGAGGAACCAAGCTAAGACACGCAAACTACATGGACTGAGGAGCGTAGAGGAAGATTGGTTCCCCAAAGGAAAACCGGGGTGCTGAAACCAGAAGGGGGCCAGGAGCAGTCAGAAAAGATATACCCTACATCTGTTACTTTTAATAACTGCATGATACTCCATTGTACAACCGGATCATAATCTACCTGCTGCTCTCTTACTTAACACTAGGAAGATCACCTTAACATACAGCTTTGTGCATGTCTGAGCTTGGGTCGGGGGTGGGTGGGTGGGTGGGTGCATGCATGCATTCCTAAAAGTGGAATTGATGCACTAAAAAGATAAAATTTCTTGAACTTTTCCCTACTTTATCCTCCAGAAGTGGTAGCAATTGCTAGTCCCACCAAAAGACTACTTATTTCTCTGCACCCTCACCATTCTAGATTGTGATTCTTTATCAACCTAATAGATGAAATATCGCATCTCAGATCTTTTAAGTATCTTGACACTGAACATTCCTTTTTATTTTGTGAGCTATGTGTTCAGTCTTTGGTGTGTTAAAGTTTTTCTTATGACAAGAGCAGATTTGCAAATGTTAAAGCCCTCACTAGTAACAAGTTCCCTCACCACAAAGAACTTCAATCATATCCTAGTCAAAGGATGAAAATACATGTTGGAAACATTACTAGATTGCTGAGGAAGACGGAATAGAATGGTCACATGTCAAAAAGGCATGGCAGAGAACTCCAAGCAACGGTACAGACTGGAAGGGCTGTAGAAAGCTCCTCAAAAATGGCAGATCTGAGATTTTGAAAATATGAGTCCTGCACATGGCACAGAGGAAGGGCGAGAGCATTCCAACAAGGAGAGAGCAGGCCATGCACGCAGGAATGGATGGATGGATGGATGGATGGATGGATGGATGGATGGATGGATGGAGAAGGCTCTAGTGAGCAATAAAGATACAAAGTTGTTAAGACTCAAAGTTACAGAAAACCTCAAAAGAAAAGGAAAAATTTGTGGCAAGTAATGACGTAGCCACATGGTAACACATTTTAGGAATATTAATCTGGGATGAGGATACGAAACGAACTGAAAGTGAGGAAACAAAATGACTTCAGTGATAGCTTTTTGTCTTTTTGGTGGAGAGGGTGGCTGAATGAGGCCCTAGATTGGACTATGAAGATGGGATGGAGAACAAATCCAAAGGACTAAGTCAGGCATACTCCATGGTGGTTATAAAATGTAAAGGAAGGGATGCCTGTGTGGCTCAGCAGTTGAGCGTCTGCCTTGGGCTCAGGGTGTGATCCCGGAGTCCCGGGATCAAGTCCCACGTTGGGCTCCTTGCGTGGAGTCTGCTTCTCCTTCTGCCTGTGTCTCTGCCTCTCTCACTCACTCTCTCATGAATAAATAAATAAAATCTTAAAATAAATAAAATAAAATGTAAAGGGGGGGGGGGTAAAGGGATCTGAGCAGAGACCTGGCTAGAACTGGTACCTGTAACAGATGTTAGGAAACAGGCCTAGGTTTGAAGGGAGGAGTAAAGGACAAAGATGAGTTTGGCTTAGGAGAAACCAGGTCTTCAGCTATAATGCTATGTGCCTCTAAGCTGTTGGAAATGTTAAGTGGCAAGATGTTGATATGAGAGACATCTGCTCAGCACAATGGTAGCTGAAACGGAGATTATCTCTAATTAGAAGAGGCCACTTTGGGGCTGTGAGGAGACACATAATGTAGTACTTGTGTGTCAGCCATAAGTAGCAGAAAATGTTTGGAGGTGTCTCCCATCTCTTTCATGCTGTATACACCCACCACTTCTGCCCACCTCTGCATAACTGATTGTGCTACTCTTGGAGAGGAGTCATCTCCAAGAGCCTTCCACAGTGATCCATGGACAAGCAAGCTTGGTGCCACTGACCATCTGTGTTTTGCTTTATACTTTACCAAAATGTCTTCTCATCAAGTTTTTGCGTCATGGAACTTCAGAGTGAGGAGACCTTTATATAATGTAGTCCATCCCAATTTTAGAGATGAGGAAACTTTTCCTCCCTACTGAGGAAAGTGACTTACAGAGTACCTCATAAAGTAGGAGTAGGGAAAAGAACTTTCATTTTAGCTTCCAAGAGATGTCACTGCTCATCTTGAGTACAGTCTGTTCCCACAGATGTAGTTATTTCTAGAGCTCTAAAAGTAGGTGAGGCCCATGGACAAAGAATCCTTTCCTCCTTACCTCAGCTAAAAGGTACAGATTACCAATATATTATCTTAGAAATTTGTTACATTTTTTCATGGTTAAAATAAGAACTTATAATACAGATCCAAACCACAATGAGATACCACCTCACACCTGTCAGAATGGCTAAAATTAACAACTCTGGAAACAACAGATGTTGGTGAGGATACAGAGAAAGAGGGACTCTCTTACACTGCTGGTGGAAGTGCAAACTGATGCACTCTGGAATTGCTTATTGTTTAGCAAATTTGATTTCATTATTAGGTTCTAGATTTGGCCTTAACCCATACTTAAATGTGAAGAGTATCATGTTTTTCAAATAAGATTAATTATGTTTCATCCATACACTCGTTTGTGTCAGTACCAATATTTATCTCCCTCATTGGCCTTTTGGGGGGGGTCCTCTCTGTATCTCTTGGATCTGAATGCCTGTTTCCTTCCCCAGATGAGAGAAGTTTTCAGCTATGATTTGTTCAAATATACTTCATGGTCCTCTATCTCTCTCAGCCTCTTCTGGAATCCCAATTAGACATATATTCTTCCTTCTCAAGCTATCATTTATTTCCCTAAACATTTCCTTGTGGGCTTTTTTCTTTTTTTCCTCAGCTTCCTTCCTTTCCACCAACTTGTCTTCTATGTCACTTACTCTCTCTTCCACCTCATTAACCCTAGCAGTTAGAGCATCCAGTTTGGATTGCATCTCAGTTAAAGTATTTTTAATTTTGGCCTGATTAGATCTCAATTCTGCAGTAATGGAGCCTCTAGAGTCCTCTATACTTTCTTCCAGAGCCACTAGGAACTTTCTAATTGTATTTCTGAGTTGAATTTCTGA